TCGGGAGGCAGAGGCAGGCAGATCTCTATGACATCAAGGTCAGCCTGGTCTACATAGTGAGTTCCAGGCCAGCTGGGGATACAAAGAGACCCTGACTCAAAAGACAAAAAAAAGAAAAAGAAAAAAATATTTTTATTATTTTTGTTTTGTGTGTATGAGTGTATTGTGTGCATGTATGTGAGTGTACCCATGTCATGCAATGCCGCAGAGGTCAGAAGAGGGCTTCAGATTCCCCTGGAACTGGAGTTAAGGACAGTTTGTAGAAGAACAGTTTGTAGCCGCCATGTGGGTGCTGGGAATTGAACCTGGGTCCTCTGCAAGAGCAGTCAGTGCTCTTAACCGCTGAGCCATCTCTCTAGCCCCTCATGTAGATTCTTTAGTAGTTAAATCTCTGGATATAGGAAGAAGAGGGGTTACTGCCTCCTGCAGTATGGCACCTTCCAGCCAGCTCTCCCTGGGATGCCATGTTCTTGAGTCCCCAGTGCACAGGGTAGCAAGCCTGTGTATGTGAGAACAGAGAATAAGTGCTTAAGTCTCTGGCCAAAACCCTTGAACTCATCCAGGGCAGAGGTGGCAGAGCCACAGTGGGCAGTAGAGCTTAAGTAGGCAAGACCCTGCGGGGAGGCTGCTGTAGGTTTCCCTGGCCTCTGTGGCCCTACCAGCCATATTTCTGGTAGCTCAACTGACTACTAGGGCCAACACCTGTCTCACTCTGCTACTGATGTGTGGAGGGTAAGATGTACCTCCAAAGCTAATCACAGTGAAGAAACTTACCTGCCTTTAGAGCCTACTCAGCCTGCCACTAACCACCTGTACCCTCTGTTCCAGGTGCTGGGGAGTCGGGGAAGAGCACCATCGTCAAGCAGATGAAGTAAGTGCTGAGCAAAGCTGTCTCCAGACATTGATTCTCTTCTTCTTGGAGCCTGTATTGCCTCCTGTCTGGTGTTCTCTAATTCCAGACTTCCTTGTAGCTACTTGTATATTCACATGACTCCATGGGCAGGGTTAGTTTCCCCATCTTTAAAGCAGATTCCTGTAACCCCTAGCAGCTTCAGGGAGCCACATGACTTCCTATGCTCTGTGGACCCTAACTCTTGGCCTCTGCTTATCAGGATCATCCATGAGGCTGGCTACTCAGAGGAGGAATGTCGGCAGTATCGAGCAGTTGTCTATAGCAACACCATCCAGTCTATCATGGCCATTGTCAAGGCCATGGGCAACCTGCAGATTGACTTTGCAGACCCCCAACGTGCGGTATGTGTACACCCTCTCTCCCTCAGTTCCACTTGTCTCCCAAAAGCCTTCAGGGCAAGTCTTGTCCTTTGGAACCTGAGAGTACTCTAACTTGGGCCCCATTCCAAAGGATTCTCTGTCTCTGGTAGTGTGGGAGAGGGATATGTTCTTTTTCCTGGCTGACTGCCCTCCACTACTGTGTCCAGGATGATGCCAGACAGCTGTTTGCACTGTCTTGCGCTGCTGAGGAGCAAGGTATGCTCCCCGAAGACCTGTCTGGTGTCATCCGGAGGCTCTGGGCTGACCATGGTGTGCAAGCCTGTTTTGGCCGCTCTCGGGAGTACCAGCTCAATGACTCGGCTGCCTAGTAAGTACTGCAAGGGGGAACAGGGCATGGTGGGGGATCCAAAGTACTGATCGCCTGTGGTTGAAGCTGATGATTTGGACAGTGTGAGGCTTTGGTGTTGAGTGGCATGGGTGGGCTGGGGCAGATTGGTATTGAAAGACCAGAAGGAGTGATAGCTATGATGGCTTTCAGGCTACTTGAGCCTTATCTGTCCTTGTACACAATCATTGTAAAGAGCATTTGCTGCCACCTGCTCTGTGCCAGGCTCTGTGCAAGGCTTCAGGAACACAGTTATGAGTGGAACAGGTCCTCAAGCAATGACAGCTGAGGCTGTCAGTATGATTGGGGGAAAGCCAGAGAAGGGACTACCTCAGCTAAGCTCTGAACAAGAGCTAGGCAGAGGAAGAGTGGGAAGGGGTTCCAGGCAGGGACATGGCACATGCAAACTCCAGAGTTGTGAGTGAGGACACAGGAATTCAGGCAAACTGCTCAGAGGCCTACAAAAGAGGAAGAGGCTGTCTTCAAGGTGATAGATATGTGCACAGTCTGGAGCCTAGACCTTGCTTCTGACCTTTTCTGGCCCTAGGCCAAGCCCAGGACTCAACTGGAGAATCACAGTGTCCTAGAAATCCCAGAGGCCTAACAGGCTGGGATTCTTTGGCCCCAGTATACAGTTCTGAACTCCTTTGCAGTCCTGCCATGTGTCAGGACTGAGGCAGGATGCTAAGGGCCCTAGGGGGCACAGGAAGAACAGGAAACATCTATAGGTTCTAGACAGTGTTAGTAGATAGGTGCTAGCTGGGCTCTCCTTCCTTCTGGTCCAGCCAGGCCCTCTGGTTCTGGCTCCGACTGCCCATCCTGTTCAGACCCCACCCAACAGGGCTGGACCTCATGAGGATAAGTAGGAAGGGATCTTGCCTGTCCAGGATTCCCAAGTCCTATCTCAGTTATGTGAACAGGCTTCTCCTGTCCTCCTTGCATGGTCTGAATACTCTTGTGTCATCCCTATTCCTCTCCTCCCAAGGAGTCTTGGGATCATAGCCAAATCTGTAGAGGCCTTCAAGGCTTCAGCACTACCCGCCCTGAGATCACAGGCTTAGCCACTAGCTGAGCTTGCGGGTTATAAGGGGCAGAGAGGAGTGAACCCTGTCAACTGTTACCATTTCAGTTTCTCCAATACTAAAGGAGAGTGGGGTAGAGCTATCTCCAGGCTACTTCTGCTTCTCTGTCATCCTGTTTCTTTATTCTCTAGATACTAAGCACCTACTGTATACTCAGCACTGTTTTAGGCGTTCAAGTTCCAACAGTAACCACAGCCCTGCTCTTCGAGAGTGATTTTTGCCTTGATAAGATCATTCAGGGATGGGGTGTAGGATGGAGCATCATAGGGAATGGGATACACTAACCTTCACAACAGCCCTCTAAATTGCAATAGGATAGAAGGTCCCTAGGGTGAACCCACCTGTTGAGATGGAGAGAGTGGTATGGAACCCACCACAGGGCCTCTAGGCTAGGGGCTTTGTCAGTAGGAGGCAGGGCATGGTGTGCAGGTCACAGCACGTGCGTCATGGTCCCCCATGGCCCTTCCTGTTTTTCTGTTCTGTCCCTGCTTCTCTGAGATCATTTCCCTTTGGCCTGGTTTGGCCCAGCTGCTGGCCCCAGCAGCCCTGCCCCAGGAACAAAACACCAATAGAGGGCAGCCACTTTAAGGCCTGGACCCAGCCCCAAAACACAGCAAGGATATTGAGGCAGATAGGGTGGTGGGCCCTGTAGGAGAAGCAGTGATAGTAATTAAAGGAACATGTAATGAGGAGCCCTTGGGACCTCTGCCAAGCAAGTATTTGTGCCCCCTCCCAGCTCAAATTTCATTGGGTGCTGGGTAGAAGACCCATTGGGCCTGGCAGGTCCCAACATGTCCAGTCCCTTATCAAGGGACCACACCAATTATTCTGTATCAGGTACCTTAATTAACATCTTGAATCTCTCCCTGAAGGACTAATTTGTCCCTTCCCACTTCTTACCTATAGCTTCAACACCCTAATATTATTGGATTCAGGCCAAGCTCAGACCCTGGCTGCTAGGGCCACAGGACCATACCTCCCCCTTGTCCTGTTCCAAGTGGGAGAAATGAAGTTGAGTCTAAGTTTCTTCATTTCAGTAATGATTGTAAAACAGACAAGTGTTATAGGAGCAAGGATGGCAGGCATGGTAGTGCACACCTATAATAGCAGCACTCAGGAGGCTGAGATGGAAGGATTGTGGGTTTGAGATTGGACTGGACTATAGATCAGTCTGGCCTGAAGGGAAGGAGAGAATAGGGAAAGGAAAAGGGTAGGAAAGAAAGAAGCAGGACATTGCCTGAGGTCCAGGTAAGGATGCCCCTTGTGGCCTGCCTGACCCTCCACCCCCTACCTGCAGTTACCTGAATGACCTGGAGCGCATTGCACAGAGTGACTACATCCCCACGCAGCAGGATGTGCTGCGGACCCGTGTGAAAACCACGGGCATCGTGGAAACACATTTCACCTTCAAGGAATTACATTTCAAGTGAGTGGGTGTATGGGCATGGTGAAGGGCAACACTTGCTAGCCATTGGGATAGCCATTGGGGATAATTCCCCAGTCCCTCTGAGGGTCCTCAGCGCTATGTTTTGGGAAAACATGTCCTCGCCACCCAGTTTATCAGTGATCACCTGCCAGCTGCCTCTGCTGACCCTGCCCCATGTGGCTGCAGCCTGTTCTCCTGACCAGGCCTAGAACCAGAGACGAGGTGAGTGAGTGGATGATTCCATGATGGCAGCTGTCCTGCTTTGGCCAGGTTTCTGTCCTTAGACTGCCAGCCTGTGAAATGGAAGGATGCTTCCCCTGGGGCTCTATTCCTTGGAGCTAAGTTGACCCAATATCCACAGGATGTTTGATGTGGGTGGTCAGCGGTCTGAGCGGAAGAAGTGGATCCATTGCTTCGAGGGTGTCACAGCTATCATTTTCTGTGTAGCCTTAAGCGCCTATGACTTGGTGCTGGCTGAGGATGAGGAGATGGTAAGAAACCAAGAGGATGTTGGTGGTGGGGACAGAGCCGGCAGAGGTCGATGGGTAGCTAATACCAACTTTATGTCCTTGCCTTAGAATCGCATGCATGAGAGCATGAAGCTGTTTGACAGCATCTGCAACAATAAGTGGTTCACAGACACATCCATCATCCTCTTCCTCAATAAGAAGGACCTGTTTGAGGAGAAAATCACCCAGAGCCCGCTGACCATCTGCTTCCCTGAGTACACAGGTGGGGCTCTACAGAGACTAACTCTGGGAAGGGGTGGTGTCCATCCCAAGAGGAACCATTGGAGACCTGATGGCCTGGTGGGTGCCCCCCTCTGGACAGAGGAAGACCACAGGATGCATGCCAGGCTGGTACCTCACTCGGGCATATATACTGTGTCTAGACACATAGGCATCTACCCCTGAACATGTGCAGATGTTAAACACTTGTCTGTAATGTGCAGAACCCTGCTGTACATGCAGGAAGGAACCCACTTCCTTGTGATATTCACAGATAGCATAAGTCTTTGCCATTTGTCTCCCTCAGGGGCGAACAAGTATGACGAGGCAGCCAGCTACATCCAGAGCAAATTTGAGGACCTGAATAAACGCAAAGACACCAAGGAGATATACACGCACTTCACGTGTGCCACCGATACCAAGAACGTGCAGTTTGTGTTTGATGCTGTCACCGACGTCATCATCAAGAACAACCTGAAGGACTGTGGCCTCTTCTGAGGGGCAGCGGGGCCTGGCAGGATGGTGAGTCAGAAGGAAGGCAAGGCAGAGAAACAAAGTGAGGGCCTTGAGCTCAGAGAGGCATGGGGTGGGAACTGAGGGTTCATCCTCTGGGAGTTGTCATCCTGGAGGAAAAGAAAGTGGGACAGTCAGGGACCAGAGAACAGAGGGAGACAGAAAAACCTGACTTTGCCCTGGACAGAATAGAAGGCTATCCAATCAATATTCCTTAGAGGAAATTGCCTCCTCACCACCATGTCATTGGCCTAGCCTACTTGTATGAGGAGACCTAGCTACCAGCTTTGTACTTGTTCTTAGCCATCTGTACCTTAGACCTGAGGATTCTAGGCCTAGGCCCAGGCCAGCCTCACTGGCCCTGGTATAAGTGCAATGACCACCAGTGTCAGATATGCACACCCTTGTAACCCAGCAACAGAAGCTGACTCCTGGGCAAGGCTGTGTGCCTGGTAACAAGTAAGAGGGAAAAAAGGTCATTGTCTAGAGAGGCAAAATGAAGAGGCACATGTGACCAATGCTGTATGTATCTATCCCCTACCTCCAGGGCCACCGCTGACTCTGCCCCCTACTACCCCTGAGGAAGATAGGGGCAAGAAGACCACGCTCCCTGCCTGTCCCCCCAGCTGCTTCTCCCCTCTTTCCTCTCTCTGTTCTCAGCTTCCCCTGCCCCTTCCCTCAGCTCCAGACTTGGGGGAGGGGTTGCCACAGGCCTCTCTCAGTTTGAAGCCTGCCCTTGTCTGAGGTGCCAGGAGTGGCCATGGTACCCCCTTTCCTGGGCATCTGTTCTGGTTTTCTGACTGTTGTCTTGTTCTAGGGGTGGGGGCACATGCAGAGTCTCCCAAGGCCTGTGTCTGGAGGGGTACCCATTTCTCCAGCCTGGACCCCTGGCTTTGTCTAACACCAGCCCTGACTACCCAGCCCAAGTCCAAATGTTTACAGGGAGCCTCCTGCCTACCCTTCCCCTTGCCGCTCGGAGGCCCCAAAGGAAAAAGCACAAGAAATGTGAGAGACATCACCATTCCTGAAGACCACAGTCCACCTGCTTTTTAAAGATGATGATGATGATGATGATGATGAAGAAGAAGAAGAAGAAAGTAAAGAAAAAAAAACTGCAAACCTAGAAAACTTTTTAGAGAAAACCTATTTAAAACTGTCAGATCCTGACCAGCACCCACCCGATTCCCCTTTCCAGTGATTCCGTGCCTTGAGTGTGTCTGCGTGTTTACACCCATCCCTCTTTGGGCGGCCCCCTGCCCTGCCCTCCACGGAATTGGGTTCCAAGGGCTGTTCCAGATAACTGCCAACTTCACTGAGGGCCCTGCCCTGAGGCCCTGGGCCCAGGCTCCATTAACCTAAATGTAGCTCCTTAGCGCTAATCTAGGAACCGCCGCTGCCTGCTGAGGGGCCAGACCCCTCATGCCCTCGCCCCAGGCCCGGGTCCTCCAGCGTTGAACACTTCCTTGCTTTTTTCACATGTTTTATGGAATTGTTCACATGGTTTGAAATAATAAAATGTAGAAAGAAAATATCAGGAACTGGGTATTCTTTGTTGGGGGGGGGTGCGCTGAGCTGTGCTGAGAAGAGGGTGGTTGTTGCTTCAATCACTCGATAAAGCCCTGGGCACTCAGCTTTCCAGGTTGATGCTTTGAGCTTTAGTTTGCCCATCTGGATTGACCAGCTGACATATTGGGGCCTGTGTTGTCTCCTTCCCTTCCCTGCTTTGCAGCTGTGGTTCTGGAGCAGCTTCAAGCCTGCAGAGCCCCTATGCAGACTTTCAGAGCTCTCCTAGAGGGTTCTTGGAAGTTTGAAGTAGCAAGGGTAGCCATCTAGCCTTTAGTATAGGAGATGGTGACTTTTGACTTATCAGACTTAAAGGCCCAGAGATACTAGAAAGGACTGAAGTCACACAGATAGGTGACTTGCCTCCCCTGGCTTGACCAAACAGGCTCAGAAGAAGCTAGGAATGATGGCACATGTCTGTAATCCCAGCACTCAGGAGGCTGAGGCAAGATCACCAAATGTTCTAGACTAGCCTGGGCTACATACTGAGACCTTGTCAAAAAAACATCACCTACAAGGCTCAGGGAACATTGTAAAAGAGGGGGTGGAAAAATATAAGAGCTCAAAGGGGAGGAATGTTGTGGAACACTGTCTTCTAGATATGACATGGTGATTGCATGTTACAGCAGCTGTGATTACTTGTAGAAGACCTGAACAAGACGGGTCAACATCCTGTCATGGACGCAGGAGGAGAGGCTCACCAGGCTCTACCCTTCCACAAGGATTTATAGACACCTGATAGGGGAGGGAAAGGCATTTTCTTTTGTGGTGTAGCCATTGGTAAGGTACTTGTACTCCTGTAAGTAACCCTGATGATCTCATTGGGTCATTTTAGAAGAAGAGGGGCTGGAGAGATGGCTCAGCGGTTATGAGCCACTATGGATTCAAACTCACTATGAATAATTAATATATGCTAATAAGCACACTTCTTGCAGAAGACCCGGGTTCAATTCCCAGCACCCACATGGCAGCTAACAACTGTCTGTATGTAACTCCAGTTCCAGGGCATCTGACAGCTGCTTCTGTCCTCCGGCATTGCATAACACAGGTGCACTTACTGACATGCAGGCATAACACTCATACACATAAAATAAAAATAATAAAATATTTTTAAAAACTGGGTATGATGGCTCATGCCTTTAATCACAGCACTTGGGGGCAGAGGCAGGTGGATCTCTGAGATTGAGGCCAGCCTGGTCAACATAGTTCTAGGCCAGCTGGGGCTACAGGGAAAAACCCTGTCTCAAAAATAATAATAATTAAAAAAAACAGGAAATGGCTCAGCAGTTACAAGCACTGGCTGCTCTAGCAGAGAACTTGGGTTCAGTTCCCAGTATTCACAGGGTGACTAACAACTGTCCATAACTCCGTTTTAGGGGCTCCAAAATGCCCTCTTCTGCCCTCCTCAGGCATTACACAGCACGAATGCACTTGTATACCTTCAGGCAACTACTTAAACACATAAAAAAATGCAAAAAGTAAATAAAAAATTAAAAGGAGGGACTTGTTGGGAAGAGGAAGGGGGTCAGCGAGAGAGGGACAAGAGAGGGTTATGGGGTTAATATGATAAAATGCATTCTATACATATGAAATGTCACAATGAAACTCATTATGAATAATTAATGCATGCTAATAAGAATGGTTTTTAGTCAAAATAAGAACCAGAATACCATCATTCCCTACAAATTGAAAGGGTAGAAACAGGCTGGCTGGACAGGCGAAGTGGGCAGTGTCCATGGAGGTTTGTCATTAGCTTCATGGAGGGCCAAATGTGGAAAGCCTGAAGCTAAGGAAAGTGCTGGGTGCCAGTGGAACGGGCGCTGGTAGAATGCCATGGGAAGCGCCTGGATTTTTTTTCGGTGAACAGCAGGGGCAGCCGCGGGCTGAGCCGGCTACCTCGGAGGGCTAGGCGAAAGACCAACCCCAACTGGGCGGGGCTCAGGCCATCGCCTCCGGCCGCCAGGGGGCGCCGTAGCCCATGCTCCGAGCTGCGGGGCTGGTCGCCGAGGCTGACGTCACCGGGTCCCGTGGAGGCTGCGGGACACAAAAGCAGCTTTGTGTGGCGGCGGCGGCTCCGCGCCCGCGGTCTGACAAAGCGGACGGGTCCTGGGGAGGGCTGGGGTCGGCGCCACGAAGGCGGGGAAGGGAGGGATTGAGCCCGGAACCTGGGCTGTCGCCTCCACGCACCTGTTGGGCTTCTGACGCTGGCAACAGATGAAAGGCTGTGGCCGAGGATCGGAAGGAGTCCTTGCTTCCCTAGGCTTCATCCCCGCCCCACTTCCTCAGGCCATTCCGGCTACCCCCGCCATGGAGTACTACCGACGAGAACAAGATCCTGCACCATCCCAAGATCCCTGTTTTCCTTCAGAGGCTCAGGCCTGAACTCCAAGGAGCCCTAAGTGTGCGGGCGGGCTGGAGCTGCTCCAGTGCCACCATACCCGCCCAGCAGGAAGCGAGCGCCGGAGATGGTTCCTTCCCTAGGGGAACCTTGCACAGAGGGCCATTGAGGGGTTGGCATTGTCTGCCCGATGCACCCGATACCTCCCTGCCTGGGTGAGCCACCCAGGGCTCTAGCCTGCATCCCCTTGGATCTCACTTGACACTGGGTCTGAGTAGGGTCCTGGCAAGCAGGGCTTTCCTGGGTACAGACAGCTAGGCCCCCACCTGCCCTTGGCCCTTCTACTCCAGTTCTGATTTCGAAGGCATAAGGCGCCATTGTCCTAGGACTGGCAGGGGCGGCTTCTCAATTCAGTCTTTCTTTGCATGGTGGGAAATTCCCAGCCATGGGTGAGTGGGGGGCAGGCAAAAAGAATGGCCCAGGTGTCTTGCACCCTAACTAGAGGCACCCTATGAGGTTGGTATCCCCCTTCCCCCCTGCTTGGAGCAGTTCCTGGCTTGTCCTCAACAGGTCCTCATCCCTTTGAGAGCCAGCTGAGTATGGAAAGTGAGAAACTGAGTGCTGTCTGTTGAGCTCTCAATGTCCACACCCATGGGCAGCTGCAGCTGAGGCCCAAGACTCTTAGCAAGATGTGAGACCCAAGGAGGGACCCAAGCTTCTGTTTTCAGTGAAGGACGGGCTGTCCCCAACCCATAGGGACTGCCACAAGGCTGATCCGCCTCCAAGAGAGAGCCTGGCTGACTTGAAATAGTTGCTCAAGTTACTGATGTGGTTGGTGGTAGCCTTGGTATTTTTAACCTATTTGTAAGGCAGGGGAACAGCTGCAAAGAGAGAGAAGAACAAGCCTTAAGAGTCAGAAGCCTAAAGAATAGAAAGTATTGGAGACTGTGGGAAGAAAGCAAGCAGGAAGCCTCTCCTCAGCTCCCTAGGCCCAGCAGGCAGGCAGAGGCACAGTCAGGTGCAGAATGGTAAAAAGACCCTCCCAGGTATTACAGCTAGAACTTTGAGACTGCAGGAGCTGCCAAGGCCTGAAGGAACACCTCACCATGTTCCAAGGAGTACCCATGACTTTTTTATTCACTCAATTTATGTATATCCTGTGTGTGTGTATGTGTGTGTGTGCGTGCATGCACTTCACATGCCACATTTTACATATGGAGGTCAGAGGACGTGGGAGTTGGTTCTCTCTTTCCATCATGTAGGTTCCTGGGATTGAATTCAGGGTGTTAGGCTTACCAGCAAGTACCTTTACCTCATAAGCCATCTAGACAGCCCCCATATCCATAACTTTTTGTCAGTGTGTCTTTTTGAGACAGGGTCTCCCTATAGCCCCAACTGGCCTGGAACAGGCTGGCCTTGATCTCACAGCAATCTGCTGGCCTCTGCCTCTGCCTCCCTAGTGCTGGGATTAAAGGTGTGTGCCAACATGCCTAACTCAGACAAATAGCTTTTGAGATCCCTCAAAATTGTTCCACACATACGCCAAAACCAGGATTACCAAGCTAGCCTAGGCATACCAGCCCTGACTTTAGCTTCTTGGCCAGTGGCATGGCCAGCCAGATCCCAGTGGCTTTGGGAGTTAGAAAAGACTGAAGACAAGACTACAATGTCTCTTGACTGAGTTCTGGGTTTGATCCCATCCCCAAACATTGACCCCAACCCCTATGTCTAAAGGAGATCCTAGGACCCTCTTTACTGCCCTGTGTATTTGCATCTCTCTAATTCCATTGGAATCAGAGTAGAAGGCAAACCCCCATCATATGCCCAGGGTGATGATGGCCTCTAGCCAGGTGGGGCATATGTGCAGCTGTATGACAGCAAGTGTATGCATGCCTGTTAGGCACTCAGCCTTAGTCACACAGTAGTGGGTACCAGGGCCCAAGGGGGGTAGAGGTCAAGACCATAGCCCTCCTTCCTCCCCACACCCTTCTGTTTTAAATTTTTCACTTTTTCTAGAGATACAGTCCTGTAAGCTTGGTTAGGAGAAAAATCATAGTTGGGCATCTTCTCCCACTTCTGCTTTCTTGTCTTGTTGGGTTGAGGGGAGTTAGTTTTAGGAGGCTTGGAACAAATGAAAGAAGGACCTGAGAGGAACCTTTTCCATCCATCGGTCCCTGTGCCCCATAGAGACCCAGCAGGCCCAGGCATGCTCTCTCCTGTCTCCCTGTGCTGGGCATCCCTAGAGTCCTGGGGTCCCTAGTGATGATGGCCCTTGCTGTTTTGAACCTAGTACTACAGGGATCTTCCCACAGAGGAAGAATGATAGCTGAGGTAGATAGTGAATTGTGAAGATGAGTCCAGCAGGTGACTCTAAAGGGTAGAGAGCACAGCCCAGTTAGGCAACTGGAACACTGGTAGGATGGCAGGGCTGAGCTAGGGAGATTGCTGTGGACTCCAGGATAGGAGCTGCAGTCTTTAACAAGCTCCTACAAGCCAAATCAGGATATAGTACCTGTACTGTGAGGATGACCCCAGGGATCCATCCTGGGGGCCAGGAGGCAAGTAGGGTCTTGTCCTATCTTCAACAAGATAGAAGGACCTCTGATAGGGTTCCCAGGAAAGATGGGCTTGGGTGCTACTAAGGGTGGACTGGGGACTTTTGAGAATTCTGATGAATCTCCAGGGGAGGGAGGGAGACTCAGATGGAGCCCTGGGCATAGTTATCTGATGATGGGGGAGTAGTTGTACAGGGTAAGGAACACAAAAGATGGGCAGGAGAGGAGCCGAGCATGAGGTTGGGATGGAGATCACTACAGTGAAATGTTTCCCTTGAGACCCTCACAGGATGCCTAGACCTGCACTGACAACAGCACACATCTGCAGTGTCTCTACTGTGCACCCAGCCTGTGTGGTCCAGTGGCTACAATGGCAGAGGAATGAGGAAAATAGTTTGTAATGTTATGTCTTCACCTAGGACACTCAACTGATGAGCTGCAGTATCTGGACTCAGTCCTGTCTCTTCCTGCACTACAAAGGAGAAGGACTTGGTCCCTAGGCAGGCTCTGGAGGGTTCTCCCCAGTATCTTCACCCCACCCCACCCCCATTCCCCCGGCTAGAGTATATAGAATACCCCCCAATCCCTGTCAGCAATTCCAACGAGACTTTCTGTATCCAGCTTAGGGAATGTAGTATTTTATGTTAATTTCTGTTGAGCATAGAGTGCCATCTAGTCCACTTTTGTAGCTTTCCTGGCATATCCCCTCCCCCCAAAAGCCTCTGGAGAAGGAAGGGAGAGGGAGGCCCCACCCCCAGCTCCTTTTTCCCCGCCCCACCCCACTAGGCAATGAAGAAAACAGGAGTGAGGAGGAGTTGTGATGTGGCTGGTGTGGGGGGAGCTCCCCATCCCAGAGGGGCTGACCTCAGCCTGGGAGGAATGTGCACGAGGCAGAGGGAGGGCGGAGCTCATGGGGGTAAGGCCACAGCCAAAGGCCCAAGGCTCCTGATGGCCCCTCCTGCTGCCCCTCCACCACAACTCTGACATGGCCCACGGAAGGGAAGGGCAACAGGCAAGGAAGGGAGGAACTGACCTTTCAAAACAAAGGTGGGCCCGGGGGTGGGGTGGGGGAGCTGTCTCCTGGACCATGGAGACAAGGATGGGGGTTTGTGGGTGGGGAGTATCCTGACAGACCCTGTATTCTTTCCCAGGAGATCTGTCAGGGGCAGGTGTTAAACTGTGAGAGAAGTTAAGCTTCAGGAAGCTCTCCCTAGCTGTGCCTTATCATCTCCTGGCACCAAGCTTAAGTCCTCTGAGCAGCATGATCCAGGGCCCACGTGGCCAACAGGGGAAGGTTGTAATGTGGAGCCACCAGTCTTGATTGCTAAAGCAGGTGTTAGTGGGGAGTCTGAGACTCCACTCAGTTCCAGAGCACTGGCATGACTGGCACAACCTTCCTCAAATGTGTCCTACAATAGCCATACCACTGGAGCCTAGGTAGGGTGCAGAGGAGAGCTCAATTGTGAGGAGGGTGGGGAAGCAGATGCTGGGACTTGGGCCAACGACTCAAAAAGAAAAGCCAAAATCTGTACCATGAATGGGCAGTTCCATAGCAAGAACCCAGGCAGGCCTGTGTTCATGGATACCCCAGGACAGGGGCACAAACAAGGATAGAGACCCTAGCTCCCTCTGTTGGTTTGAGACCCAAATTTAGACTGCCAAACTGAAGTCTTTGAAGGGCTTTGGAAGCTGAATTATAACACCTGAGCACTGACTCTATTCTGGAAGCACTTCCTCTTTGGGGACCCCACCACTAAGCCTGGTACTCTGGAACCTGAGAGTAGGGAGCAGGAAGGAGATCTTTTGGGACAAGCGCGACTTGTCACCCATCCTTGCCTGTTAAAGGGAAGAGACATATCTGGAGGCAGGAGGGCAGAGACAGCAGAGGTAGGCCAGAGACAGCTCATTCCCTAAGAGTAGGAATTGAGTCTCAGGTTGTTGGAAAGATGATAGGGGTCCTGATGATGTTTCTCAGTGTGAATATAGGGCTGGTGCAGGGAACAAAGTAGAAACTGGGACCCTGGGCCTAGAGAACTGAAGGCAGTGGGGGCAGACAGGGGACACAGCAGGGGTGGGTAGGTGCCTCAAAGGCACTTGCTGATCTCGGCTGCTGGGGTGGAAAATTGTAAAAAGTTGAAGAATGCATTGCTTGATTGAGGCCAGAGGAAGCTGCCCAGGTCCAAGAGGAGAAGCAGCTGGCCCAGGAGTAGGGCAAGGCCTCATCCTGGAACCCTAAGAGTTCCTCCAGGCTCCCTCCTCAATACCCCAGTCTTCCTCCTAGACCAGCCAGGCCAGGAACACTGGGCCCTGAGGCTCAGAAGAGGCATGACCCCACAGTAGACTCCTGGGGACTTAGTGATAAGTCTCCCCATATCTTGCTCAAGACTGGCTGGATGGCACCCAGGCAGTAGGTAAAGAAACTGCACATTTGAAGTGCCCCTTACCTGTGGCACACAACCAAGGCTGGAGACTTTTAGAACCCTGACGTGGCTGCTGACATCCTTGGGGAAAGGGCAGGAGAATGCCTTAGAGAGACTGAGGGATTGAAGCCCTGGTATGTTTACCTAGCTGGACCTGAAAGCTACACTCTTGGTTAGCAACATTCAATCCCTCCAAAGTGCTTCTCAAAGTGCAAATAAGGTGTGCCAGAGCCAGTTTCAGGGCAAGACCCCAGGTACTTCCCAACTGAGGCACCAAAGGGAGATGTTAGAGTCTGTCCTATCTGTAAAACTCCTTCATGCAGCTGGTTGGGAAGCAGGAGGAGAACCAGAAGTTCAAGGCCATCCTTGGCTACCTAGCAAATTCACATCCAGTCTAGGCTACATAAGACCTCACCTCAAGGAACAGCAACCCACCTCCCCCCCCTCCCCGAAAAAAAAACCCTACCTCCTTCAGGTACCTAGCTCTGCTTGAAGGGAAGCTGAAGCCAGGAAAGTATCTGCTTCCCTTTAGTGGCCCCTGGCTTCAGCCCAGCCAAGCTGTCAGGATAGGCTCTCACACACAGAAGTGAGATTTGCTGGACCTCCTGGGCTGGCCTCTTCCTCCTCCTCCCTTTCCCTGTCTGGCCATCATCATCCTCATTGCAGCCACTATGGGCCAGACAGCTGAAGTTTTAAGAGGTCCAATTGGTAAGGAAGGACTGGGACTGGAGCCTCTGGGGCCTATTCAGATCTCTAGTTAGGAACTCCTCCCCTGATCTCTGATCTACCTATCCCAGCCAGTTCCAGGGAACTGAGGCTGCCGCTGAGCTCCCTATCATCCCTCAGCTGTGGAAGGACGGGTGAGGAGCTGTGGAGGGCCAGGTGAGGACCAGGAGTCCCTAGGCTGCTATTCCCTCTGCCTTCTGTGCAAAGATGTTGGGGAGGATGTCCGTTTCTTCTTCCTCTTTTCCCTTGATTGACCACTGGGCTTCCGGGATCACCATCTGGGGCACCCTTCACCTTGAGATTCAACAGGAAAGGGTCATCCTTTCCTGAGCCTACCCTTGTGCCTATTCCACTAAGACAGGGCCACTGTCTCCAGCCAGTCCCAGTTGCCTCCACATGTCACCGGATCCACCCCCCTGCCCTACAGCCCAGCAAACTTTATGGCATTCTGGGTGGTGCCTGGCCTGGTAGGGGCGGGACAGGGGCTTCTCCTTAAAGGAGCCATCAGAGGGTGCCCTGTGGGTCCTAGTCTGCTGTCCTTCCCCAGAAAAAGAGGGGTGAAAGTGGGAGACACCTCTGCTGAGTTCTTGGTGGAGTATGGGAAGGAAGCTCATGTCAGCCTCACAGACTTCTAGAACCCGAGAAGAGGCAGAGGCAAGTGTCAGCAGGTGGAAGGCAGGTGGTGGGTCCTGGCCTGGGAGGGGTTCAGGAACTAGGGAGCTGCTGGGGGCGGGTAGGTAGGGAGTGGAGGAAGGATGGACCTGGGACCTGCCCTAGCAGCTGCTTCCCTGTTTTAATCCCACACTGGGACCTTGGCTCATCCCCAGGGCTCCTGTGCCCCACCTGTCCTGACTGCTTCTGGGAAAGAGCAGAATCGTAGCAGCCAGAACCTGGCCCCACCTGATGATGCCAGGGAAGGTCTCTGGCTCAGTGGAGGGGCTCAAAGACAGGGAAACATAAGAACCAGAAATGGAAAGGGCTTTGAGGGCAAAGCATCATTCCACCTGAAACCTGAGGTGAGCTTGAGAGGTCACCTTACCCTGCCTCCATACTTCTCTTGGGTCTGAAGTCTGACCAGCAGACTCTCCTTCCAGTTAGGGAGTAGTCAGGTGCAAAGCTGAGGCTGCTGGATCTGGGTCCAGGTCCTGAGAGGAATGGGTCTCACTGGTATCTTAGGGTCAAAGGGAATAATTGATGCTGCATTTGGATTCACTTGCATATCCACCAAGATACACAACTGTGTATGCACACACACACTTGCCCATGTGCAGATGTGACTCATGTACCAGACTTATTTTTCACTGGAACACACTAAATAGCTGTGCTACAGTACCACATGGGTGTATACAGATTTGCACACTCAACCTCCAGTTAACCCTGTCCTGGCCTCAGACCTCAACCTCTCTGCCTACATTCTCCTCATGCTTTCCCAGGATATAGGTATAACACTATATTTGCTCATAGACATTTATACACACACACACACACACACACACACATACTATTCACATACACATGTTCACAAAGGGACCCTCAGAAACAGATTCATACTTGTAGACACCCACAACCTTGGCTTCAGTCCCCAAAGTGCCTTTATGTTTCCCTGCAGGTCTGTTGGGTACACTTCTAGAAAACCCCATCCCCTTCTGTCATTCTCCCTTTATCAGCTTGTTTTGCTCATTGCACTTGGTGCCCTCTGAAATGACCACAGGATCTGACTCTTTGTTGGTACTTTGCTCTGTCCTGCCTGGGGGCCATGTCCATGTCTTCCAGTATCCCAGTCCATGCCCCAGGCTGGCATGAAGTGGGCGTACAGTGTTTGTGAATTAATGTCTGTTAGTGTGTATGTAGGAGGGAAGGATCCTGGGGAGGGTGACGTGGTGGGGCGGGTGCCTGCCAGAGCAGGGTGACCCTGAGGGTGTGCCTGTGGTGTGGGTGTGTCTGTGATTGTGGCCAGGCGGGGCACCCTTGGTAGAGAGGACTCGGAAGCGGAATGTGACCCCCCAGCCTCTTTCCCTAGGGGGCTGTAATCTGATCCCTGGGGACTCCCCCATAGCCTCCCGCTCTCACCCTCTCTGCCTTGCTGCCAGACTCCTTCTCTTTCAGATCCCGGGGCAGAGTCCAGGGCGTCTCAGGGCTCTTCCACACACGCCTGCTGAACCCTGAGCGCCCCGAGCTGCCGGCATGGGGCGGGCCGAGGCCGCCGCCATGATCCCAGGCCTGGCTCTGCTCTGGGCAGCGGGACTGGGGGATGCTACCCCCAGCCTTCCCCGCCTTCGGCTCTCCTTTCAAGGTAGGTGCACCTGGCAGGCAGAGGGTGGGCTTAGGGTGAGCAGGAAAGGGGCCCAGTATGGAGAGATTCTGTATTGGCTGGTGCCTCATGTGTATCCCCATCACCAGACACTTGTTAGGTTGGGGGTTATTCTTAGGCTATCTCCAGTTAACCCTGTCCTGGCCTCAGACCTCAACCTCTCTGCCTACATTCTCCTCATACTTTCCCAGGATAACCTGTATTGTCTCCATAGCAACAGTCCTTGTCTCTGTTTCATCCCCTACTGCAAAACAGGCAATACCTTTTTGGTAGGCTAGTAAGGGAGCATTAGAGTCTCCTTTTCACACCTTGCACAGAGAGAGATAGTCCCTGGGCACTGACATTTGATAATTAACTCTGCTGAGTCCAGTCTAGTGGTAGGGTGTCAGGGAAGAAACCTTTGGTCTGCACACACACACACACACACACACACACACACACTTTAAAAAATATTTTTTTTTTGGTTTTTGTGAGACAGGGTCTCCCTGTAGCTCCAGCTGTCCTTGAACTCACTATGTAGACCAGGCTGGCCTTGAACTCAGAGAGATCCGCTTGCCTCTGCCTCCCGAGTGCTGGGATTAAAGGCATGCACCACCATGCCTGGCTGGTCTGCCTTTTTAACAATGGGATTCTGGCCGTCCCTACTTGCCCTTCCTCTCCTAGCACCCTGTTGTCCATAAGCCTGGCCTCCCAGCATGCTTATTCAGAGACACTACCTGTCCCAACATGCTTTCCTCAACCTGTTTTCTTCTTCCTGGGGGCTGCACCTCCCACCCTGCAGTTCTGTACACGCACCTGGGTGGGCCTCTCTTCGTGTGTGTAAGCTCCCGTGTATGTAAGTGCACATGTGTGTGGCTTGGGTCACATATATAACCTAAGACAACAAGGCAGGGCTTTGAGGAGGTTCCCAGCATGGCAGACAAGTGCTTAGTGGCATTTCTCCCTGCAGAGCTACAGGCCTGGCATGGCCTCCGAACCTTCAGGCTGGAGAGGACCTGCTGTTATGAAGCCTTGCTGGTGGATGAGGAGCGAGGACGCCTGTTTGTGGGTGCCGAGAATCATGTGGCTTCCCTCAGCCTAGACAACATCAGCAAGAGGGCCAAGAAGGTACCAGGGACCCCTAACCTCAATGTTGTCCAAGGAAAAGGCCTTAGGATCCCATTCTAGACTGTCTCGAGAATCCCAGAGCTGTGGGCAACTAAATGGGGAGACCCCCAAGAATAGAGAGCATCCCAAGTCCCATCTGTGTTTCCCCCTATAGCTGGCCTGGCCGGCCCCTGTGGAATGGCGAGAAGAGTGCAACTGGGCAGGAAAGGACATTGGCGTGAGTGTGGGCTACCCAAAGTGGGGCATGCAGAAGAGGGTTGGCCCCCTCACCCCAAGGCTGAGTCAGAGGACTGGCTGGGGTAAGGACAGGGAGGTCAAGGTGAATGAGGTCTAGTGGTGGTGAGTCAGGGTAGAGGGGCTCATATGATTCTTCTTAGGGGGCCTCTGAGTCATTGGAGGATGTACAGATCTATACCTATCCATGCAGCCTTCCTGTGAGAGTGGGCAGGACTTGTCACCAAGGGCACTCAGGTCCCTGTAGTCCATTTTAGTGTTTCCTCTGGCTGATGTATTAGAGAGGAAGGGGTGGGATTGCCCTTGGTGAACTGCAGCCTCTTAAAGGCTGCCTCCCTGGGAAAGCCTCACTGACTGTCTGCCCCACCAGACTGAGTGCATGAACTTCGTGAAGCTGCTGCATGCCTATAACCATACCCACTTGCTGGCCTGTGGCACAGGGGCCTTCCACCCAACCTGTGCATTTGTGGAGGTGGGCCACAGGTTGGAGGTAAGACCAGGTTTAAACAGAGGGAGGCAGGAAGCATAAGGAAGGGCCTGGCAGTAGTAACTCCCCCTGCTTGCCAGGAACCCATACTCTGGCTGGACCTGAGACGGCTTGAGGATGGCAAGGGGAAGAGTCCTTATGACCCCAGACATCGGGCTGCCTCTGTGCTGGTGGGTGAGTACAAAAGGCTAGGACCCCATGTAACTCCTAGAACCCCTTAGAGATTCTAGAACTTCACACATCCCAAGCAACCTCCCCGCAAGCCCCCTGGTCTCATTGTATCCCTAAGAGCCCCCAGAACTTCCCAAGCCCTCTACTCCAAGAGCCCACTTCTTGACTAAGCAGCCCTTGCCCTGTCTGCAGGGGAAGAGCTGTATTCAGGGGTGGCAGCAGACCTCATGGGCCGGGACTTTACCATCTTTCGCAGCCTGGGCCAACGTCCGAGTCTCCGAACAGAGCCCCATGATTCCCGCTGGCTCAACGGTGAGAGGCTGGTGGGGCCACTGGAAGGGGGATGACATCATCTAACAAGGCAGGTGCCAAACAATGATAAAGTAAGAGAGCAATGGGTAAAGTGTGGTCTCTTTGAATATCTACTATAATCAGGCCCTATGCCAGGGTCATAGAGACAGGCAAAAGTTTTTAAGTCCATAGATCTCAGAACAAATACATGATGAGATCAACTCCAGTGGCCATGAGACCAAAGAAAGAATAGAGAAGAAAGAAAAAGGAGTCTGGGTTGGAGAAAGGAAGCTACTTGCTGGGAGGAGGTGTGAGTTATGAATGGCTTCCAGAACACCAGAAAAACAGGTCAAAAGAATTGAGAGAAGAGTATTCCAAGTAAAGGGAACACTAGTGCAAAGGCCCTGAGGCAGGAACAAGAAACAGACTCATGGAGCTAGAATTGATAGAAAACTTATACCTAGAGTAGTTTATTCTGAGTATGGGACATGGCAGGATCTGAAGCATGAATGGAGAGCACCTGATCTGGTAGGGAGGAAGATTTGTGAATGAAGGTAAAACAGATACCCCAGCTCTCTCTTTTCCAGGCATATTTATTTAGGGAGCTAGGCACCCACCGTCAGAAGCCCTAAGGGTGGGGTGAGAGTTGTATGGATGGGCGTGGGGGGGGGGTATTGTAGCTTGCATGCACAGGTAGTCATGGTCTCTGCTGCCTCCTTGTGGTTACTTTGTGCCTTGCAGTTGCTGATCCTGTGGGTTTGGTTTTGGAGGCCTGGGTGGGGACCCTGCCGATGGGTTTACATGTTGGGGGAGGACCAGGATCTGCTGATACCATACCTCCTGTTTTGTCTAGAACCCAAGTTCGTCAAAGTCTTTTGGATCCCTGAGAGCGAGAACCCTGATGATGATAAAATCTACTTTTTCTTCCGTGAGTCTGCAGTGGAAGCCTCACCAGCAATGGGACGCCTGACTGTGTCTCGTGTTGGCCAGATCTGCCGAGTAAGGAGTCCCTGACCAGTTTGCCTGCTAGTCCCCAGCTACCTTCTCCCCTGACCCTTTGCCTGCTAGGGTTCTGTTCTCATCCCTTCTGATCCTGTGGGCAGAATGACTTGGGCGGCCAGCGCAGTTTGGTCAACAAATGGACCACGTTTCTGAAGGCACGTCTAGTGTGCTCAGTACCTGGAGTTGAGGGTGACACCCACTTTGACCAACTTCGTGAGTGCCTTGGGTGAGGGATGGGGTCAGGATGCAGAATCTAGGCGCCCACCTGGGCCAGGGAGACTGTGTATCACCCTGCCAACTAGGCCCTTTCCTTGCAGAGGATGTATTCCTTTTGTCCTCACGAGACCTCCGGACACCACTTCTCTATACTGTCTTCTCCACATCCAGGTGAGGGGCTGCAGGTAGAAGTTCCCTAGGGCAGGGCCAGCTAGACTTTCTGGGGCTGCTCACTCTGCTCTCATTGTTGCCTGCAGTAGCATCTTCCAGGGCTCTGCTGTGTGCGTGTACAGCATGAATGATGTGCGCCGAGCCTTCTTGGGACCCTTTGCTCACAAGGAGGGGCCTACACATCAGTGGGTGTCCTACCAGGGCCGTGTCCCCTACCCACGACCTGGCATGGTGCGTTGTTAGGGATCCTTGCTAGAACCTACTTCAAAGTTCTAAGGGTAGAGAACTTGGCTTAGTCTGGGGGTCTTGTTGGGAGGTGTAGTTTCTTCCATTTGGTATGGGTGGGAAAATGTCACCATCCTAAAATAGATTTTCAGGGTTCCCTCAGACCATATGTTCCCTCAGCCTGAGGTTCTACAGGGTAAGGCTCAAATACCCAGGGAAGCCCTCTGTCCCTCTCCACCTTCATATTCTCAGAGGCTTTGAATGGCTGACCAAATCCCTATACCTGTCTCTTCTTGCTGTGCCTTCATCCTTGCCTTTCCTAGTGCCCCAGCAAGACCTTTGGCACCTTCAGTTCCACCAAAGACTTCCCGGATGATGTCATCCAGTTTGCTCGGAACCACCCTCTCATGTACAACTCAGTCCTGCCCATGGGGGGGCGCCCTCTCTTCTTACAAGTGGGTGCTGGGTACACCTTCACCCAAATCGCCGTAGACCGTGTAGCAGCTGCTGATGGACACTATGACGTTGTCTTTGTTGGCACAGGTCAGGATCCTACCACAATGACCCTTATGACCCCTTCTCCCCATTCCTTGGCCTAGAGGTGAAAGCTCTCCTTGGCCAGTCCTGTCTTTTACATCTTTGAGCTGTAGCCCCATTTTTTGGGATGCTGCCCTGATTGATCCAACCCACAGTTTTCACTTGTTTATGACTACCATGCTGAGGATGAAGACCTTTGAGACAGGAGACCCCGCCTCCAGGTCCTGGCTGTCAGAGAAAAACCAATGGTCACTCCCTTTTTTCAATTCCTACAGATGTGGGCACAGTGCTGAAGGTGATCTCAGTTCCCAAGGGCAGCTGGCCTAGCTCTGAGGGGCTCCTCCTGGAAGAGCTGCAGGTGTTTGAGGTGAGGCTTCAACCCCAGTCACCTAGAACACACCATCTCAGCCCACTAAGCCCTGATCCCCCATGTCATGCCTCCCTTTTAGGACTCTGCCACCATCACCAACATGCAAATTTCCTCCAAGAGGGTGAGTGAAGAGAGGAGGAGGATGGACTGAACTTGCGTACCTCCTAAGTGTTTTTCTTCTTGGTAGTCCAGAGTTTAAGTATAGCCCCTGCCTTTGCTATAGACAGTGAGACCTGTGTAAGATCCCAGTGCTCCTTCCCATCTGTCAAGTGGGGGAAAGGATCCTTGACTGAAGGGAGCTGGGTAAGGGCTCCCCTCCATCAGACTGGAGCTTCTTGTGCCCTCTAGCACCAGCTCTACATAGCATCAAGGAGCGCAGTGGCACAGATTGCGTTACATCGCTGCACTGCCCTAGGCCGAGCCTGCGCTGAATGCTGCCTGGCCCGGGACCCCTACTGCGCCTGGGATGGGTCAGCCTGCACACGCTTCCAGCCTACTGCCAAGAGGTGGGCAGGGTTGGAATTTGGATTGGGCCCCACAGGGGGGATTAGGGTCTTCTGCTGCTCCATCACCAGAATAGATGAAGACCAGCTCACAGAGATCTCAATGTTCCCCTCAGGCGGTTCCGGAGGCAAGATATAAGGAATGGTGACCCCAGCACACTGTGCTCTGGGGGTGAGTACCCCATCTACCCCCACCCTTAGGCCCTGAATTGCCACACCCATCCTTGCCTTGTCTGAATCTGACATTCTCCTTGTCCTAAGACTCCTCTCGTCCCTCGCTGCTGGAGAGGAAGGTCTTAGGTGTGGAGGGTGGCAGTGCCTTTCTGGAATGTGAGCCCCGGTCACTACAGGCACATGTGGAGTGGACCTTTCAGCGTGCAGGGGAGGTGGCCCACACCCAGGTGGGCCTCTCTCCACCCTTCCTAACCAGGCCCCTCTCTCATCTACATCCAAGAGAAACCTTGCCCTACCTAATGAGGTATTTGGCCTGAACCCATATCTAGATGAAGTCTGGTCCAGTGAGGCCCTGCTCACCTTACTGTAGGTCCCATCCCATTAGGTCCTTAATGCTCTCCACATCCTAGTGATGTCCCGTTGTGTCCAGCTAGGTCCCTGACCCCTCCTCTACCATCTGGAGAATGACCTATCCATTGAGGTTCCTGTCAACCCCACCCCAAAACCCTTCACCCCCAATTTGAATCTTCATCTAAGGGCTCCTTTATCCCTGTGCACCTTGCCTTTAAGTGGGCACCTATGGCCACTCATTTTCCATTTCCTCTTGGCTCCCAATGACGCTTTGTTTTTATTGCTTCTCTCACCCAGCAGGTGCTGGCTGCGGAGCGAGCTGAGCCAACTCCACGGGGGCTACTGCTGCGTGGTCTGCGGCGCCAGGATTCCGGGGTGTATCTTTGTGCTGCCATCGAACAAGGCTTTTCACAGCCCCTGCGTCGCCTGGTGCTGCATGTGCTGAGTGCAGCACAGGCTGAGCTACTGGCACGGGCTGAGGAGGCTGCTCCCCCTGCACCACCAGGCCCTAAACTCTGGTACCGGGACTTTCTGCAGCTGGTGGAGCCAGGCGGCGGTGGAGGCACCAACTCCTTGCGAATGTGCCGCCCGCAGCCCGGGCCCCGCTCTGTAGAAGGAGAGTCACATAGGAAGGGCCGAAACAGGCGGATGCACGCCTCTGAGCTGCGCGCTGAGCGTGGGCCACGTAGTGCAGCGCACTGGTGACTGCGCTGTCCCCATACCGGAGACCAGACAGGAGATGACACACAGAAGAGGGGGCAGACAGACCCCAGGAAGACGGATGGGTTGTGGCCGGGCACACTGGGGTCCCCGGACCAATGAAGACACCCAAACAATAGGCCCTGGACAAAGGGCAGGGGAGCCAGCTTATTTATTAACAGGATGTAATGTAAGCCCTGGAAGAGTGACTCAGGCCGAGTGCAAGATCTAGCCTGGAGGGAGGGAAGAGAGAAATGGGGCTCCAGAGCAAAGACCAGGGACAGGACACTGTCTTGGGTGTCCACCCTGGGGAAAGATTTCTCTTCTTTGGGCAGTGAGCAGAAATCTGTGAACAGACTAGGCTGTTGGGTACTGGGTGACACAGACCGACTGTACTAAAGTAATGCAATAAACACATTATCGGCGAATCTGGATTGGCCCCAGCAGATATAACAGGTAGACCTAGCCTAGACCTTGCTGTGAGGTCTTGGGCATTGTCCTAGCAGTCTCAAGATCTGAATTTCTCCTGTCCACGATTGCAGTAGTGAGGATTTAAAGGTGATTGAACAGGTTTTTCTATAGAGCCTTTGGGGGTAATGACGTGCAGTGAATTCTGCACAATCTAACAGCAGGGCTAAATGCTCTGAAGTAAAAAACAAAACAAAAAAACTGGATGATGTGTGTAAGAGTGTGTGTGACACTTGAGCTGAAAGACAAGACTATGCCAACCACAGGAACATTCCAAGAAGGAAGAACCAGTGCAAAGGCTTGCAGGAGGGAACAAGCCTACCACATCTGAGGAACAAGAAGGCTAATATACTACTGTGGAATGGTGGACTCATGGATTCAGGGTGTTTGGAAGGTAGATCTCAGTCTTGCTGTGCCGAGTTGAGAAGGGGAACAGGAGTCCACAACAGAGGAAGGCCTGGAAGTTGGACCATTTCCTTTCAAGAATGAGCTATGCTGTTGTACATCCTCAAATGCCCCCATGCCACCTGTTATGCTCTTCTGGAAACGAATGGATGGGGAGGACCAATACTACTTTGGCATAAGTGCTTCAGATGTGTGCCTGTATTTCTATTTTCAGTACAATCTGCTAGGGAGAAACCCTTGTTTCTGTTTTACAGATGTACAGAACAGGCCAGAGAGGGCTTCCTAAAGCTATCTTTACCTAAGGTTGTAAGCTTAGTAGTAGAAACACCAGCTTCTGGCAGGTGTGGTGGTACATGTCTTTAATTCTAGCATTTCAGAGGCAGAGGCAAGTGAATCTCTCTGAATTTGAGGCAAGCCTGGTCCACATTGCAAGCTCCAGGCCAGCCAGAGCTACATAGAGCCTGTCTTCAAACAAATAACCCAGCTTCTAATCCTAATCCTGGTATGTCCACTGGTGAAGCATGGGTGCCCACTTGTAGGACTGCCAAAGCCCTATGGCACTGGGCTCCAATGGTGTCTACCATGCCCAATCTCTGCTACTAGCTCATCAAACAAAGGTGGGTGTTTGTCCTGTATTTGTTAGAAGATGGCTGGACTCTGGGTAAAGTGTGAATGGCTGAATCGGGGTCTCCTTTTTTGTTATAGCTGCTGGCAATATGTGGGGTCTCCTGTTTTGTTATAGCTACTGGCAATGTGGCACATTGTGCATGCTGACCCTGAGGTGGCCATACTGGATGAAGGCTCCAATGCCTATGTGTGTTGGAATGGTTGCCTGAGAAAGGTCCCTGTTGCCCATGTACTAGCAGAGGCTTTCTTGGCTGAGCCATTACTAAGTAGGTAGTGTAGGCCAACCCATGTGTTATTCTACCCCCTTTCATGGCTCAGAGCTGCCCCCTCTAAATATAGCCCAGGGGACTGAGCTCAGGCCTATTTTAAAACCAGGTTGGGAGGCAGCCAGGCATTTCCCAGGCTCCTAAAGGAGCCACTGCTGCCTTTATCTTTCTAGTCCTGCTACTGGGCACTCTCGTCGGCCCTTACTGTCCACTGCTTGCCATGCCTGAGGAGACCCAAGAAGGTAGGAGAGGGTGACTATAGGGAAGGGCAAGGCCCTATGGATCATGGGGAGATCTATCCCCATTGGAGGACCTTGCTGTCTTATCTTCAGTTTTCAAATCTTAGTTCTAGTAGAGGGACCTACCCCTGTGCATGGGGGAAGAATGAACTTGCCATGCCTGGAACCCCTCTTCACCTCAGGTTCAGCTTCAGCTTCCCCTGCTATGAGCCACTTGGAGGGATTCAGGGAAGCTCTCCACTTAGGAATGGGTCAACTACCGGCTGTGCCCAAGTGGGTGTGGGCATCTGGGGAGCTGCCAACCAGTTCATCTCTTCAACAAGGAAGCTGGAATTGGGGTGGGTGTGGAGTGGCTCCAAGGATTTGGACATCTGGACTAGGGATGAAAGTAGATAGGCCTCAGGCCTCCCCTGACTTGGGCCTAAATATCCCTAATTGGCTAAGGGTTGGAGTATCTCAGCCTGGACAGACTGACATTCAGCTAGTCAGGAGTTCGGTGGACTTTCACCTAACTCTTCTGCTGTATATACAGTACTAGCTAGGAATGGTGGCACATACACTCAGGAGGCTGAGGCAGGAGTGTGGCTGAGTTCATGGCTGTAAGGAGTTTGATGCCAGCTTAGGCTATAGTGAGACTTCCATTTCAAAAATAAAGAAAAAAAATAAATACAGAGGCTTTGAAGGACCTGGAGAAGCTGCAGGTACAGGTTGGGCAGGTCTGAGGACAGCAGTTCCATGGCTCTAGCCATAGTCTATGGCCACAGCCCAGTTTGGTCTACCTGGCAGGTTCCTTTCATCATATTCTCAATAGTTTTGTCTTTTTGGTTGTGAGCCTGAGCCTGTAATAGCTGCATTATTTCTTCAGCCCATATTCTCAACATTTAAAATTTTTACTTTGTGTGTACATGTGCCATGTTGTATGTATGGAGGTCAAAAAGATAATCTGAGGAAGTTGGTTTTCTCCTTCTACCATGTGGGCCCCAGGAATTGAAATCAGGTCATCAGCCTTAGTGGCAGGCACATTTACCTACTAAATCATCTCTCTGGCCCCATAATTAAAAAAAAAAAAAATTACAGTATTTTCCAGGTGTGGTGGGTGGTGTAAACCTTTGAGCCCAGCACTCAGGAGGCAGAGGCAGTAGATCTATGAGATTGAGGTCAGCTTCATCATCTACATAGCAAGTTCCAGGCCTACTGTGCCCACAGGGAAACCCTGCCTCAAAAAGCCAAAAAAAATTTTTACATTAATTATGTGTGTGTATACTCATGCATGCCACAAGTGTGTGTGTGACCAGAGGGCAACCTTTAGGAGTTGGGTCTTCCCTTCTACCATGTGGGTCTCAGGGATTGAACTCAGGTTAATGTTTTGGTGGCAAGAGCCATCTCACTAGCTGTCAGTATCTTATAATGCAGGAAAAGGGCCTGTCCTGGACTGAGGAAAAATGTTTGCCTTTTTTTTTTTGGGGGGGGGGGGACTTAACACTTGCCATGTTTTTTTCTGTAGCAAATAAAGTGCATTCAATTATAAAGTATGGGAAGTAAAGTGCAAAGAGGGAAATTTATTATGATCTGCAGTCCACTACCCACACATAAGGACTGACAGCATGTTTTTGTTTGACTGGTTTGTGAGCATGTCAGTTTTAAGCACGGAGAGTACCCTAACTAGGAAGTACTCCCCAGTACCCTGCTCCATTGTTATCTAACTTCCACGTGGGCCTCTGGAGCTCTTACAGAGCTAAGAATTTAAAACATTCAGTCAAATAACACCAGGAGGAAATATAGTATTTAGAAATCATAAATATTTTGATAGTACTTGGGAGGTTGAGGCAGAAGACTCATGAGTAGTCAGGAGCTCAAAGTCAGCCAGGCGTGGTGGTGCACACCTTTAATCCCAGCTCTTGGGAGGCAGAGGCAGAAGGATCTCTGTGAGATCCAGGCCAGCTGGGGCTACAGGGAGACCCTGCCTAAAAAAACCAACAATAACCATCACAACAAAAAAACTCAACAACAAAAAAACCCTAACCAAAACCAAAAACACCAAAAAAGTTTGAAATAATTACAATCACCCCAGGCATGATGGCATATGCCTTTAATCCCAGCACTCAGGAGGCAGAGGCAGGTGATCTTTTGTGAGTTCAAGGCTAGCCTAGTCTACATAGTGTGTTCCAGGTCAGCTGGGGCTAGAGGGAGACCCTGTCAAAAAAGACCAAAAAAAAAAAAAAAAAATTTACACTCACATAGAATTTACAAAGAATCAGTGATTAAATGGCAGGACCCAAGAATGGATAAAGACACAAATGCTGGTCAGGTTCCCTAGGAAAAGAATCAAATCAATCAAGGGAGGCTATTTCTCATCTCTCAAATTGGCAAATATATGTACAGATGCATGCATAAAAATTTTCCAGATGCTGGGGAGATAGCTCAGTAAATGCTAGCCTTGCAGGCATGAAGACCTGAATTTATTCCCCAGAACCCACATAATGGCATATACTTGCAACGCACCTCTGTTGAAATGGAGTCCTGAGGGTTCCTGGGGCTCAATGGTCAGTCAGCCTAGCCTATTTGGTGGGTTCCAAGCCAGTGAGAGACCCTATCTCAAAAAAAAAAAAAAAAAAAAAAAAAATGTGAACAGCCATCTGCAGAACACACACATTTTCAATGGGATGCCTAATGGTGGCGATGTTGTACTGTCAGGGGTTCTGGACAGACTTTCTAGAGGACAGTTTGATGATAGCTTAAAAATAAGTCTGTTCTTGGATTCAGTAATTTTACTTCTGGGAATTGTTCTTTATGGGAAACTGGAAAAAACCTTCATATTCAATGATGGATGTACTGGGGGTTAACTTCCAGAGGAAATTGGAAACAACCTAAATGCCCAGACAGCCTCAGGGGGAGCCCTGTATTATGGGAAACTATTAAGAAAAAGGTCTCCTGTAGTGATGTTGAGTGAAAACTGCAGGATTCTGGTGAGAACAGCAGAATCACACTGTGCTTGTTAGGGCAGGCAGAACCAAACCAGGAGGAAAATGGCTGGAATGTAGCTGCATTTACCTAGGAGAGTAGGCACCAGGTACCAGGTCTGGTCTGGTGGCTAACCTATAAGGCCTCAATTGCTGTGGCCTTGGACCAGCAAAACTGATGAAGTATTTGCTAGGGTTTTTTTTTTGTTTGTTTCATTTGAGATAGGGTCTCACTGTGTAACTCTGGAACTATGTAGACCTTGAATTCAGAGAGATGTGTGCCACTATGCCCAGCCTTAAACTGTTTGCTAGTAATAAGCAGGCAGAGGAATGCCTGAAAGTGCTTGACCTTGACACACTTAGAAGAAAACATGGGAGCAAGTTATGAGCCACTATGCACAGACCAAGAGGCCTTTAGAGTCTGAAGGCACCCTAGATATAAATCGAGTCAATCCTAAAGTTACAGGGAATTTGGAACCAAACAATGCCAAAATATTCCCATATACCCCAAGTCCCTGCTGCCTGAGGTTACCTGGGAGGTGAGGAGTGACTTGGTAGCTAAATCAGTCCCACTGCCCCTGCAGACACTGTGGCGCCAACACAGAGCCAGAGAAGCAGAAGACCACTGGCTCCTAATCATGTGCAGGAGGTACGTCTGCACCAAGTGGAGTCTATCAGTGACCTACACAGTGGAGGTGAGGAAGGCAAGATGGATGTTCTGGGTGAGGGTAGGAAAGCAGGTACCATCTTCCTGATCAACCACCCTCCCTGCAGGCTCACTGCGGCCCTATCTGGCTGAAGAGGCACAGACATGGGAAGAGCTTCTGGGTGTCTTGCCACCATCGCTGTGTACCCAGGCTGGCTGCAGCCCCATATGTGGCCATGGGGGGTTCCTGCTGCTATTGGCACTACTGGTGTTCACCTGTCTGGCACTAGCCATCCTGGCTGTCTACTTGAGTGGTAGGAACAGGCAGAGCTGGGAACCCAGGGCAACTGCAGATGCTGGAGTAATAAAGGGTGGGGCAGGGGGTAGTGGACATCCCCTGATACTGGGCTGGGTTGGAGGTCTTGGGAGGGCATGTGGTCTGACAAGGTCCCACAAATGCCTACCCACCTCCAGTGCTGCAGAGTGAATCCCTTCGAGTCTTGGCACACACACTGCACACACAGGAGGAGACTCTGCTCAAATTGCGTCTGGCCAGCCTCAGCCAGCTCCGGAGGCTCAACTCCAGCGAAGCCCGGGCACCCAGCTGAGATGTGACTTGGATGTGGAGCATGTGTGAGGGGGAATAAAGGGACCTTTGGCAGGTTTCTCCTCTCCCATTGATGGCTACATCTACACTACTTCCTTGGTTAGATTTTTGTACAAGAGCCTGATGTGACTTCACAGCAGCCTGTCTCTCCCGACCTCTTCAGGCCAGGCCTGGCCAAGCCTTCGGGTGCCAAGACCCTGTTTTGGGTGGCCCAAGGTCAGAGGATGAGGCACCAGCCTCCTGTCAGCACCCTCTGGGCATCCCTAGACAGGAGATTCAGAAGCCTAGAAATAGCTGCCCCTGCTCAGTCACCCCACTTTCCCAGAACTCCCAGTGGGGGGGTCCAGCCTCAGCTTTCAGACAAGCTGAGCTCTGAGTTGGGGGTGGTGGACCACATGGGGAGAGACTGCCTTGGAGGGCAAAGATGAGATGGGGCAATGTAACTGGGCCCAAGCCTGTGGGGTGGATGGGAAGGGAGGGCAGGCAAAAAACTCAGATTAAGGTCTCAGGAGGTTGAGTACTCTGTTTAATTCTCTTTTAATCTTTAAAATTAATCAGCACACACATCCACTCTAGGCAGGTTTGCCTCTCCACGTGCTATAGTGGCATGTGTCTAGACACCAGATCCCCAAAGGAAGTCACCCTAAGGGAGCAAGGTCTAAAAAGGAAAGGAACAGCCCTCTCTCACCTGCCCCTGAGCTCTGGATAGGCACACATTTGGCTTCACCTGAGACAGAACAGGAAGAGGCCATAGCCACAGGGCTGAGTTGCAGACACACAGGGCCAGGGTCCTAAGGATGCTGACTCCTCTCTCCAGACTCTCCCAGTGTCTATTTTTGGTTTTATCATTAAAAAAATAAAGCAACAATCACTGGCACAGACCAGTTCTTGTACTGTCTTCTGTTAAAAATATGGCAAGGGTGTAGATAGCCTTCTCTTGGGCCAGTGTGCTTCATAGAATATCTGTCCTTTTGTCCCTCGCACGACTTCGAGCTTTAGTCCGGGCTTTGAAGGCGGCAGCGTTATATAGGTGCTGGGTAAAGAGTTAAGAAGGGAGCCTGGTCACTGAGAAGGGAAAGCCAAAGGTTCCTCCTGCAGCCCACTCACAGCTCTAGGCCTCCAAGTAACAGGAGGCCTAGAGGGTAACAGGAGAGACGATAGAGTACCCAAGGATGCAAACCTTCTCAAAACGTGAAATTTTGCAGGCTTTCAGGGCAGCGGCATCCAGCACCAGTACAGGGCCCAGGCCAAAGATGTCACGGAGAAGCTCATTGTTCTGAAGACAAAAAAGGCATAAGCTCAGGCCAGTCTCAAGCAGCCAAAGTGGGCAACCTGTCCCGTGTGTCCCCCTCACCTGGAGGTGGTGGTGCATGCCTGAGCCCAGCACATCCTTGAAGGCTGCGTAGATGCGGTGGCGAGCCCAGCTGTCCACATAGAGCACTTCTAGCCCGAAGCGGATTGTCTCCTCTTCGCAGTCACCGCCCTGTAGGGTAGAGTACCCATACGATTGTGGATTGGGCTTGGCTGCTATGCCTGGGGACACATTCTTGCTAGGACACACATGTTCTCACAAACACACCTCAACAAAGTGCAACACAGCGCGGAATATGGAGCGTTGACGTCGACGATCAGCCTTGGCACGGTACTTGTTGCTGTCAGTGGCCAGAGTACGGAGGGCATCACAGAGGGCCTCCATGTCCTCATAAACAAAGTCCTCCTATGTGGGTGGAGGTGTTGGGTAGGAGCTTGGCCTCTTCTGGCTCTCAGCATGGGCCGAAGCTTTCTTTCCATTCATAGCCCTCCTCTTCTCTGCCTGGTTTCTCTTAACCCCTTCCCCGCCTTTGCCCCAGCAGGACACCTCTGCTCAGAGCCCCCATCCTTGAACCTAATGTGAGCCTGTATTGGGAACACCTCCCCTGCATTAATGACCCAAGACTGCTTTCTTTCTTTTTGGTCTTTTTGAGACAGGGTTTCCCTGTAGCCCCAGCTGGCCTGGAACTCACTATGTAGACCAGGCTGGCCTTGAACTCACAGAGATCCACCTGCCTCTGCCTCCCAAGTGCTGGGATTAAAGGCATGCGCCACCACGCCCGGCCCAAGACTGCTTTCTGTAGCATGCACTGCACAGTCTCAGATGGTCAGCGATGCCAGCAGGCACCTCCCACTGTCCTTCACACCTCAAGGTCCCGGGCGAGCTCAAAGAGCAGTGCAATGGCTTCACCAGCAGCAATCCGCAGGTTCACACTTTCACTGGACAAGAGCTGGGGCAGTCGGGGCAGCTGCCTAGGGAAGGGGCAAGCTAAGCTACATGTATGTTGAAGGTCCCTTCACAATTCCCTCCCACTTCTAGTGGGCAGCCACCCCTACCTGTCAAGGATATGGTTGATTTGGGTGCTGGGACAGATGGTGAGCAGCAATGCCCAGGCCTGCAGGGCAGCACAGAGCAGACCATGTGGACTGGCAGGGACCAGAGTAGCAGTGGAGCCACTGGTGCCACAGGACCAAGTGAAAACACCTTCCAAGCAGGCCAGGCAGGAGACCAGGTCCTAAGAGCACAGAAAGACTGAGGAGTGGCTCATGGGAATAACTTTGGGTATATATACTGTACCACCTGTATTCAAAGTCCCCTTACCTGGACATCAGTGGCAGCCACATAGCAGCCCAAGCCAAGAGCAGAAGCGCACTGTTAAGAAGAAGACAAAGCTAGGCCACCACGGGTGAGCAGCATGATTGGGAGCCCAAGTTCACTCCTCCTTAGCATTAGGGGAGTTTGAAGGTAATTAGAACCAGTCTGCTTAGGGATGAAGGGTTCATAGGGCAATGAAATACTCACATGGAGCCGGGCAGCAGGACTTGCTGTGCTGTCACTGAGCACCGAGACTAGCAGGGGCTTCAGATTATGGAACAGCTCCTCACCCTTGGGTCCAGGGCCCAGCTGCACACAAAGCAGGCCTAGCACAGCAGCAGCCAAGGCCTGTTCTTCGCCCTTCCCTACAGGATGCTTTCCAGTTAGCCCATGCAACAAGAGTAAACACCTGCCTACATAGGGTTTCCCAAGCGCCCAGGGCTTGACCTTTCTTAAGGCACTTTTCCAGGGCATCGGCCAGAGTGAGGCTGCGCTCCAGCAAGAAGTCTGGAAGCAGGCGAGAGGCCAGGGCCAGGCGCAGGCTCTCCAGAGCTCCTTGCCGGGTCTTGGCACTGGGAGGTAGAGAAAGGGGGTCATGTGAGTAAGTACTCTCTTGGTTCCACTTGCCATGGGCTGAGTAGGGCTCTGAGTATAGAAGTTGACCCAGAAGTACCTCTTGTCAGTGAGGGAGTCCACATATTCCTTCAGTTTTTCTTCTAGGTCTTCCTGCTCATCCACAGCTTCCCCACCTGCAAAGCCAGCAGGTCAGTACTGTGTCCTGCCCTTGTCCAGAGTAGCCCTCACTGAGCAACTTCCACTTGCTCTCACCCAGGCTGTCCTCTGCAGTGGTGCTGAGAAGGCTGGGGCATTCACTTGTGGTACTGCGGGCCTCACTGGCTGCTTCATCCTCACTGGAGCCTGAGTCAGCTTGAGCATTGCTTCGGGCACCTGGTAAACATAAAACTACTATGTGACCAACCAGCTTCCAAAGATGAGGGATAACTAGGAGTACCTCACGAATGCTATCCCATCTCAGATGAGAAAACCAAGGCTGGGTCAAATAGTACAACTTGACATATGGGACTTGAATTAGGAAGCAAGAAAAAGGGAACATAAGGTGCTAAGCCCAGTCCAGGGATAACCTGGCAGACTTGGTGAACAATAACCCCAATGAGGACACAGCCTGGTTTAAGGAGATGGGGAACCATGTAGAGGCAGAAGGAAATAGATGAGTCCCAATCTGGGTCTGTGGCCCAGTCTAGATCATGCTCCAATGTGGGTAAAGGTCAAGTGTTCTGCCACCAGGTTATACCCTTAACTTCCTCTCTACATTGTAACAGAAGCATAACTAAATCAGTTGGCCAGTTTTTAGAGATGCAAAAGCTCTTCTTTCAGGTGCAACAGGAAAGACAAGTAACTTGTTCTAGTTCTGCTGCAGGCCAGCATACTTAAGCTCTCTATCAATTCTGGGGGCAGAAGCCCAGGTGGCATTGGGTGTGCTGGGTGCCCCGTGTTTCAAATATATTGTTTTCTGAGTTTCCTTTAGTCCATTCAGGTCCATCAGCATTAGGTAAATACACAGACATAGTGGCTCCTCTTGACCATGGAAAAGTAAAGCAGCTTCTGACTGGGTGAACCCTTGAAAGAAGTAAACATAATAGTGAAATCTAAGTGTCAGGAGGGCAGGAACACTCCTCTGTATGGATATGGTTCAGGCCCAGAACTTGGCTTTGGCAAGGATAGCTACTATGGGAGAGTTCTAGATAGGTTCTGATCTGGTTGCTGGCCTTATACCTTAGGAACTATTTATATTATCTGTCTGCAGGAAAACGTTCAGCCCACACACTGGCTGTATTTATCTCTTACTACCCTACTTGTCAAACAGCTCAGCCTTTTCTCACTTGCTTCACTGTACTGTGATTTCTTCTGCCAGGCCTTTACACAACAGGATCTCTGCACAGGGCTCTTCACTACCTTCTCAGGACTCAGCCAGAAGCTCCTCTCAGGGGATCTCCTATGTTTCTGTATGACATCACTTAGTAAATAATTTTAGCGTTCATCCTTGTTCCTTGTGGAACTGTTAACTACCCTACTAAATGTCCCCGAACTCAAGCCACATTAGGGCAGTGATAGTAGATCCAAACTGTGCTTGGCAGGTACCCTGTATCAGCAGAGTAAATGTGTTTACTGCAACAAGACAGGCTTCTGGTTGCAGCTGATAAGGAGTCCTAAGACTGCCTCAGGCTCTAGGGTATTTATCCAGTCCCCAGCACAACTGCTAAGGCCCCTATTCTGTACTTTTCCAATCACATTTCCTTTAGTTTTCCAGAACAGGCTAGGCCTCTGCCAACTTCCCTGTGAGTCCACCAAAGGAACCAGGACTTGGCAAAGGGACTGGCTTTATGCTCTGTCCAGGGGTTGGTCCATCTTAGCTGGCAACTGGGGTGGGAGAGGCTATAGGGAAACCCAGGCACTGAAGTGGTGGCCAAGTAACTGCTGAGGGCGCGGGATCCCTTCTTCAGACAGCTGGCAATGTGCTCAGGTTGTGTGCACACGTGGCGGATGCCTGCTGGGGCACGTGCGGGCCTTAGTAGAGTTCGGGGAGGCTGCGCGGAGCTGATCTGGAAGGGTTCCCCAACTTAGGACCCTCGGTTGACATCGAAAGGGAGCCACAAAACGCCCCCGCTCGCCACTAAGCAGTCCTACCTGAGCCCCGAGACTCACCACCTCCACGGCGCTGGCCGCCCTTGCGGAGCGCGTTGCCCTTACGAGCGCGGGGCATGCCGGGAACCGGGGGGGGCGGGGAGAACAGGAGAGGGGGCGCGGGGTCAGGGACCCGGCGGGCGAGGACTCCAAACCAGCGAAACGCTGGCCGATGCACGGAGCCGAGACTTGGGAAGACGACGGGAGCCACACGCCGCGCGCGCCACCATCTTCACGAGGCGCCCCGCCCTGTCAAACGGGTCGCTGGGAAGGTGAGTTCCCGGTCACCCGGCTCAGGCCCGCATCCACGAGGCGGGAACTACTATCCCCAGGGGGCTAGGCGCACAGATTAGGGCCGCCCAGGTTTGGCGCAGCGCACGACGGGAATCGTAGTCCATTCCTGAGATACACAAACCGACGCTGCGCCAGCTAAACTATGTACCCACAATGCCCTGCGTACCTTCTTCGCTCCTCCTCAGACACCCCCGCCCCGCCCTCTCCGCGCCTAAATTCATAGTTTCCCTCATGGGTGGATGAAGCTTCTCTAGGCTCTTGCCACAGGACACTTGCCCCGACGCCAGGGTCCAGCGACAATGGGGAGTTTGGCCCTTGATATAACGGAACAGACAAGATTCAGGTTATGAAAAAGTAACCTTATGATGAGCGTACAGACGATAGAATTTAACAGATTATTTAGCCTAATTTTGGGGAGTTGGAGGGTGGGGTCTCTCTGCTTCGGGGTATGAGTTCTCTGTGCACCCACTGACGTGTAGGAACAAAGTCCTGGGCTGGCATCCCTAACCACCTGCAATTCAGACTCCGTGGGGTTGCTTTTTTGCCATAAAAAAGATGATCTCAGAGGGTCTCTGAGGCTGGTTTTATGTTTTTATTGGGCTCTATCCTTTCCTCAGGGATTCTGAGGGAAGGGGTGGTGGTGGAAGTGGACTGTGTACTTGGGAAGGTTCTGTAAGCTGAGTAGAGCAAGAATAGGGAGTCCCCCAAGAGCAGGAAAGTAGCAACAGGGACAGGAAGCAAGGGCAGGAACAGGAACTCCAAGCTTTATGCTGCTTCCTTAGGGCCAGGTCTGGGTTCTTGGCAGGTGGGGCCAGCTCAGCCCCTATAACAGTGGCAGCTGAAGGATTTCCAAGCTCCAAGGCTGCCATCTGGCAGCAGGTGAGAAAGGCTTCCATTTGTCCTGGGTCTCTCCTGGCACAGTGCCCATGGCCATGGCACTGTTGGTGACTGCAGGCCATGGCAGCCTTGGTCACACTGATTACATAGGGGCCTAAAGTACCCACTAGGTAGTCATGGAGATGCCAGCACTCCTGTGGAGAGAAGGGGGATATATGTCATTGTTCCTGCTGTATGACAGCTTGGCTTCTCCGCTACCCTGGGGCTTCAGTATGTACTGCATAGCAGGCTGAATGGGGCAGTGATCGCCTCAGAGCTGGAGAAGCTCAGGTTCCCCCAGAGCACCACGCCGGCTGCCCCCAGTGCTGCACTCAGACCAATAGTCTGCATCAAGTCATCCTGGAAGCAAAGAGCTGCTAAGCCAGTGCTGGACTGGCCAGATCCACCAGGGTTCAATTCTACCAACAAACTCTTTGGTTCACTACCATGATTAATTCTACCTCTACATAGGGCTCTTTTGCAGTCTCAGTGATTTTTAACAACTGCCACTCAGAGAATGACTCCTTAGACCAGGGCTCTAAAGGCTGGGCTCTGCTTTACCTCTTGAGATCTCATTGCACAAAGACATGCCTCCCTGCTCCAGGATAGGGTCTTGGAACTCTGTAGACCAGGCTGGCCTTGAACTCACAGAGATCTACCTGCCTCTGCATCCTGAGTGCTGGAACTAAAATATGTGCCACCACGCCCAGCCCAGGATAGGGTCTTTTTAAAACCCTTAGATCAAGAACCACCTCCTCAAGTCCCTCAGGCAAGATCTTCTCAAAGATCTTCCTAGGACAGAGCTGTTGCTCTACTCAAACCCCTAGACCTCAAGCTTCCACTTACCTGAGACAAGAATCTCCCAGAGCTCCGGTGTGTGAGTTGGGCATAGGCCAGAACAGGTAGAAGACGTGCATACCCAGCAGGAGCTACATGGAAGGCCTCCTCCAAGCGGTGTAGGACAAAGGCCTGGTGGTAGGCAGGTGGCAGTCTGGGTGGGAGGTAGATGCTAGGGAATAGAGCATTGGAGGTGGCCCAGAGCCAATGCAGTTGGGTGTTGTGGGTAAGGATGACTGCATGGCAGTGGCCTGTGTAGTTAGAAGCCATATTATGCCAGCTATTGCCACATGCTGGGTAGTGATAGGAGCCCCAGAGCCCATAGGGCTGCAGTGCCTGGCCCAGCTTCAGTGTCTTCCATCAGTGCAGTGCCGGGGCAGCCTGCTCAAAGACAGTACATGCTTTGTGGAGCTGCTCCTGAGGGTTGAGGTCAGGGAACATTTGCTGTGCCCAAGCCCAGGAGGCTGCCTGATAGACTCTGCGATGGGGGGCCCAGTTCCCAGCCCAGAGTGGATACCTACCATTCTTCCCAGTCTAGCACTGCCAAGCCAGCAAAGCTGGATCCCAGGCTGTGGTGGATTTGGTGGGCAACCTGTGCCAGGTGGCATTCTAGGAACACAGCCTGGGGGATACCTCCATTATATGCTGTGCCCTTAGGCCCCAAGTAAGGATAAAGGCTAAGGGCCAAACTGGTTCTTGTAGAAGATGGTGATATGCTGGCCATGACTGGTTATGATGCCCAGGGTATTAAGTGGTAGGTGCACTCCAAAGTGGGCTTTACAGCGTGCTGAGGGTACATTCCACAGCAAGGAAAAGGGGCGTTCAGAAGCCTGCAGTAAGACTGGCCATGCATCAGGCATAGGGCCACCCCCACCATCAGGGCTGAGCCTGGCTGGTCATTCCACAGAGATGGAAACCTGAAGGAGAGAGGGAATATGAACTTATAGAGTCCATGGCCAAGGCCATGCATGCCTTCTGAACAGGAAAGCCAGGAAAACTTTCCCAGTTCCTTCCCACAAGGAATGGGGTGGGGCTGGGGCAATTATGACTCTCAAGTGTCCCATGGGAATATATGAGAAGCCATATCCCAAGCTGGCCTTGGCTTATCCCCTCCAGTGTCCTCCATTTCTGTCAAGGCACCACCACATCCTTTGAGGCCTCCACTATGCTGTCACATGTCTTCCCTCCTCTGGCCTTCTCAGAAGTTCTCTGCCTCAAGACTATTTGGTGCTCGCCTTCTTGCTTTCCTGGCTTCATTTCAGCACTCAGGTGTGTACTATAATATCACTTCCTCTAGGAGGTCTCCCAGATCCCTAAGGGGAAGGAGGGCACTTGGGCTCTTGAAGCTGCTGTATCTCCTTGACCCAGCATGAGTCCTGCCACTGTTTGCCTACTTGTCTGCAAATTCCCCACTGCCTTTGCCCAGTGCAGGGTCTGACCCATAGCAAGTGTTTAGTGAATGGTAATGAGAGGGGAAAGGAACAGTAACTCTGACCCCTAGGCCTGGAAGAGTGGGAGGAGCAAAAGATAGGTATCACCCCATCAGTGGCTCAAGGGTCAAGTTGGATACTAGGACTTCTGCACAGATGGGAGATCTAAGAAGAGTGGGGGTTAACAAATAAACTGTCACAGCCACACCCAATGGAAGCCTTTATTCAGCTACACTGACAGGTCTGAGCCAAAGCTCTGAAGCCACCTCCTGGCCCATTGGTACCCAGGAAACATACCCAGGCAAAGGCTGCCTCCAGGGGCTTGAGGGGGCTGAGGTATGGCCAATGGACTGAGGCTGGGACTGTCCTGGGCAATCTAGTGGCCAGCCTTCAGATATCTTTTTCCATCCAGAATATGGGGCACCCCTTGAGGTCTCGGTATTTTGTCTCTATCAGGCTTTGAGGAAGGGGCCCCTGTGGTGGAGGAGGGGATGAGGTGGTCAGAGGCTGGCGTAGGGGAGGAGGTGATGGCAATGGGGGTCCCTTAGAGCTCCCTGGGACAACTTGGGTAGCCAGGTTAGACACCTTGCAGGGTGGCTGGGGGCAGGGGGTCTTAGAGAAGGCACGGAGCAGGGTAGTGGGCAGCCGTCGGCTGGTGAAGACCAAACCCTGCACAGGCTCACCCAAGTGGTAGCCCAGATGGGAATAGAAGTGAAGTTGGTCATGAGTGGTAAGGTGCAACCGGTGGAAGCCTCGGGCCCGGGCAAAAGCCTCCAGGCCCTCCATGAGGCGGCGGCCAAAGCCACGGCCTCTCAGAGTCCGGGCCACTACCACTGTCTCCACTAAGAGGCTGTGTGGTTGGTCCAGTACCCGTGACAGACGGGCATGGCCCACCACAATGGGGGCTGCTCCAGGTGTGGGCCGGGGGCTCAGCAGCATTAGGCAGAGGGGGAAGGCATCTGAGGACTGGCCCAGGGAGTGGAGGCGGGAGGCACGACTTCGAGGCCACTGATCATTAATAAGGTCAGCACAAGCACTCAAGAGCTCAGGTCGGCAGTGCACAGGCTCTAGAGTCAATTCAGCTGGGTTGGGGGCTGGTGTCTCTTCTGCCTGGTGCTCAGGATCCAGGGTAAGCTCAGCTGGGCCAGGAGTGAGGGTCATCTCTGGATGGCATGAGGAATCCAGGGTCAGCTCAGCTAGCCTGGGGCTCAGGGACAGTTCTGGCTGGCGTGCAGGATCTAGAGTCAGCTTTGCAGGACTGGTACTCAGGATCAGCTCCATCCGGTGCACAGGGTCTAGGATAGAGGTCAGCTTCGCTGGGCCAGGGCTCAGAGTCAGCTCTTGCCTAGAGGTAGGATCCAGACTCAGCTGAGTCAGGCTGGGAGCCAAGGTCACTTCCTGTTAGGTTGCAGGTGGCTCAGTGCCAGGCTGGAGGTTAAAGCCACGGTCTCTAGGCAGTGGCATCTTCTCACATGAGGGTTCATCTCCTGTGGATGACAGCCGTGCTGGGCTGTGCCAGTAAGATAGGGTTGGGGCAGGGAAGGACTGGTGAGTGTTAGGGGGCCATGCATCCTGGAACTGGGGAGTGGTATAATGTACCTTGTCCCACATGCGCTTGATGGTACAGGTTGCCTAGAAGAAACCCATCCCTGATACTTGGGAAGAGAACTCAGAGAGCAGGGGAAATGGATCCTGGTGTCCTGCCCCACACTTGAGGGCAGCTGAGGGTAATAGTGAATGCTGAAGGCTAGGGCAGAATCTGGAGGTTCTGACAGCCTGTTCTGGCTCAAATTTGTCCTCTCCAACACCTCAGTGTGCCAGGCTAGCCAACCCATCCCATTTTCTGGTCATCTTTATTTGAGTTTTTCTTTTTTCTCTCTTCCTTCCGGCCTTTCTTTTGAGACAAGGTCTCACTATGTAGTCAAGGTTGGCCTTGAAGTAGTGATCCCCTGCCTCCACCTCCCAAGTACTAGGCATCAGTCTAGTACTGATCATAGGCATCAGTCTCCACCACACCAAGCAGGCTATCTTATCTTTACTAGTCCACTACTATAGCTGGCTGGCCTTGGACAGAAGGTGCAAACAAGACATCATACCTCTAGCTTACTCCCACTCAAGGTTTTCTTCAGAAGAAAGACTGGTCCAGGAGTTCTCCTGTCCCTCCCTTCTCCCTACATGCCAGTTCTCCTCCAGCTCTGGACTTCTTTAGGTCCACTGCCTATTGAAACCTGGGACTCCACATATCACCTCCACCAAGTTCACCTTTCCCTCCCTTTACTGCCTTCCCTTGCCCAGTGCGCAGAGCCTTTTGCCCACCTCTTCAACTCTGCCTAGCTAGACTCTGGGCATAGACCCAATGGTCCGTATAAATGGGGCCCCAGCAGCACCAGTATGGGGCTTGGCACATACAGTACAGAATGTTGCTTCTGCAAACCTGCTTGCTTCTACCCTGGGTTTGTAGCCACCCTGATAAAGACCACAACCTCCTTCCTATATCCATAGGTGTCCGTGTCCAACTGCCACCAGGTTGTGGGCTAAGACCTCCCATATCCAAGCCCCATCATTTACCCACCTTATTCTAGGTTCTGCTGGCAGGATGGTCTATGCCGGGGGATTTCTTGCAGTGGGTGGGCAGCTGAGGCCCACGTTTCTGCTCGCTCCAGAAAGTGCCTCCTGGCTCCCCTTCCTAGCTATCCCAGAGCTTGAGCACAATTCAGCACAACTCAGCTCACGCCAAATCCCACTCACAGGGCTTTAAGCCCCTCACCTGCATCAGCTGCCTCAGCACCAGCTGCTGCAGCACCAGCACCAGCACTCCTCCACCCCCAAACGCCCACTAGGTTTGGACGGAGGAGGCCTCAGGGCCCGCCCCCAGCCTAGAGCCCCAGGTTTCCCCAGGCCGACTTAACCCCTTCGGTACCGGTCCCATCACTATAGGCGGAGCGAAGCTCCGGACCTTCAGAGGGTCCACACTGTCTTTTTACAGCTCGAATTTCTCGGCCCCTAGACAATCAGAGAACTTAGAGCTTTTGGGAGTGGGGGTTTTGAAAGCTTGACTATGGGTGGGTGTGGCTCAGCATGCTCTGGGAGGGAATGGCCCACCGAGGGGGGGCGTAAGGGGCGGCCTAGCCACTTGGGGGCCGCAGGCGCGGGGAGGATTAACGATTAACGGGCAGCGTTGGAGAAGTGAGGGCGGTACTGACATGTTAAAACCGAGCTCTGGGATGTTCCTCGTCCTGGCTCTTCAAGGTTCAGTCTCTCACGTCCTCTGGCTCCGACTCTTCCGTCTGTCCACACTGGCCTCCAGCGGTACGGCGGACACACTACAGCCGTCGCAGGCGACCGTGTGCCTGTTTCTCCTAGGTTTCCGGGGCTGGATCGTCACCTCCTAGTCCCCGCCCCTGGTTCTCCGCGTCACAATACGGGACTAGCGCAGGCTCATCTCCAGTGCCCCTGCTTCCCCTTCCACTGCGACTGCGCTAGACCCTTTCTCCCGTTGGCCCCGCCTCCTTCCGTCCCGCCCCTTAGAGGCCCAGCCAGGCGCTTCCAGAGCCAACACCTAGTTACCGCCCGGATTCCACTATGTAGAGGCCCAGCCCCGGCATCACATTTCAGGGAGGCTCAGGCCCAATCTCTGCCTCGCCCTGTCCCAGGTTCAGAGTGGCAGAGTTCCTTTTTGTCTAGGCTCTCTAGCATCTCCAACCCCAGCGCATCATGTAAATAGATCAGGTGGCACTTCCTGGGAAACTCGGTCTTCAGACAGACATCACATTCTAGGTCCCAGGGCCTACCCATTTTAAGGTGCTCAGTAAACAGTTAAGCAAATCATAACTTTATTTTCTGGGTTGAGCAGTGCAAGTGTCTCAGAGGATTTAGGGATTATATATGTATGAAGTGGTGTTATTTTCCCAGCTCACTTAGGGCACCATCAACACACAGTAGGTGCACAAGGGTTCTATCCCTAGTGCAGATAGTTTAGTTTCAATCTGCTTGTCTTTCTTCTTGCTGTGCAACATTGGACAAAAAGTATTCACCCTCCCTGGGTGCCTCAGATTTCTCATCGCCTCATTGTGAGGATTGAATAACTTAGCTCACTTATGTGCTTAGCACAGGACTTGGCACAAAGCAGGTACATGTCAAATGTTATCTTTTGTGACTTCTGTCTCAGTGCTGCAGGAATTGTCTATGATCCTGTCAAGTATGCCCTTATAAGCACTGAGTTGATGGTGTCTGCCCTTAGTTCTAACTCATTGGATGACTACTCCAGTCTGTGAGTATGCATGTTCATATGACTATGCCAGTGAGTCTACTCCTGGCTGACTTGTGTCTGTGACTGTATTTGAGAAAGTCACAAGTAGGCACAGGGTGTGTTAGGTACTCAAAGTGTGCAACCTGGCACAATCACCACATGCCCTGCTTTTCACACCACTCTCCACTCCAGCCCCTGTAACAGCGACATTTGAATTTCTTAGCCATCTGTGTCTGATCCTCAAGTGAGAGGGCACCCTTCAGGGTCAGGGGCCTGCTATCAGATGTTATGGAGAAACTGGCAGGGTTCAGGATGAGGAAAGCCTCAGGGTAGCTGGGGTGGCGCATACAGCGGCCATGGCCAGAACACAGGGATTTACTGCAGAGAAGAGCTGCATTGGTCACATTCAGTATGAAGGGCCCAAGTGTGGAATCCATATATTCCTTGATGACTTGGCATGATTCCTGAGTGGGAAGGGGAATGTCAGGGACACCACAGTCATGCATGAGCCCACCTAGGTCTTTGAGGTACTTATTTTTTGCTTAGCTAGGACTTCAGGGGTAGAAAGGGTGGGCTAGGCCTTCCCCATTCCAGCCCCCATTCCCAGAACTGAACTTACCTTGGTTCTTGTGTTTTCCCAGCTCACCCAGAGCACCACTCCTGCTGTTCCTTGGGCTGCACTCTCCCCCAGGCTGTATTCCAGCTCCTCCTGGGAAGGAGATGGCATAGCTCTATGGGACCTTCCTCTCTTTGTCCCAATGGGGGCTGCTGTGACATCAATGGATGGGACAAATAATTTGTAACCTTCACCTAAGGCTACTCTAGTGCTAGTGGTCAGAGGCAAATCTGTCCCCTCTCCAGCCTCTAAGTGCCATATGAATAGGAGCTAATTTCTGGAACTCACTATGTAGACCAGGCTGGCCTTGAATTCACAGAGATCCGCCTGCCTCTGCCTCCTGAGTTCTGGGATTAAAGGCGTGCACCACCACGCCTGGCTAGGAACTAATTCCTTTAATAAATGCCTCACATAGAACTTGGCATAAAGCAGATGCTTGATGTATGTGAGAATGGATAGACGAAGTACTGGGGCGTGTAGCTCAGTGGTATAATATATGTCTAGAATTGGTCCAAAGCACTGAGTTTAATTCCTCAGGACCAAAATCAAAACCCCCTAAACAAATAACAGAAACAAAAACAGAGCTCCAAGGCTATGTGGACTCTGTAGTTGGACTTGTTACCTTATTACCTAACAAGAAGGCTGACAAGGTAGACAGGTCACAGAAGACTCACCAGGGGTAGAAGATGATTTGTCATTTTGTAGAAGATCTGGAGGTAGGGCAGTACTGGCAAATTGGGGTCTCTGGCAGCCATAGCTACACGGAATGCTTCCTGCACACGATTTTGAACATACATCTGTGTCTTCCCTGTACCCATCAATGCTTTAGGCAAGTAGATACTGGGGTAGAGGGCACGGCTCTGGTTCCACAGCCACCCTAGCTGGTCATTCTGGTCACAGATGCTTGGCAAGCACTGGCCTGTGTAGTTGGGACTTAGAAAGTCATAGTTGTAGCAGTCAGGGAAGCCATAGAAGCCCCAGAGGCCATGAGGATGCAGTACCTGTCCTAGCTGGAGGGTGCCTGCCATCCAGGCTTGGGCAGCTTTCTGAAACTGGTCTTGGGCTGCTGCCTCCACTGAAGTTTCAGGCCAGTCAGGGTACTCTGCCTTTACCAGTGCCCGGGAGCGCTGCCGGTAAATGTCCTTGCTGTCCCAATTGAAGGCCCAGCGTGGGCGCCATGCCTCCCAATCAATGACTGCTAATCCTGAGAAGTCAGGTTCAGGCATGGCAGCTTTGAAGTCCTGGAATGCGTGGATCAGGTGAGCAACCAGGCTAGCATTCTGGGGCAAGCCACCAAATACGGGTTCCCCAGTGGATGTATAGTAGGGGTAGGTACCCAACTGCCAGCTGTAGAAAATAGTCATGTCAGAGCCACGGAAGGTCTGTCCCTTGTTGGCAACCACATCAAAGACACTGACGTCCACATCTACTCCGTGTCTGTCCAGGCACCACTGGGTGTCTGCGTTCCAGACAGTGATGAATGGCTTGTTGGGGTCTATGGAACCCCTGGAGCCTTGGGCCAAGTCAAGCAAGGTCAGGAAGAGAGTACAGATGCACAACAGGTGGTCTGCAGTGGCCTGAGGTGGGTCTGGGGAAACCTGGCCAAGGGAAGCAGAGTTCAGGACATATGCCAAATTTTCTGACCCCTTGCCAGAGCAGGCAGGTCCAGCCCCTTACTCATAAATTTGTCCGTGCTGTAATTTTAGTTGAACACTGACCTGCAAGGTTCAGAGACGTTAGAGAGCAGAGAAGTAGCACTGCCATGAAAGGAACAAGTGACTTACCTTTGGCCAGAACTCTGACATTTGCCTCCCCCATGCCTTATCCTGTCTTAATCTTGCCCACCCTTCTTCTCCAAGGGCCAGTGGAGCTGTGACATTTGTTCTAGAAAGAGGAGCCAAGAGAACTGGGCCCTCAGTCCTAGGCTGACCTGATTGATGGATGAGGGAGGCCTTTTCCTGCCTCTTCCACCAGAAATCCTGGCAGCTGCTGGGAGAAGGGATGCTCAGTGATCAAGAACAGCCCAGCCCTGGACACCCGCCAGCTGCCCACTTGTCCCTGCTGACCTCAGAGCTGAAGGGCCTCATTCTTCAAACTTCCTGACTGTGGAGTGGAAGCCCAGGCACGCTTGGCTGGATTCTGTCCCACACACTGGCCCCAGCTGCACCAGAAACTTCTGGAAGAAGCTGAGGCTGCTGCTGGTGGAGATGGAAATTCTGAGCTTTTGTAGATGGTTACCCAACCCAGTTCAGAGGCTGGCCTTGGCAGGGGGTGGAACTGGGGCTGGACCAGCTGTGGCCCCTCCCACTTGGACAGCACTAGGGGAGGATTTTGTGTCTTTACTGGGCCAGAGTAGGTGGATGGTGGCAGACATACAGTATGGTGCCTGAGGATGATATGCTTATAGAGTACCTTCTCCACACCACTGCATAATGACATTGGCAAGCCCGAGGCGCTTTTGTCTTTGTTGGATCCCTTCCTCATTAAAACAGTTTTTGCTTTGTTTTTCAGTGCTAGGACTAGGGGCCTCATGCTTGCTAAGCAAGTACTTTACCATTCAGTGAGATCCAAAGTCCCTTAAAAACAGTATTTTAGCTGGGCGTGGTGGCCCATGCCTTTAATCCCAGCACTAGGGAGGCAGAGGCAGGCAGATCTCTGTGAGTTCAAGGCCAGCCTGGTCTACATAGTGAGTTCCAGGACAGCTGGGGCTACAGGGAGACCCTGTCTCAAAAAAGACCAGAAAAAAAAAAAAAATCAAACCAAACCAAGCCAAACCAAAACAAAAACATTATTTTAGGGGCTGGAGAGATGGCTCAGCATTTAAGATCACTGGCTGCTCTTCCAGAGGACCTGGGCTCAATCCCCCAAAACTCACATGGTGGCTAACAACCACTGTAACTCTAATTCCAGGAGATCCGACACCCTCTTTTGGCCTCTTTGGGTACTGCACAACACGGGTGCACTTACATACATGCAGGCAAAACACTCATACACATAAAATAAAAATAAATGAATAGAAAAACCCAAAACAGTATTTTAAAATATAAGCAGGCCAGTGCTATGTATGGCTAAGTGGGTAAAGGTGCCTATAACCAAACCTGATGAGTTCCATCCCTAGGAACCACATGGTAATACCGACTCCCACAAGTTATCCTCTGACTTCTATAAGCACATGCCATGGCATGCACATGCCCCTAAACATACACATACACAAATAAATGTAAAATGCTGTCTTAGGAAAAAAATAAGGTGCAAAGCCAGTTGTGGTGGCCCACGACTTTAATCCTAGCACTTGGGAGGCAGAGGCAGAGGCAGAGGCAGGCAGATCTCTGCGAGTTCAAGGCCAGCCTGGTCTACACAGTGAGTTCCAGGTCAGCTGGGGCTACAGGGAGACCCTGTCTCAAAAAGACAAAGAAAAAAAAAAAAGGTGCAGACACCAAACATTGACCTCTGGCCTTCATACCACACACACAGATGGACATACAATGCACACAGCTACATCACACACATGTGCAAACATATACAAATACAGACACACATGTCAAAATTTTTTTGTGAGTTCTAGAAGTATTGTGACCCTAGGTGATGTCTATGCCTGCCGTGCCTAATGGCTAACTGATCTCCGTTTCTAGAAAGCTCTGTGTTCATGAAATTTGGGGCTGTGTCATCACTCTTTGTATATGTTTTGGGTCAGTGACTGTGTCTTTGTGAAGCTCTAGCTGCTAATTATCTGGACCACTGCACAAATTCCCAGGGGTTTATCCATGTAAGTGTGGGACTCAGTGCCTGGGATCATGTGTGAGAGATCTTGTGTCTTATGACCATGAGACCCTGTGTTTGCGTGGCCACAAGGAATGAGCAGGGGTCTAGTAGTGAGAACATACATGTTCATGCATTTGTGGTTTTACTCGTTCACTGAGTCAGAGGCTAGTTATTGAGATCTCCTAGGTGCTCAGGCCCAGGCTTGCCTGCCCTGGTGAGGAAAGTAGAAGAGAGGACATTTGTCTGTGCAGAGTGAAAATGCTGCCTGGGCCTGCTACAGTGTCTGAGCCTGAGCCACTGAACCCCTGACCTGGTGGCCACTTAAGAGCATTGGCATTCACAGTAGGCTACCATCTAGTTTTGGTCTTCCAGGCTACCTGGGTTGGAGAAGCTGGCAGGATTGAGGGAAAGGAGGGTTCAGTGTACAGAGGATTGTAGGCATATTAGCAGAGGCACATGTACAGGATTGAGCCTCTACAGAAGTTGTGGTTGCTGATCTTGTTTGGAAAGAAGCATCTCAGAGTGTTGACTGTGTAGGTCTAGAGAGCCTGTCACAACTCTCAAGGGCTGAAAGGACAAGTGAACAACATAGCAGCCCCCTTCTCCTCTCTGGCATCCTTAGAAACAGTGCTGCAAATCAAATAATCCAGGCAAGCAGCAGACCAGCATTGTTAACCTGGCTGTAGTCTAAAGTCCAAAGCAAAAGCTCTAGTGGTGGGAGAGCAAGGAGTAGGGGGTGCCTGAAGCCCACCCTCATCCTAGGTACTGTTCACAGGCCGGGTCCTGCCAGGCTTGTCCAATTGGATTGGTCCAAGGAGGGGTGTGTGTGCATGAGCACATGTGCACATACACATACACATATAGTCTGTTTAGCTTGATGGTCCAACCCTGGCTGCTCTCTGGCTGTGCCTACTTCAGGCTTCTGAGCCACCTCATCCTCCATTATCTTACCCCCAGTTTCCCCAGACAGTTCTTGTTATCCCTGATGTTGCATGACTTTTCCTAAGGAGATATGAACAAATGTCTATTCATCCCAGATAAAGCGCTGAAAACAGACCAAACAAATGATTCTATCCAAGTCTAGCTTGGTGAATCAATGAGTTTACTGGGGTTCCTTACAGAAGCATGAATGAGGGACTATTTATAGAAGCATAGGTCACTCACTAAGCTGAGTGTGGTGGTGCATACCTTTAATCTCAGCACTCCAGAGGCAGAGGCAGGTGGATCTCTGTGAGTTCAAGGCCAGTCTGGTCTACATATCAAGTTCCAGGCCAGCTGGGGCTACAGGGAGACCCTGTCTAAAAAAAACAAAAAAAGCCGGGTGTGGTAGCACACACCTTTAATCCCAGCACTTGGGAGGTAGAGGCAGGTGGATCTCTGTGAGTTCAAGGCCAGCCTGGTCTACATATCAAGTTCCAGGACAGCTGGGGCCACAGGGAGACCCTGTCTAAAAAAAACAAAAAAAAAAAAAAAAAAAAGAAAAGAAAAAAGAAAAAAAAAGCAGCATATGTCATAGGTCACTGAAAGGTAGCCTTATCGCCAAAGAGTCCACCATAGCATGGTCAACAATTCACAAAAAGCGCATTCTTTGAAGAATCTGTTTAACTTATAGGCAGCTCTACCCAATTATTTATGGCTTTTTACCTTTGGAGAAACATTTGAATCTTGTAATTTTCTTTAATTTTTTTTTTTATTACACTTTAAGGGCTGGAGAGATGACTCATAGTCAAGAGCACTTGGTGCTTTTCTGGAAGTCCTGAGTTTGGTTCTCAGCACCTGTGTCAGGTGGCTCACAACCATCTCTAATTCCAACTCTAGAGGATCTGGTCTTCTTTTGACCTCCGCGGGTATGCACACATGAGACATACACACACACATGGAGGGGGGCATAGAGCATGGTTGTGGAGATTGGAGGACAACCTGTGGAAGTCAGTTCTGTCTTCCAGCATGGGGGTTGAACTCAGGCCAACAGACTTAACAGGTACCTTATCCTTCTGAGCCATTTCATCACCTGAATCTTACTTTTTCTGAGTTTCCTGAGCCTTGTAAAAGTTTCCTCAGCTTTTTGAGTCTTTTTTTTTTTTTTTTGGTCTTTTTGAGACAGGGTCTCCCTGTAGCCCCAGCTGTCCTGGAACTCACTACATAGACCAGGCTGGCCTTGAACTCACAGAGATCTGCCTGCCTCTGCCTCCAGAGTGAATGTGTATGTGTGTATTGCCTCCATGTAGGTAAGTGTACCTGTGTTGTGCAGTGCCTGCAGAGGTCAGAAGAGGGCATTGAATTCCCCTGGAATTGGAGTTACAAACAGTTGTTGTTATGGGTATTAGGAATTGAACCCAGGTGCTCTGCAAGAATAGCCTCTGCAAGAACAGCCAGTGTTCTTAACTGCTGAGTCATCTCTGTAGCCCAGCTTTCTGAGTCTTATGAGCCTTGTTCAGACTTCTTGGAGGGAACATTTCAAATCAGAAGAAGTAGTTACCCAATACCTGGGTTGTACTTTCTCCAGGGAAAGTGGTGTGAGGTGATGGACATGATTTTGTATGGAGGGGCTCACAGTTAGATAAGTGCAGGTCACACCTGTGTGAGAGAGATCTCAGGTGTGGATAAGACACAGATGCTTCTTCCGTTGTCCTATGGCCACTCTCATGGTAACAGTTCAGTGCATGTGTGTGTCTACATAGGTGGGGAATCAAGACTTTGTTCCTAGGGGATTGATAGATGCAAGGAGTCATGGTTGGATGGGAAAGGTCACAACTGGGTGGGTCCAGATTATTCCTGGGTGTTGGAAGGTTGTAAGTGTGGGAAGTCACAGATATGGGGAAGTCAGGACACAGTTCTTTTTCTTGCCTTTGTTGAGCTCCATTTTTGTTGGCCTTTCTTGATTGCTCATTCCCTCCTTCTCTCCCTCCCTCCCTAATTTAAAATTATTAAGCCTAGCATGGGGGCACACACCTTTAATCCTAGCACTTGGGAAGCAGAGGCAGGTGGATCTCTGTGAGCTCAAGGCCAGCCTGATCTATATATTGAATGTTTTGCCTGCATGTATGTAAGTATACCATATGTGTGCAGTGCTCATGGAGGCCAGCAAAGGGCATTGGATCCCCTGAAACTGGAGTTATAGACTGTTGTTAGCTGCCATTTGGGTTCTGCAAATTGAACCATGGTCTTCCAAGAGCAGCACATGTTATTTTTTAGGTCTTTTTGGTTTTTTTGGTCTCCCTGTAGCCACAGCTGGCCTGGATTCACTATGGAGACCAGGCTGGCCTTGAATTTACAAAAATCCACCTGCCTCTGCCTCCTGAATGCTGGGATTAAAGGCATACACTACCATGCCCGCTAGCAGCAAATGTTCTTAACCAGTGAGTCATCTTTCCAACTCTGCAAAATAAATTTTTGGAAAACTTTATTTATTTATTGTGTTTATTTATTGTGTATGTGTGTGCACGCCTGCTAGACCTATGTGTGATATCAGAGAACAACTTCTGGGAGTCAGTTCTCACCTTCTACTATGTGGGTTCCAGGAATCAAACTCAGGTCATTAGTGCCTTTACCCACTGAGCCATCTCACTCATCTCTTTATCCCTCAGTCCATCCCTTCCTCTTTTATTTTTGATAGGGTATCACATTGCAGTATAAGTTGGTCTGGAACTCACTATGTAGCACAGGCCCACCTCAAACTCTTAGTGATTCACCTGCCTCAGCCTCTCAAGTGGTGCTAGGGTTACAAATGTGTGCCAAGACTGGCTTCTGCCTTTATTGACCAACACCTGAATCTTCTAGCCTGGTTTCTCCACACCATGGCCATAAACACCTGCGACTGCTCCACTTCTTTGTCTCCCTCCTTTGCTGTTTACTTACGTTGCCCTTGTACCCAGGCTCCTGTTCTTTACTCCTTGCCATTGCCAGAGACAAAGGATGGATTTATTACATTAACATGGATTTGGCTGTTTGTTCTTATGGCTTTGCCTGCCTAAAACATCATCTCCCTGGGAACTCTACAAGCTTGGCATCTGACTTTGTCATCCTTATGAGCAGAGGTCTTCGCTGCTGTGGTTCCCATATGCATATTCAGCGCATAGGGCCAGCACCTGCCTAGGAGCATACCTAAAGTGTTAACTGACCAATGAGGCAGTTACCATCTTCAGGTCAAGTCCCCTTCTGAGCTGCCATTTACCTCTGCCCCATCAAAGCTGCACCCCAGCTGTGTGGCAGCTTCCAAATTCCTCCAGCTTTGTTCCCTGGCATCAAGCTGCCTCGCCCATTTTTCTTTCTTCTTTTTTTTTTTTTTTTTTTTTTTTTTTTTTTTTGGTCTTTTTGAGACAGGGTCTCCTTGTAGCTCCAGCTGTCCTGGAACTATGTAGACCCAGCTGGCCTTGAACTCAGAGATCTGCTTGCCTCTGCCTCCCAAGTGCTGGGATTAAAGGCGTGCACCACCATGCCCAGCTCTTTTTCTTTTTTCGGTCTTTTTGAGACAGGGTTTCCCTGTAGCTCCAGCTGGCCTGGAACTTGCTATGTAGACCACCAGACTGGCCTTGAACTCAGAGATCTGCTTGCCTCTGCCTCCCGAGTGCTGGGATTAAAGGTGTGCACCACCACACCCCAGCCTGGCTCTCTTTTTCAAAAAAGATTTTCTTTTTGTTTATGTGTATGTGTTTTGGGAGAGTATGTTCATGTGAGTGCAGGTACCCATAAATGCCAGAGGATGTCTGATCCCCTAATGCAGAGTTATAGGCAGTTGTGAGCCACCCTACATGGATGCTGGGAACTGAACACAAGCCCTCTGTAAGAGCAGTACATGCTTTTAACCACTGAGCTCTCTCTCCAGCCCCTTATTTTAACATGTATGTGTATGTGTGTTTATGTTTTAGGACCTGCTTCTACCATGTGGGTATCAGGGATTACACTTGGGTTATCAAGCTTTGGTGGCAAGTGCCTTTACCCACTGAGCCATCTGGCCAGCCCCTTATTATTTGAGACTGGTCTCATGTAGCTCAGGCTAGCCTAGCAGAGGCTTGTCTTAAATTCATGGTTTTCCTGCCTCTACCTCCCAAGTTACAGGGATAACAGGCCTGCATCACCTCCAGGTTCTGCCTCACAACTTTTTTTAAAAAAATTTTTTATTATTTTTATTTTACGTGTATGAGTGTATTGCCTGCATATATGTGAGTACACCCATGTTGTGCAGTGCTGCAGAGGTCAGAAGAGGGCTTCGGATTCCCCTGGAACTGGAGTTAAGGACGGTTCGTAGCCGCCATATGGGTGCTGGGAATTGAACCCCGGTCCTCTACAAGAGCAGTCAGTGCTCTTAACCACTGAGCCATCTCTCCAGCCCCAATGCCTCACACCTTTTAAAGCTCAATATGGAAAGCTCTGGCTGAGGACACCACCCAAAGCCCTAGCTATTGGCTGCCTTCTGAACAGAGGATTGAACCCAGGGCTTTGTACAAGCTAAGCATGGAAGCACGTGGTCTACCAGAGCCATACCCCTGCCCTTTAGCCCTTTCTAGAGTCAGTTTTCCTATGGCCACTAAGTTTCCTGAGGGCAGGGCTATGTGGATGAGTCATTACTCAGACCAGGCAGACCTGGAAGACCAGTGTGTCTGATGGGTAGAAGTAACTCCTGTCAGAGGTCAGAGGCCAGAGGCAGGCCTGATAAAGCAGCTCAGAGCTGCTACGACTGCTCTTGCAGCTACTTCTCTCCTCTGGGGTTGTTGTCCTCTGGCCAGGAGAGAGTTTTTTTGTGTATGTGTGGTGCTGGTGATCAAACCCAGAGCTTCTACATGCTAGGCAAGTGCTTCACCACTGAGCTATATATACTCTGGGTGCCAACCTTTGAGGATGCCCCCGCTCCCAGCTCAGGTTAGTTCTCAACAACTCCATTTCGTATTTCCATAGTATGACAGGGACTGAGCTGCAGGACTGACGTCTCAATCCCCTACCAGCCTCCCTCCCTACCAGACCCAAGGGAGGGCTGTGGCCTGGACAGGGAGAAGCATATGGGACAGGAGTCCACTACTCTTGGGAGCAGGGAGTGTACAGCACTGCCTGTAGGAACATCAAGATTAAGTATCCACTTCTCCTTTCTCTGTGGGTGAGGCAAGGCAAGAAAGCTGGTAATGGCCCAGCATGGGTTACAGGGGCAGACGAGAGATGCATAGTAAACTCCATCAGTCACAACCGTGAGCACAACACCATTCTAACCAATACGGAGAAAGTTAAAGTCTTTGGTGTTAAGAGTATGAGTCCTTCTATTCCCAGTGGGCAGGGCCTGGCAAACACATTTTATAAGTGAGAAGAGGGTTTTGAAGACCTAAGCAGGGCTGGGCGTGGTGGTGCATGCCTTTAATCCCAGCACTTGGGAGGCAGAGGCAGGTGGATCTCTGAGAGCTCAAGGCCAGCCTGGTCTACATAGTGAGTTCCAGGACAGCTGGGGCTATAGGGAGACCCTGTCTCAAAAAGATAAAAAAAAACACCTAACCTCAACCTCATGGACAACCCTGGAATCTTGCAATGCACTGGCCCAGAAGCAGAAAAACCAAGCACAGAAACAGTTTTATATTTAATTTACAAGGAGACCCCAAAATAATAATAAACTATCCCAGGAGAGGGGTGCAGGGTCTGGCCTTCCCCTACACTATGTGTATCCTCCTTCCTTTTTGGCAGGGAAAGGAGGGGCCTCTCAGGGGATTTTCTCTCCCCCTTAGAACAGGGGGGTGACAGCTGGTATGAATGTCATTAGGCATCCTGGGGGCTCTGCCCCCTCCAGACTCATTTGTCTACCCCCTAACAGATTCATACATGCCCAGGAGATCCTTCTGGGGGGTGACAGCTGGTATGGATGCCATTAGGCATCCTGGGGGCTCTGCCCCCTCCAGACTCATTTGTCTACCCCCTAACAGATTCATACATGCCCAGGAGATCCTTCTGGCAGGAGCTGGATTGGTAGCTAGGTTCGAGGCCCCTACAAGGTCCAAATGAGGGCCATGGTTACCAGAGCCAGCAGACTGGTGAGGTGGGACCCAGACCAGGCTCCACTGGCACCTCCAGCAGCCTGCTTATGGTCCCACTGGCATTGTTCACCACCCCAGCCTAAATAGCACTGGCATCGAAAGTGCGTCTGCAGGTAGTTGAGGTCGGCGTGGCTGAGCTCCCCCTCAGGTCGTAGCTGGGGTTCCTCAGGTGTTTGGCCAGGCACTAGGTGGAAGCTGCTGGCACTGAGGTGTAGGAAGGTATTGGCGTTGGGGTTGCGGCGTACACAGCGTCCATGGCCATGGCACTGGGTCCAACTGCAATACTGGGTGGCCCAGGACACGTTGACTATGTAGGGGACCAGCAGCTGTGTCAGGTAATTCTTGAGGTACTGGCAGGTCTTCTGGGGTGGGAGAACAGGCCAAGGATAATAGGTGAGCATCAGCTGTCTTAACCCACGGGCCCTGATAGAAACTGTCCACACTCTGGTGACAGCACCTTTTTCTTTCGGCAATGTTGAAGATGGAACCCAAGGCAGGGCCTTGCACATGCTAGGTAAGTACTCTACCACTGAGCCACACCCTTGGCACACATATTTATATACACATTTCCACATGCATACACAGAGGTGTGTCTGAGCCTTGAAAGGGTGTGGAGATGGAGACTGGAGCCTAGCTGGGCAGATGTGGAAGGGTGGAACTCCAGCTGTTCAGGGCAGTATTTCCTCTTCCTGGGAGCAGGGTGGGGGTGCCCTCCATTGGGTCTAGAGGAAAAGTCTCTATGCTTAGGAGGCAGCCAAGCTAAAACTAAGTTTCTATATCTGGATGAGAGGTGGGAGCTACAGTACAAATTCTCTGCCAGTTCCAGCAGGCTAGATGGGTCTCACTTACCACACTTGAAGTGTACACTGAGTCGCCCCAGAAGATGACACCAGCTGCGCCCAGGGCTGCACTCTCACCGATGGTAGAAATGAGATCCATCTGTGTGGGAAGGGATGGTCACTGGGGAAAACTGATACCACAGGGTAAAACAGGAAACAGTAGGCAGACCTGTGCTAACCTACTGATCTAAGAGTAGCCCTCTCCTATGTATCTTCCGGCAGGAGCTGTTTTGCTTTCTCAAGTGCTTAAGCCCATTTCCAACCCCACGTTGGGCCTCAATCTCCAAAGCCAATGGTGTACATTCTGACTCCAAATTCAGAATGACTCGCTGTTTGTTACTCTGTGTACTGTCAGGGACTTACTAGGTACTCTGGGATAAACTCAGCATTTCCAGGTCTCAATCTTACCTACAAAATGGGGAATGAACATACCTCACTAAGTCCTGTGAGCCCACGGGTGTATGTGGGGCGTGTGAAGACATACACTGGGAGCGCATGGTTGGCATGATGGGTGTGAGCCACACGAAGGGCCTCCTGAACACGGAAACTGACAAAGTTTCGGCTATGTTTGGAGGAAGCCAGTGTCTCATCCAGGTAGACAGAAGGAAAGAGGGCTGTACTCTCAGCCCAGAGCCAGGCCAGCTGGTCATTGCGTGCCACCTCCACATCAGGGCAGCGGCCTGTGTAGCTCTCCCAGTTCTGTACATAATCATGATTATAGCAGTCAGGAAAGAGGTAGAAGCCCCAAAGGTGCTGAGGTCTGACTGCCTTGACATACCGTAGTGTATTCAACATGAACTGCCGAGCAGCGAACTCAAACTCATACTGTGCTTGTTTGACTATTCGGTCTGATGGCCAGTCAGGGTGTCGACTGGCCACAAGTTGGCGTGAAAACTGGCGGTACACATCCTTGTCCTGCCAGTTGCGCACCCATACAGGCCTCCAATCCTCCCAGTCAATGACTGCCAGACCCCCGGGCTCCTGGGTACGAATGTAGCGCTCCACAGATTCCTTCAGCATGGGCAGATGTGCACAGAGGCTGACATTCTGAGGCACACCACCATGCACAGATGTCCCAGCTGCATCAAAACGTGGGTACAGGCCTAGACGGTCATAGTAGAAGATGGTGATGTTCTGGTTGACAAAACCCTCATTAGGTGATGCCTCCACATCGAATGCCCTAAGGTCCAGTGGCACTTTGTGGCGTGGGGCACATTCTTGTGTGGGAACATTCCATGCTACCACAAATGGTCGGCCTGTGAAGATGGGTGGCACTGTGGGCTTGAGCTCCATGGCCCATGCCACTGCCAGTACCAGGGCCAATGTGATGGTGGGACCCAGTCCTGCCCGCATGCTGGGGGCCACAGAAAGTGTCACCTGCCTGGTACCAGCTCAGGAACTGAAGGAAATGTGAGAGAGAACATTATCAATCTAGAGAATCCAGAGATGTCCACTTTTTTTTTTTTGGTCTTTTTGCGACAAGGTCTCCCTGTAGCTACAGCTGGCCTGGATTCGCTATGGAGCTCAAGCTGTCCTCGAATTCTTAAAGATCCACCTGTCTCTGCCTCCCCAGTGCTGGAACTAAAGGCATGCTCAGAGATGTCCATCTTAATCTTCTCTGTGCTCCCACAACTCATGGTGGGGCACACCTGTGCTCCTGGCTGCTCAGACCACCCAGGGCTGTAATGGATTTCAGGGACCACAGACTACTGAAGGGCTGGCAAGAAACACAAGGCTCCTTCATGGAAAAGATAGCAGCTTATGTAGCTGGGCAAGAATCTCCTTTAGGTCTGTGACCTTATAAAAATGGAATGAATTAGGCTATGGACTCACTCCCAGAGTCACATACCTGCCTACACACCACCAGGACACGGTTTCAGAAAACCCTCGGAACCCAAGCTCCACCCTATTTATATCCCCTCGTTAAGAACTGATCCAGGGATCAGACAGCATTTGAAGAAGGCAAAGCGCAACTCATACAGAAGCTGGGAAGCTGTTAGGAACACAGCAGAGGAACTGCCTGTGCAATAAGCGCCAGGCACAAGTGTGAAGCTGTCAGGACATGGTCTCAAACACCTCTCCCAGGCTTGGAGGAGGCTTGGCGGGGACAAAGGGGCAGCGGACCTCCCACGGCAGGGCCAGCCGACCTGCCCCTTCCCGCCACAGCCAGGGGGGAAACCATGCGCGTCCTCGCGATCAGCCCGCATCCCCTCCTCCCGGAACAGCAGTCCCAGAGGCTGAGCACTGCCCCGGGTCTTTGTGCGAGACCCCGCCCCCGCCCCGCACGTGGGGCCAGAGTTCGGCCGGGTGGGGGTGGGGCTCCTGGACCCCCTATGAGGGCGCCCAGAGGATCCAGAGCCCAGCCCTTAGGGAGAGAACCACCAGGCTGGCAATACCCGCTCTCACCTCGCACCAGGCGCCACCAGGACCCACGCCAGGGCCGCGGCCATCCTGGGCCCAGCCTAGCCCGCTCCGGCTTTTCGTCCAAGGACTGCCCCAGCTCGGGCCTCCGCTGGCTCCGCCCCCGGGCCCGCGGGCTCTTTAAGAATCCAATCGCAGAGGTGGGCGGGCGGCAGGATTTGCGGCCCCGGAGGGAAGGTGTGTTCACCCTCCTATCGGCCAGTGCCGCATTTGGAGTTGAAGCATCCCTAAACACTTCTGCAGAGGCAGGTAACCTGCTGTCTGAGACCTGAGACTCCTTCGAACAGGAATTTCTGCTGGAATCTCAGCCACGAGAGCTAATCAGCCTGAGATTTTCACCCCCACAGCCCGCCGCCAGTGGAATAACCCTCTCAGTGTAGCCGGCCTCTTAAAGGGACAGAATACGAGATGGGGGGGGAGGAGGCGGGAGCGTCTGGAATAAAGGGCTTTGGACTTAAGGAAGTGCTCTGGTACCCTGAAGCCTTGGCTGGGGGTAGCTGCAGGGCTCCATCCCGAACTTGGGCATCAGCACTGGGGGCCCCTTGTGTGGTCTAATAAGTTTTGAGCTGAGTGGATCCAGGGCCTCTTGGGACTTTAGTGCCTCGCCTACGAATCCCAGATTCTCTTGAGTGCGGTCGGAAGGGAAGCCCCGCCTCTTGTCCCTCTAGGGGAGGGGGCCTAACATCACCTCTGAGCCCTCCTCAGCAAAGCAGGGGCCGTGGTTGTCTTGGTAACCAAGTTGTGGTCTCTGCGTGGAGGGAGGGGCTGGGAGCCCTGAAGTTCAAGGGGGCCTCTGGAGAAAGTAGGCTCCACGTTTTCCCGGACCCGCATCAGGGGCAAGCCAATCCTTAGGATGCTCTCTTGCAGTGCCCGCGGCGCAGGGGCAGGGAAGAGGTGTCCCTTGGGGGACACCCTCTTAACTACGAGGGAACTGCGGCTCGCAGAAGTTTCCAGTCGGACCTCGTAGAAAGCCGGCTGGAGGGCTCCCTAGTGCCTCGGTTCCGTATTCTGAGCCAGAGCCCTGTCATTCCCTTCTGGTGAGGAGCGGCCTTAGACCTGGACCCTCGCCTCTTAGAGCCTCTCGCCAGTGCGAGATCCAATTCCCTAAAGGGCCGGTGTCTGGCCGCCAGCTCCCTTCCCGCCCGCCCGCCCAGAGCTAGGGAGCGCCGCAGCCAGCGCACCTATGGTGACGCGAACCAGTCTGCACCGGGCTCACCTGTGTGGGAGTCCGTCGGCCCAGTAGGTCGGCGGCCTCCCTGCTTCCAGAGGTGAGACTCTTCAGCCAGGTTACTCGGCGCCAGCTGCTGCCCACTGGGCAGCCTGCTGGGGATTTGATAAACCCCATTCCCTCCCACCCACTCCCACTCCCGCCTCCCATCCCAGCCCTTTCTCTTCACTTCCTGCTGCCCCTCCGAACGGAAAGGGCCCGGAACGGAATAGGGGGTGGGGAATGATTGCCATGACCCTGCTTCCCTAGCTGGCAGGCTGCCCTTTCCACCCTTCCTCTGAGTAGGATCGTGCCCCACCAGTTATGCCAGTTGACAGGGAGGCTTGGGTGCCTATCTCCCTTGAGGTTGGGAATCATTCCCAAATCTAGAGGGGTGTAAGGGCGGCCCAGGTGGTGGAGTGCATGAGAGTCACACTACTTGCTGGGTGTTTAGCTGATGGTCCCCTTGAACAGGTGCCAAAGAAGGGAACCATCCCTAGTGATGGGAAGCATTGCCTGGAGCTGAGTCAGTTTTTTTTTTTCCTTTGAGAGCAGAAGTGTCCCAACTGTGACAAAGAGGACAATGTGTTGATGCCTGTGACTATGTGGGATAAGGTGGGGGCTGGGGCAGGGATTAGGAGGACCTGCAAGGCATTCTTGCTGGAAGATGGTCCTGGGTAGAATTCAGAGTCTGCTGTAGAGAAGGAGCTCTTTACACATGGGTGAAGAAAGATGTGTGTTCCTGTAGGGGGATAGAGGAGCTTACAATGGAGTCCTGTGGAAGACCATAGCAGGGTCCCAACAAACCTCTCTAGGTGTAGACCAAATTGCCTACTCTCAAATAGTCCTCAGCCTACCTCTCAGAACCCTACTGACTCACCTCAATACCCAGGGGACCCTCTGTTAACAGAAGGCTGTATGGGAAGCTGGGTGCATATCCTGGGGTATGGCCCTACCCAGGGGAGGATGCAGTGTCCCTGAACCACTTTTTTCACTTCACAAGGGACAAAAGTCTAGGAAGCTCCAAGGGTGGGGACCCCTGGGAAAACAAAGGCCAGGCCAGACTGTCCAGGGCTGGGACACTTCCTTAGCCAGCTATCAGGAAGGAAGTGAGCACACCCCAGCCAGGAGGGAGTGGGGAAACACTGCCCTGATTCCTATTGTTCACAGCTTTGGGGTCAGCTGGGCAGGCCCAGCACAGGGAGTGCCCCCAAGCAGGATGATGGTGATGGGAGATAGGATGCTCTCTGGTGTGGGAGAGCCCCAGCCCCACAACAGCCAGTTGGGGGTTGGAAGATGATGTCAGGGGCCTCAGGCTTGGTACAGGGGATGGGAAGTCAGCCTATAGAACTGCAAGTCTAGGCTGCACAGGGTGATTCTATTCAAGATTTGAAAAGTTCAAGCCCTTGAGCAACTGGTAGTCCAACTGCCCAGACCCTAGGCCAATGAATTCCCCTAAGTGGAAGTTCTTGAACTTATGGCTAAAGGCTAAGCCTAGCAGAGAACCTGCTCACAAGAGACCCTGAGAAATGTAGGCAGAATATCCACAGGCAGCACAGAGCTGAGGAAGCACTCAGGGCAGAGCCTTGTAAGAATCAAAGCTGAAACACCCTCCTAATGGTGGGTTGGGAGGAGTCAGTATGGATTGCAGAGCCTGGTAGGAGGTCAAGGGTGTCGTGGGCTCTTCAACTATGACTGGTCCTTTAAAGTCCATGGAACTTAGGCAGTAATCTCATTTGAGGTGAGCTGGTACTGATAAAACTGGTGAGTGGCCCCCATAATCCTGAGGGCCAGTGATGATGCATGAACACAGCCACCTGCTGGCCATGGCTGGTATTGCTACAGGCAGTGTTCAGACTTAACTACCCTTGGTGGCTCTTGAAGATGGGGTGGTGGCTGGCCTGGCAGAGTCCAAGGCTAGTCCTGTCTGATGCATTCAAGTGGTAGTCTAGATATTGGGTGTCACAGACTCAGAGGAAGCCACTTTAAAAAAAAAAATTATTTTTTATTCTATGTGTATGAGTGTATTGCCTGCATGTGTGTTAAGTGCACCTGTGCCGTGCAATGCCCTCAGAGGTCAGAAGAAGGCATCGAATTCCCCTGGAACTGAAGCCACAGACAGTTGTTAGCCACCATGTGGGTGTTGGGAATTGAACTGCAAGAGCAGTCAGCGCCCTCAACCACCGAGCCATCTCTCCAGCCCCAGGAAGCCACTCTTATATGCAGGGTCTACAAATAATTTTATTGAAATTGAACAAATAATACAACGGTCTTCTTATGCTGGGGGCCCCCAGCCATTTCCCACACTCTAAAAGCACAGAGCTTCCTCAAATAAGGATTTTTTTTTAAAAGGCCATCTCTACATAGAAATCAGACTCTGCCCCAACATCATCATAGTCTATTTACAAGCTTTCACATTTTAAGTATTCCTTTTATGTGTTTTCCTCTCCTTTCTATCTCTACAAAGGGGCTCCAGTACTTTCCCTTGACTGATCCTGAAGGGGTGAAGATACTGTTGAAGAAGGGATGTGGGCTCCTCATAGCTACTGGCACCAGCCCTACTGTGTTGCTTCTTACCACTGGGTGGTGAACAGCCCCTCCTCTACAACTGGGGGGAGGGGACTGGTGCAAAAATAAGGGAGATTAGACTGAATATGTGGTTTGGGGCAAATCCCCATAGGTACAGGCATCCATAGCCTGTCCTGACCCTGGCCTACACCCTCTCTTTTGGGGATGGGAGGGCAACTAGTTGAAGTAAGGAAGGATCAGCCCAGCCCTGGGTGAAAGGAGAAGCCTCCCACACCAGTCCCCATTCCTATGTAACAGCCAGCAAACTGTCCATCCTAGAGTGGGAACAAGTGGCAAGTACGCAGGAAGAATCAGGCTGGCACTGCCCCCAGTCTCTGTCCAATACAGGAGGAATCGAGGTAGCAAAACGGCTGAAATGCTCTGACTAGGGTGTAAGGGAAGAATGAGAAAGGAAGTTCCCACTTGGGTACAGCCCCCACAGCCCAGGGGCTGGAAGAAGGCAGACTTTGCTTGTAAAGTGCTGTGGTTTCTAGTAGGGCTGGGCCCTAGGCAAGCTTGGAAGAAAGCAGGCCAGGCAAGGAACTAGGAACCAGGCATTCCTGACCAGCATATGCCCTGCCATGCTTCTTGCAGGAGTGGCTGGGGAAGGGGGCTGGTAAATCTGCCACTAGCCCTCACCATCACCAGCCACCTTTTGTTCAGACACAAACCAATAGCAGTCAACACCGAGGAACTGCCCCTCTTACAGCTGAAGGTTCTGGGCCAACGGAGATTAGTTTATTCAGGGTTGTGGCACCAGCCTGGACTCCTGAATGGAAGTCACACCTTACTTAAGCCTGGGAGTTTCTTGCTGGGGCAGTGGGTGCTTGTGTCCGCCACATCCCAGGGTCACACCTCATAGAGGATCACAGGGAAATCCACGTGGATGCGGGGGGGATCCAGCTTCACGATGCCCTGCCATGGAAACAGAGGCTAGTGAGGGTCAGCTCCTATTCTAGGAAGCCTTCCTGTTCTTCCCAGCTCCTTCCCCAGTGTACTTCATCTGGGTCTACCTCCACGTACTTGACATAGTATACTCTGTGACGACTGCCCAGCCCCTCACCTGAGGAATCAGATTCTTATGTACCCGCCTCAGCTTAGCCCGTTTCTGTCCGTTCTTGGTGATGATTGTCTCCTCATAGAATTCGTGAGCCAGATCCCCATCTTCATCATAGAACATTGAGCTGTGAAGAGAAGGGAATAGGTTGGGCTGGAGCCTCACATCTGGTCATGGTAAATGTGACAAACCACAGGGACGTATGCTCAACCCGAAGTGAGGAGAAACAATCTTAGTGGAAGAAGAAATGCATAGTATCCCTGAGGTATGCTTTGCTTGGGGCTTGGGGTCTATAGAAGAAGTAGGAAGTGCGGTAATGGCCACTGTTACTCTACTCTGTCATATCCACAAGAGGCCACACCAGAGTACAATGTCCAGACAACCAAAGCCAGTTCTCATCACTGGTCGGTTCCACACGAGCAGCCATTCCAGTATCTGGCCATTCATCTAAGGTAGTGGCCTGGGCACTACCAAAGATACTGCTGGTTCAGTGACAGAGATTCAGATAGTGGATGTCTTAGCTCCTTCCTGAGTAGTGGGTATAGCTCAGTTGACACTAACAGGTGTCTGGTATCTACAGTCAAATTTCCCCATAGGGAGTGCCAGTCCCCAGGAGCTCACTAGGTCCAGGCCATTATGGTGCTCTTGTGAGGGTTCCTGGGAAAAGATCAGTCCTCCAGATCTAGAGAACCTAACTAGGTGAAGGTCTTACCCCATCCCCCTGGTCCTACCCTCAACACTGAGGCCCAGCTCTGCTTTCCCAGACACTACTCTTGGAAGTCCAACCCCACTGTGGGGACGGAAGACACCTAAACAGGTCATTCTCCCTTACAGGAATAGAAGATGCATAATGCCTTCGATTTGCAGACTGAGTTTGGGATGAAAACATGCAGACACCTTTCGGAGACCCTATCTTAGCTGTATCGTGGGGGACTCCTTCCCAAGGGACAAGCCTCAGCAGACTTCCCTAGGGAGACCTGAGCACCGAGAAACTGGCTGCCGCCCGGCTTTCCCCACCCCTTGCTCTCATAGGGACCCAAAATATGTTGAGTCGCCCTGACTCAAATGTAGGAGGTTCCCTGGCGGACGTTCCCCGAGGCGCCTGGTTGTCTTCCCCGAGAGAGATACCTATTGCTCTTACCCGCGGCGCGTGAATACGAAGGGGGGCACCGCTCGGGCTCGAGACCGCACCAAAGACTGCTCAGCGCCCGCTGCCTCGGGGCCGCCGCCCCCCGTCGCCGAGGCAAAGGGCCAGAGGCCCCGAGCTTTGGAGCCGCTGGCGCCCATGTCAGCGCCGCGGGCGCATGGCGGACCCAGCGGCCGCTCGTCTCTCACAGTGTGGCGGGTGCCACCATGCCCTGCCCCGGCCTCCGCTCACAGGTGCCGCCGCCGCCGCCTTCCGCAGGCTCGGCTGTCTCCACGGAAACCTCACTTCCGCTTCCGTACGCTGCCCTTGGTGAGTGGCTACACTTCTTGTCAGTTTGTTGAGCAGAACCAATGAGCACCCTCAGAAGCTGGGCACCCCAGGACGCGCCGCAAGAGCCCAGGTCCCAGCAGGCTGTGCTCTTGTCAGCTGGGACAGCTCCCTTCCAGAAACGGAGGTAGCGTGCTGTTTTGGACTTTGAAGCCAGACTGGCAGGCGTGCATGGTGGTTACGACGACCTACCTGGGCCCAGTGAGCCTACTCAAAGGGTCGCCTCCAAAAAGGGACCTTTGGCCTGCCCCAGGCTACAGTGCCCATTTAGCTCCTATTTTCACATCGTTGTTGCAGCTGTCAACTTTATGTAAAATAGAGCATAGGAAAAACCCTAAGGAACTTGCCAAATGTCTTTTTAAAAAATGGGGTGGGGGATTTCTTATGGGACACTGTGGTCTGAAAGAGCATAAAATCCCATGTTCTATATTCACCAGAATGCATACTTCATTATGTAACATAAGAACTGTCACAGCCGTACTTTTGGTAGCATGTGGTCTGATTGAGTGGGTATTTGGTGGATTGCCATGGTTTCTCAGGTTGGTGAGAATGGTTTGTCTGAACTCTAGCTGTAGTTTATTCTTGTCCCCACTGTGACTTGAGCCCCAGAATGCTGAATAATGCCTGAGTACATAGGTATACAGCTCCAAAATGTACTGGTTCCATTGCAACCTGCAAAGGATGTACTACAAATGTGCCAATCACTGTTGGCAGCCACTCACACAAGGAGCTATCCAGACTATGGGCCCACATCTAGAGTCCAAAACCAGTAAGATTCTTAAATCTTTATTCAGCCAATTCTCTCAGGCCTCAGGCCCTGATGATGACAGTAACCCCCATCCCTTTCCCCACAGGAGGCATTCAGTTGAGGCCACAAAACATTACATACATTCATACACTTCCATCAAAAATATCTGAGCTTTGGCAAACAATGGGTCTGATCCAGCAATATCCTCCATAAGAGGAGCTGAGGCACTGTTGCTTCACTGCCAGCCCTCCCTGACCTCAGGGTATGTGTATATAAGTCAGAAGGCACTATAGAGGGAAACCCAGACTCTACCTCACTGCCTGCTTTATTATGAGCAGTCAGTCACTCTTGGCTCTGATAGAGCTATCCTGAGACTTCATCCAAGACCCCAAATAATCTCTCTATAGATAAGTACTCTCATCCCTACAAACATAACCTTGCTGTGTTGGTTGTCCAAGATTCTCACAGCTGAGACACAAATTAAGGAGACTTCTGCCCTACCCCTGCTGTAAGCCTGGAGAGTATGACCCAGTATGTGAAGGGCAGAGAGATACAGAGGCATGCCCTGATATACCCACTGGTAGACGGCTAGCTCCTTCGCTGTTCTCTGGGCTCATTCACCCCAACAGAGGAGGGCCTCCATGCACACTCATTCCTTAGGCCCCATGCGCCCTGTCACACTCACACGGCACACTCTTGGCACTGCCTATTTTCCTCCTGCCACCCAAGAGTACAAAAGGTCACCCCAAGGGACAGGCGTGCAGGGCCTCCTGGATCTTCTGGCGGCAATGAGAGTACTTCTGCAGGATCTGGCGGAGGTGTTCTTCTTCTTCCCGTTGCAGGATTCGCAGGAAGTTATGTAGTTCAGGCATGCTGAAGGCATCCCACTGCAAAGGGGCAGAGAAGAGGTACACAGGCTACAGCAAAAAAATGGACAAGTTGGCAGAACTTCCCCAGAGACAACCAGTATAATCATACATGTTAGGACTGGGCTTTCTTATGTTACCTTATTTTTTTGGTTAATTTTTTTCCTGTCCTTTTTTAAAAAAATCTTTTTGAGACAGGGTCTCCCTGGAGCCCTGGCTGGCCTTGAACTCAGAGATTCATCTGCCTCTGCCACCCAAGTGCTGGCATTAAAGGCATGTGCCACCACACCCAGCCTGTTTAGTTATTTTTTGAGACAAGGTCTCACCATTTATCAAAGGCTAGCCTTGAACTTGCTATGTGGCCCAGGCTGGCCGAAACTTGTGATTCTCCTACAACCTGCTTCCTGGAAGTAATCCTGTTTTCAGGTTGATGTTAAAACTCTTGCCTGAATAGTCTGTGCTAGGAGCCCCATTAGCAGTCTATATAGAAGACAGAGCCTACAAAATAGTCACCTCTTAGAGAGATAATTAAATAGGATGTTACCTGTTGTCATGGGTGCTCTCCCTTAATACAATGGACTGTGAATCAAATCCAAGTTCTCCTAAATGTGAGCTACATTTCCACCCAGGCAGTCCACCTACCTCCCCCACCCTTTACTTTTGCAGCTGGGATTTATGCCTGTTAAGTACATACTCTGTCACAGAACCAATATCAGCCATTAAGTAAAGTCTTTTCTTTTACATTACTGGAATTGAAACAAGGGCATTACACATGTTAAGACCTTTACCACTAAGTTATAGCCCAGCCCTCTTTTTACTTTTTGAGATAGGGTCTCACAAGTTACACAGGCTGGTCTTAAAAGTCACTCTGTGGCCCAGGCAGGCCTTGAGCTTGTGATCTTCCAGCCTCACCCAAGAAGTTGGGATTATAGGCTTGTGCCACTAGGCTTTGGTAAGACTTTTTTGAGACAGTGTCTTGCTAGGTAACTCAGGTTGGTCTTGAACTTGAGGCAGTCCTCTTTAGTCACCCAAGTAGCTGGGATTACAGGCCTGTCACCAGTTTCAGCTGGTAATTTTTAAAATTTTGTTTTGTTTTTGTGAGCTAGGGTCTCACTATGTAGCCCTGGCTGGCTTGGAACTCTTGGAACTTACTATGAGGAACAGGTTGGGCTTGCACTCACAGAGATCCGCCTGCTTCTTCCTCTGCCTCCCGAGTAATGGGATTAAAGGTGCTGGTAAAAAGTTGCACCTATAGCCAGGCATGGTGGTGCATGCCTGTAGTCCCAGCACTTGGGAGGCAGGACAGCTGGGGCTATAAGGAGACCCTGCTTCAAAAAGACAAAAAAAAAAAAAGTTGCACCTGTGTAGGCTTTTTTTTTTTCTTTTCTTTTTGAGACAGGGTTTCCTTGAAGCCCCAGCTGGCCTGGAACTTGCTAGGTAGACCAGGCTGGCCTCAAGCTTACAGAGATTCACCTGCCTCTGCCTCCCAAGTGCTAGGATTAAAGGCATGTGCCACCATGCCCAGCTCTATGTAGTTTTTTTAAAAGGTTTTTTTTTTTTTTGGTCAGGTGTGATATGATGGTACATATCTTTAATTCAGTACTCAGAAGTCAGAGGCAGGCGGATCAGTTTGAGTTCAAGGCCAACTTGGTCTACACAGCAAGTTCCAGGCCAGGCAGGGCTATATAGTGAGACTCTCAAAAAATTAAAGTTTATTTTTTATTTTTTTTGTTCTTTTTGAGACAGGGTCTCCCTGTTGCCCCAGTTGTCCTGGAACTCACTATGTAGACCAGGCTGGCCTTGAACTCACAGAGCTCCGCCTACCTCTGCCTCCCAAGTGCTGGGACTACAGGCATGTGCCACCATGCCTGGCTAAAAAGTTTATTTTTAATTGTGTGTGTCTATGTGAATATGAGTAGCAGGTGCCCACCGAGGCCAGAAGACATTGGCTCCCTTAGGGTTGGAGTTATAGGCAGTTGTAAGTTGCCCAGGGTAGGTGCTGAGAACCGAACTTGGGTCCTCTGGAAGAGCAATACATGCTCACAGTTGCTGAGCTATCTTTTCAGCTCACATCCCTGTAGCTCTGAACTCTTCTGGACTTACCATGAAGTCAGCCAGACTCCTCAATCTTCAGAAGTTTTTCCATATGAGGAAAGAGCAATATATCAGGACAATTCTTGTTTCTTTTTTTTCTGCTGTAGCCCAGACTAGTTCCAAACTCACAACAAGCCTCCTATCTTAGCCTCCCAAGTTCTGGGATTATAGGTATGAACCACTATATTCAGCACCTTCCTAGATTCTTGAGGAAGGCTCTAGGCCTTAGCCTAAATGTCTTGGAAGCCTGTACTTTAGTTACAAGACTGGTACATTCTTGGAGAGGCTGTGCAGGGATTGTCCTCCAGTCCAGTTCATCCTGAAAGTCTATTGTAGCTACATCTCACCAGCCTTGTCCAGTTAAGAAAACAGAGAGTGCCGGGCGTGGTGGCACATGCCTTTAATTCCAGCACTCGGGAGGCAGAGGCAGGAGGATCTCTGTGAGTTCAAGGCCAGCCTGGTTTACATAGTGAGTTCTAGAATAGCTGGGGCTACAGGGAGACCCTGTTTCAAAAAGACCAAAAAACAAAACAAAAACAAACAAACAAAAAAAAACCCAGAGACTATGTACTTACATTCACTTCCCCAGAATCATTCTCTTTCAGGACAAAGCTCAAGGCCTTCTCACTGGGCCCTGCAAGAAGCCGTAGCTTCAGGGGCTGCTCATCATCTGACAGTTTCCGGAAGTACACTAGAAGACAGGCAAGGAGAAAGGGATACAAATCAAGAGATAGGCACAGATGCCTCAGCCCTAGCATGCATAGGCATATGATATATACCCCTTATACAGGATGGGGTGGGATAGGAAACCTACCTTGGCCATGCCGTTCAGCTTGTTCATAGAGTGCAAATTTACGGGGATCATCCACCACCAAGAATTTGCGCAACAGGGCTTCAATGACCTCACGTGCCCGTGTGCGTGACAGAACATGCAGATGCTTGATAGCATCCTTAGGCAGGTAAAAGGAAGTGCGGCGCCTCACAGCTGTGTTGCGCCCTGGGCCCCGCCGGGTATCCTGTAAAGAAGGTGGTTTCTTGCTAGAAGGTACTGAGACAGGGCGCACCAGTTTCAGCTGAACCTTAATGAAGCCTGTGTAGGATCCATCCTTGTTCTACAGAAGGAAAGAAAGAGATGGGTAAATCACTGCTTAGGCCCACCCAAGAACACCTTTGTGATGACTCTCTGTGAATCTGGCACAAAACTGGGTGTCTGCCCCTCCCCACAATCCCCTTCCTAAACAATCAACTCACCAGGCTCATGAAGAGGTTGCTGTTGATCTGGCCATTGTACTCCTTGATCCTCTGCTCAATTTCAGCCTGAGAAAGATCAGGTGTCTCCCATTCTACAGGCTCATCCTAAAAGACAGGCCAGCATGGATTCAGGGCCCTTGAAAAAACCCAGGCTTTTCTGAAAAATGGTCTCTGGAGCAGTGCTTGGAAACTGATTTTGGCCTTGCCACTGAACCCATCCACTCTGAATCCATTACTGTTTCTAGTTCTGCATGCTATAGATACAGATAGCAAAGTAAAGTACAATCATTTGGCTTCCTTCTGCTGCCTGTCTAGGTCCATCTTGGCACTGAATGTGGCACTAAGTCTATCACAGAAACAACTGAAAACATGGGGCAGGAAAACATGAAGAGCTATGAGAAAGGAATTTTTTTAAAGTAAAACCACTTCTTGAGGATGGAGGTGTAGCTCAGTGATAGAGTACTTGCCTAGTATGCACAAGGCCCTTCAATCCTCAGTTCCAAAAAAAGTAAAACCACATCTGAACTGCACAACTCATTTCAGCACCCTAGCTGCATTTGAGTCTGTTCTGGAGATGACAGCCCATTTTTCTACTCTGTACCAGAACAGAACATAATCCACTGCAGAGTAGTAAGAAGTATGGAAGAGGACATCCCTTAGTGGGTTTCTTAGGGCCAGCCCGACTGTATATCTCAGATATGGTGAACAAATCTTTATGACATACCATTTATCCTTGACACAAGCTGCACAAAAGGTAGCTTCAAGTGAGGCTTCAATGTGCCAGAGGTGCACAGGCAACTTCCTGGCAGATCTTGTCCTACAAGTACCAAGCACTTCCCCCCTTGCTGTCTGGAGACTTAGCTCAAAGAGTTCAGCTCCACCTTCAGGGGCTGGATTCCCTTCCCTCTTCTCTCCCAAGGGTAGAATGTGGGTCAGGGCAGCCAGGACTCTGACTTTCTTCTATCAAACTCACTTGGCCCCACTGCCTCAGCCTTACTTCCTGTTGATGTCAGAAAGGCCCTGGTTGGAATGGAATTGGCACAAACACAGATGACATCACCACTGACCAATGCCTTGTCCCAGGAGAATTCTCATCAGGTCTCCAGTAGAATGACACCATGCCCAGCTCTGAGCCAAGGATAGCCAGGGCTTTCCCTTGGAGTCCCCTAACTTGCTTAAACTGCTGATGGAAATGAATAGGGAGGGAAGGAAAAAAGAAGCAGCAAGCTCTTCACCCAGAACCTGAGGTTCTTAGTAGTCAGCAAGGGCATGGGGTTAGGGACTATGGAATCACAGGAAAAGGGATTTGGAGGGGAAGTGGGAACCAATGTCCACTTCCCCCTCAAGTTTCCAAAGGTCTCCTGGATGGAGTAAAACACTGAATAAAATTTCAGCAGAAACTGTGTTGGGGACAGTCAGCAACTCTGTTAGGTTAGCAAGAACAAATTATAAACTGGGTGGGGTGATATATGCCTTTAATCCCAGCAGAGGCAGATAGATCTCTATGAGACTGAGGCCAGCTTGGTCTAGCCTGCTCAATGTATTGAGTTCTAGGCCAGATGGGGCTATAGGAACACCCTGTCTCAAGAAGAAAAAGAAAAGGAACAAATGGTGAGAGATCAAGAAAATGAGGGACAGGGGTTGGGGGTGGGATGTAAGCATAAAAGGAGGGCTGAGAAAGAAGAGTGTCTCAGTGGGAAGAACCTGGCCAGGAGGTGTACAGATGCAGGAGGAATGCTAAACAGCCTACTGCAGTGTGACAAGAACTTTCTGTTTAGAGAACTGGGAGGGCTCAAGAAAGGTGCAAATATCTCCTTTGTGATAGCTGGGAATGAGAAATTTTACTTTCGCTTCACTTTTTGGATTATTCTGGACTCATTTGTAGCCTCTTCCCTTCTGTAGGTGAGCCTACTACAGTATCTTCACTCATAAACAAGGGACTTGAACTAGTGGTATCCTGCAATCCTGTCAGGATTCAGGGGAAGTTTTTCTTTTTCTTCCCCAAAGCTGCCTGATAAAGAGAATACCAACTGTTGTAAAGCATGACCATGGAATTCCCTTTTCCCTTGCACCATAGACATCCTCCATTCTACCACTGTACTTAGGACTAATGGTTTTATTTTACCCACACCCTCCAGCTGGGGATTGAACACACAGCCTCAAACATGTGAGGCATGTGCTCAGCCACTGAGCTACATATTTTATTTACCATTTGGGACTTCTTAGTTTTTTGTTGTTGTTGTTGCTGTTCCTTAGTCTAGGGATGGAACCCAAGACCTCATGCATGCTAGCTAAGCAGTCTACAACTGAGCTAGCCCTGAACTGCCTTAAAAAATATTTCTATATGCCTTTCAACTAGCTAGTGTGCTTTTTCCACCCAGGATAAATGACTCAAGCTGAGTGGCAAGGAGACATACCCAGGGGCCCATAAAGAATCCAAAGTCTGGACTGTGGTTTGGGGGGTTGCTAAGTAACACTCCACGTGTAAGAAATTTTTTTTTTTTTTGTCTTTTTGAAGCAAGGTCTCCCTGTAGTCCCAGCTGTTCTGGAACTCACTATGTAGACCAGGCTGGCCTTGAACTCACAGAGATCCGCCTGCCTCTGCCTCCCAAGTGCTGGGACTACAGGCATGCGCCACCACGCCTGGCTGTAAGAAATTTTTATCAAATTTTATCTAAAGTATCACCTACAACTCCATTTTCTCGGCTCAGATACGGAATTCTACTCCGTTGCTGCCAGTATATTAAACTTCAGTCTCCATCTTTCTTTCCTGATGCCCTGGCCTCTGTGCTTTTCTGAGAGATTTTGGCCCAGGAACAGTTAGCTGAGCGTGGTGGTCACATTCATGATACTCCCAGAAAAGTTTCTGATAGATTGAGCTGCCCTGAATCTTCCAGCAGTAACTCCTCTCAGAGAGCATTCCTGCTCCCTGGGGTAAAATGCTCCGGAATTCTTACAGTCTCTTACTATTCTCAAATCCCCTTCCCAAAATTCCACCCTAGAGGGACGATCGGAATTGTCTACATTCCAACAGCTGGAGACAGCAGGCCCAGGAAGAGCAGGGGACATTCAGCAGACTGCTTCGGAGTGCAAACGGAAGGGATGGACTTCCCTTCCAAACTTCCCACTACCCGCCGAACTCCTCCTCCACTTCCTTTTTCCCAGCGGAGGGAGTAGGCGCGTTCAAGCGCAAAATCAAGACGGTGGTTTGGGCTGCACAGTTGGCTTTAGTCATAGGTGGAGAACGCCCTCCTCTGGTCCATCCCAAGCTACAGAGCTGCTTCCCCAGGCCTGTGACAGGGCGAGCAGGGAGGCTCGTACTTAGTAGCGGCACGCTGAACCCAGCTTTTACCTAGTCACCACCAAGACAGAGAGCCTCGCCGGGGGAGCTGCCAATTAACTCCGTGCAGCAACTGAGCGGGGAGTGGCGGGCTCTAGCGGCCGCACCCCCCCCCCCCGCGGGGCCCCCCCCCCCCCCCCGGGGACCCCCCCCCCAGCTCCCACCTGGTCCCGCCGCGGCCTGCGGACCAGCGAGGTACGCGCCGTGAAGTACTGCTCGAGCTCGGAGTCCGAGTCCTCCTGGCTGCAATAGCCACTGCTAGTCGTGCTGCTCCAGGTCATCTCGAAGGAAGGAGTGTCGGCCTCGCCCATCGTCGCGCCCGCCCGATCCCCAAGTCCACTGCGTCCGGAGCCTCCAACCACCGCCCCGGGCGCTGCGTGCGTGTGCGCGTGTCTGTGTGCGCTTGCGCCGAAACCAGCGCCGCGCTGCTACCGTTAGGACTGAAACGAAGACAGCAGGAACCTGGCTCTTGTGTCATTGGGTGAAAGAGCGTGGAGGGGCGGGGACACAACGCTACATCTGAAGAATGACCTCATCGCCCAGGCACCTCAACACGGCTCCGCCTCTCAGGCCTCACTTCCTAAGGGGAACGTGTCGGAACATGTGCGCATGTGTACCAGCGTAGCCTCAGGACCGGAAGCGGGGTGGGAGACCTGCTTGCCCGCGCAGCAAGGCTGGGCTGGCTTCGGCTGCCTGTGGTTTATGAGCTGAAGCGTTCGCGCGGCCTCAGACATTCCTCCAAGCTCGCAAACAGAACTAGCCTCTTTGATGCCCGGAAATTGGCAATTGGGAAGTTCCTTGTGTCCTGGGTCGGGACTAGCCCGGAACAACTCCGCTGACGACTGACAGTCTTCGGGGTCCCCGTCCCCCCCCCCCATTCCTATCCCGCGCTCACCACGTTTGTGTCCCGCTCCAGCAGGGGGTCCCAGCCCAGGTCTCGGGGCCCGCAGCAGTCCAAGCAGACGAGAGCGCGGCAACGGTAATGGCAGGTGAACTTGCAGTCTGCAGAAAGGGCTGCCGTGAGGTGGAGCCCCGGCTCCAGCTCGGGAAAGCGACCCAGGGCCTGAGGGAGAGCCTTTGCCCTACAGATTTCTGCTTGACTGGCCTTTTCTCAGGCCGGGTTACCGCCCATTGCTGCACAGATTCCAGTGATGTCGATCCCCAGGCATGTTTGGAAACTGGCTGGAATGTCTCAGGTAGTTAGAGATCCAAGCCTGCTTAACATTTGTGTTTCTATCGCCTCCCGCTGACCTTCCTGTTACTCATTTACTTGAAAAACAAAAGCCTTTAATCTGCGACTTCCTATATTTGTCTCATGCCGTCTCTCGGACATTGGTTTACACACTTCTAATTTCTCTGTGTGTGTGTGTTTTGAGATAGGATGTAGTTCTGGCCATCCTAGGGTAGCCTTGAATTCCTCCTGATCCTTCTGCCTTCACAGTACCTGTGCTTTCAGGCGAGTGCCACATCATTGCAGGTGCCTCATTCTTTGTTTTCTGTACCCATTTATGAGGATTGCTCCCATTTCAGAAAATTGCCCTGGTCAGAGTCCTCAGTCCTTAACATTTGTTGGTTGTTCCTCTTGACTACCAGGGATAGTACCCACTGAGCAGGTTTTCCTCCCACTTTTCTGTGATTCCTGCCTGGCTCCTTTGTTCATTCTGTCCCAACTTCCAGGTCTAGCAGTCAATGTCCAGGGTTCTTTCACCTGAATACTGCCCTGCTGTCTACACTCACCTGTCCCAGATCCAAGGCAGCTCTGATCAGTCTCCAGCTCAAACCTATGTGTAGTACTACTTTCACTTTGATGTCTAACAGCGATTTCAAGTGAACATGGCCCAAATGTCACTTCTTCTATTTCACGCTTACCCTTGCCAAGATTCCTATCTCAGCAAAAGCTGTCACTATTAGCCCAGTTGTTTGAGGCAAAATCCCAGACTTATTCTTTCATTTCTCCCTTCTCTACCTCTTCTCAAGTACCCAAACTCCAGTTTCTCATCTCCAGAGAGCTTTTCTCTTTGAGAACCTTGTAGTATCACTGTCCTTGCTTTTGTACTGTCACAAATTCCTGGACTTCACTACCTGAACTTGTGATTTAGGTAAATGAGAAGAGCTCTATGCATGCACAGGCTACAGTACCATCCTTAAGTTTCTCTATGGCTCAACTTAAGCTAAACATTAAGCCAAACCTTAGAATGAACTGGAGGTGGGGAATTACTGAATGCCTAGGGCCATCTTTCAGCAATTGACTCAACAAGTCTGAGATCCAGGCTTAAGGAGATTGGAGGGCTGTAAAGTACCCTGATGATTCAAGCTGGTGTACAGCCAGAACCATCTGCTTGCTGGTGATACCTAGAACAGGATCACCCGGTCTTTGTTCCATGTTTGGGCCCCTGGTTCCTTGTTCCACGGTAAGCCTTGGCTAAAGACTCTATGAAATCCCTACTTGCGCAGGGAGCCCAGCCAAGGATCTAACTTTTTCTGCCCTGATTCCTTGCGTAGATAACTTCACCCAGGATTTCTAGAGGGGAACACAGTGAGTGAATCATTGGGAAGAGGCAGACCTGGGAACCTAGGCTTAGATCACAGTAGGCACAAAGACGGGCCCAGGCACTTTAAAGACAAACTTGAAATCAGCACCTTATTCACTGCCTCTGTGCAGCTGTGTGCCAGCCACGGATGGAGTATGACAAGGGAGAAACCATTTTCTCACACACTCCTCCCTGATGGGGCCAGGTAACGGGACCTGGTCTGCGGGATCTTCACCGCTGACCCCCTCCACAGCGGTGGCGCTGCCTTTGACCTCCCGTTCTGCTGTCGCTGGTGTTGGGGGCCGCTACTCACACGCGCACTGTAGGCCCTTGCGCACGACGCCCCAGATGAAGTCTCCACAGAGGTCGCACCACGTGTGCGTGGCGGGCCCTGTAGGCTGGAAGCGGTGGCCACGACCCGGGCCCTGCAGCTGTGACGGGTTGCGCGAGGTGCCCGGCGCAATGCGCAGAGCGTTGGCACGCTCCAGCCGGGTGCGGCCTGGGCCGGTACGCCCAGCGGGTGCCAGTTCCCGAAGCTCAATGAGCTCTGTCTCCGCCGACATGGCCCAGTGAGGCCTGGGCTCCAGCGGACTGGGCGCTAGTGAAAGCCGGGCGGGCGAGGCCGCAGGGCGGGCCGCGACTTCGGCGCCGCCCCCAGGACCAAGGCAGGGCGGCTGGAAAGAGCTGAGAACTGCGAAATGGAAACCTCGGCAATCTGACAGTGTGGACCCGTGGGCGGGAGCCGGGTGTAGGGTGGGCGCTCTGGAAAATCTCTTTCCCTCTCTTTCCTTCCAGTATTCATCCCACCTCCCCCTTGTCCCCTCTGCCCTCTAGGACGACGACCGCAAAAGAGACACAATGATAGAGCATTTCATGGGTTCGCTTTACTGTGTGCTAAAGGAAGAGGGTACCCACATCCGGCCCTCGTCTACACCCCCCAACCCAGGCCTCTTACCCCAGTTTTCTGATGCTGTGGCCCGGCCCTCTATATTTGTTGGGTGGGGCAGGAAGTGGGGAGCCTTGGCTTGTTGAGGGGGGCGTGGGGTACCAGCTCTACTTGGCTCAACTTTGCTCACCACCAGGGAAACTGAGGTCTGACAGTGGTCTTGAGGCCCAGGGTCACATTCTGGGTGCATTCCCTGGTTGGTCCGCAGCAGCTGCAGCCCTCACTTGGCTCTGTCACTTGGGACTGCTAGAACACAAGTCTTTCCATGCTTCTCCCAGTGCTTGACTTGGCACTCCCTGCGGGCAGGTGGGCCAAGTAAGGATGGCAGAACATGTAGGTGGACTTAGGGGTGGAGCTTAGTGGGTCTAGGTTCCTAGGATACCCTCACCTGCAGCAGTACCACACGCTCTGGCATCTTGAGCAGCGTTTTGAAGCCTCTGCATTGCAGTAAGCACAGTGGGGCCTCTCTGGAGCAATGGCCTCTAGGACATCCAGCTTGTAGGTTTCAGCCCACCTAAGGAGGTGGTCAAGAGGATTGGAATGGCCTGGCAGATAGGGGACAGAAGCACTCCTACCATATCCTTGTGTCTTGCATCTTATGTACCCCCTTCAGCCACTCAGCAGGCCTTACCTTTGTGCCTGAAGCCGAAGGTCCTGCTGCGAGGGACTGAATACATGCTGAAGCTGGTGCTTGGCAATAGCCTGCCATTTGCCTCTGTTCTCTCGCTCCATCCGCTCCCAGATTTCTGGAATCTAGGAGAATGTAATGGAGAGGGGAAGGAAGGAGCTGGCAAAGTGCACAGTGGGCCTGAGCAATTAATTTCCAGATGCCTACCTGTTCCAACACCAGGTCCTTCTTAGGGGGCTGGGTTTCAACCAGGGCCAGGTGAGCCAGGAAACCCTTCAGGTCCGCCAGATTGGGCAGCTGGTCAAGTAATGTGTCTGTGAGGAAGGCCTGAAGCTGCAAGGTGTTCAGGGAAGGCCATTGTGAAACAAGTCCTGGCCAAAGGGCCAAGAAACAGAGAGTTCCCAAGTTAGGCTGAGGGTCTTATGGGGTCCCAATGTCATCTGAAGCCCAAGATGTGGAAAGAGGATGGGGGTGGGCAAAAACAACCAGTAGGGATGCATTGGGGGTGGGGGTAAGGGTGGGGCAGAGGATAGGTGGGTTTGAACTTCCCACCTTGAGCAGCTGTCCCTTAGCAAAGCTTGTGAGGCAGTAGCGGGCCTGGGCCTCTGGGCTTAGCAGAAGGTTGTACAGGGCGATCCACACTTGGCCATCCAACTTGCTCAGCTTTTGCTGCTCTGAGGGGGCCACTGTCTGCCAGCAGCCACTCTCAAATTGCTGCAGCTTGCCTGGGGAGAAGAACTGGCTCATTGGGGGTTGCAGGTGTTTTACTTTTTTTGAGTGAGCCAGCTGCGTGGACTGAAAAACTGTCCACTGCCTGGCAAAGTAGGAAAGCCTGGGAGGGGAGTCACAGGACTTATCCAGGCTACGGTCTTGCTGGCCTCAGAGCAAAGTGAGTCCTTTAGTAATGACTCATGGGCTTTGCCTGCCACAGAGTCAAGATCTAGCCCCATCTTGGGTGAGGCATCCTGGTATCCTCTATGTGCATGCTGTCCACTTCCATGTATCCTGAAGGATGATCTGGAAGCAGCCAGCTAGGTCTTAGGTAGGTGGAGGAGGGCCTTACCTCCTTCCCACCGGCTCCAGGGACTGTGTTCTAGCAGTTCCACCAGGAGGCAGGGCAAGTTGTGAGTGCTGAGCATTCGGGTCAGGGTACTCAGGGAAAGCCTAGGGGATGGGGTGGGAAGAGAGAGGTTAGCTGAGCCTATAGGTCAAGTTCTACTTGCTTCTATTGTAGGCCTCAGGCCTTAGAGGGTGTGGCCCACCTATCCACGCAATCTGTGATGTAGCGAAGCACTGACAGCGCTTTCAATGAAATCTCAAATTCCATCATCTCTGCCTGATTCTGCAGCTCCTGAAGATGGGGAAGGTGAGGGACACAGACACATAGTATTCAAGCTGGGCCATTATCACTTGCATAAGCCTAGGGAACCCACATCTAGGTTTTATCAGTCCTGGGAAACCTTAGTCTACCTGCATAGGGGTGCTGTCCTGGGACCTTTCTTCCTCAAGCAAGTCACCATGGCCAGTCCGGGCCACCAGCAGTATCAATTTCCGGTGGCAGTAGTCTACTAGGTCCAAGACTTTGTCATCAGCTGACTCACATGCTTCCTGGGGTTGGGGGAGGAGAATCTGTCTTTGATGCCCTCCCAATACAGATACAACCCACTAGGCTCTGGCCAGCAGAAGTGCCTATTGGTAGAGGTAATGCCTCACCTTGTGGAAGAACACTGTCTCTAGAAGGTTAATGACGGAGGCCTCATGATGTACCTGCCGAAGAGGACAGGGTCTGGACTGTGAGTAAGGAATAGGGGAGGCCAGCTATCTTCTGCAGTTCAGGGCCCAGGGTGTGAACCAAAGGCCCAGCTCACCACCATGTATATGGGGAAGGTATTCTGGGGCTTGAAGTCCTCCAGCTTGCACAATACTGGAAACACCTTCTGTTTCCACATCTCCACTGCAATCAGCTCTTCTACCAGTGTTGGGATCTTTGAAGAGTAGATAGGGGAAAGAATAGGGGTGAAATGGATGCATTTTAGCCTGACAGTTTTCCCATTCCTGGCTCAGCCCAGCTCAGCTCTCAAACTCTCTTAGGCCTTTAGACTCTCCCAGGGCTCATAAGTACCCTTCCCAAGTTCTCTCCCATACCTTAGACCTTTATTTCCAATTGCTCCACATCTCTCAGTGGACATCACCCATGCTTCCTTTGAGTGGCCCCTGTTGCCTTGCTGCCTTTGTACCTGCCTGCTATCCCTTCCTTTCCATTTAGATATCTTGTGTAGGTCAGCCCCTCCTGTTCATGTTCTTGATCTTGTCCTTTTCCTCTGGCCTGCCAAGGTGCTTGTGTGCCTTGGCTTCACTCTTACTCATAAGGTCCCTTTACTGTGTCCAGGACCATCCCTGAGTACCCCGTTCATCCTTTTTATCACAGGGGAACCCTTTTCTTATGTCCTGGTGCCACCCTTGGCCCATCCTCCAGCCAGACATCTTCCTGGTTTCTAACTCTATCTTCTTATGCCAGAAAGACTGCTCTTTTCATGCTAAAGTCCCACTTCCACTTTAGTGGGAAGTTCCTTTGGCTTCACCATCAATTCAGGTGATCAGCACTTGGGTGCTCCCCCTACAGCCTAGGCTATTCTAGGATCCACGTCTGTCTTCCAGTCAGCCCTTTTATCCAAAAGGGTACAAATGGAAATGTAGCCAGGTATAGTGATGCATACCTGTAATCCCAGCATTTGGGATTGTAAACTAAAGCCAGCCTGGGCTACAAGAGCAACACCTCATCTTAAAACAAAACAAACATTTCTCTTTCCTCTCTTCTGGAAGGACAGGTATATCAGGCCAGAGCGAAGAATAGGTACCCAGTGCTCCTGAGGAGTGTGTGTGTGTGTGTGTGTGAAGTAGTAGAACCCTGCCTGACCCTGACATACCTTCCCATGGGTGACCAGCAGCTCCTGAATGGGCTCACCCTGGCTGATGGTGGCATCAAGGATGGCTTGCATGTTCAGCTTCTCCAGGTTCTCGTGCTGCTTGTTCCACCTGGCCCAAAAAGGGGTGTATGTGCACTGGGGTGTACAAATGTGTGTCGGGAGTGAGGATGGGGGCTGGATCCTGTTGAAGCCTAACATGAGGCAAAGGGGCCTCAGAGGCCATATAGTTCTATCTCAAAAACGTTTTTTCATGGCCCCTCCACACTAGGCAACCCCTTCTCCAATGTCAGGTCCAAGCTCTTCCACTAAAGGGACAGGCGACTCCACCTGACCCAGCTGCCTCACCCTTCAGATCCCATCTCCCGGAGCTGGAAGCTACGCAGACCTCGCACCAGCACTTCAGCCTCCCCAGGCAGCAGCACCTCCAAGTCGCTCATGTCGGGGGCCAGGGTTGACTTCAGGCAGCAGTTGGAATGGGATGGCAGGCTTTGGCGGGACCCAAGTCTGGGACAGCACAGTTGCTGGGCAGTTGAGGCGCAGTTGAGTCCTCATCGCCACGGAAACGGATGAGCTTGGCGCCTGCGCAGTATTCCCCCCCCCCCACCCCGCTCGCCACACCTACCTTTCTGCCAAGTATCATCCGACTCCTAGATGCTCTCCCTGGGCTGAGGTTGGCCTGCACAGCAGTGGAGTAAACCCGATTCTCACCAGCAACTCCTGTTCCCCCTCGCTATCTTAGCCTCTTATGGGGTAACTACAGCGGCCTCTTCATAAGACCAATTTAACTGCACTCTGAACTCACATCAGCAGCCAGAAGTCTTTTTTTTTTTAAGACAGAGTCTCACTATGTGGCTTGAACTAGCCTGGAACTTACGACTTTCTATGTAGACAACCAGGAACTCATAGAAATCTGTCTCTGCCTCTGCCTCCTGAGTGCTGGGACTAAAGGTGTGCACTATCATGCCAAGCCCAGCAGACATGAGTCTTTTTAAAAAAATTTTTCAGCACGCAATCGGGCTTTATTGAAAGATGGAGAATCACATGTAAATACACACATTTATCCAGAGAGAAAAGCTCTCCATAGGTGCAGAGGGGATTCAGAGACTGAAAAATATAAAGTCCCCAGGACAGCTTGGGACTTTTAGATGATTTTGTCGGGGCAGGTCCTCCTCTCCTAATTGGTCAACCTAAACAAAGAACAGAGAGCCCATAGGTCAAAGCTCCAAGCTGCCAAGTCCACCTTTGGTTTTATCTAGAATGGTCTGGACCAGTCGGCTGGAAGAGAGGTTTTGCTGTGGGGGAAAGAAAGCCTGCCAGGCCTTTGTCTCCGAACAACAACAAGAAGAAGTGTGCCATCTTTGTGACTCCTCAGTGACTCTGTTTGCTTTCAGGGATTAAGTTCCTTACATGATGCACATGTAGAGGTCAGAGGACAACTTTGTGGAGTCACTTCTCTCCTTCCATCTTTACATGGGTCCTGGGTATCAAACTCAGGTCTCCAGGCTTGCATAGCAAGTACTTTTACCCGCTGAGTCTTTTTCCTCACCCTTATTTGTCTTTTTAAAAACCCAGACATTAAAGAAGTACACACAAATATAAATTATGTCTATTTTATTATTAACTTATTTTTTAAAATAAAGCTATTTAGGGGCTGGACAGATGGCACAGTGGTTAAGGACACTGGTTGTTCTTGCAGAAGACCCGGGTTTGAATTCCGGCACTCACACGGCAGCTAACAACTGTCTGTAACTCCAGTCCCAGGGGATCCAATAGCCTCTTCTGACCTCTGCAGGCATTGCACGACAAGGGTGCACTTACCAACATGCAGGCAATACATGCATACACATAAAATAAAAATAAAATTGCCAGGCGTGGTGGCACACGCCTTTAATCCCAGCACTAGGGAGGCAGAGGCAGGTGGATCTCTGTGAGTTCAAGGCTAGCCTGGTCTACATAGTGAGTTCCAGGACAGCTGGGGCTACAGAGATACCCTGTCTCAAAAAGACAAAAAAATTAAAAAAATAAAAATAAAAAATAGCTATTTAAAAATATTATTTCTAGGAGTAGTTTTTTTTTTTTTTTTTTAGCGGTGGGGGTTGAGACAGGGTTTCAAAGGCCCAGGATGGAAGCCTGGAACTCTATGTGCGTGTAGGTGAGTATGTATGTGCATGGGGGAGGGGTCTAGGTGTATGTACATGCACGTGGAGGCCAGATGTCAACATTGGGTATCTTCCACCTTATTTTTTGAGACAGGGTCTCTCATTGAATCTGGACCTCACCAATTTGGCTAGACTGACTGGCCAGCAAGCTCTAGGGATCCTCCTGTCTCTGCCTCCCTGGTAGCCAAGAGTCTTAAAGATGTGCACTTGACATTCCTCCCTCACAGGGGATGACCTTGTGGTTGCCTCTGGCATTCAAAATAGCCCCAGTTAGACTAGAACTCACTATATAGACCAGGCTGGACTCTATTTCACAGAGACCCACCTGCCTCTGCCTTCGGAGTACTGGGATTAAAGGCATAAGCCATCATGCCTGGTCTCACCAAGGGCTGGTCTTAAACTCTCAGTCTTCTTGGTCAGCTTCCCAAGTATTGGGATTACAGGTGTGCACGATCATGCTTGGCTGATTTTGGGTTCTTTCTTGTTTCCCATGTTCTAGCTCCATGGTCCTCATTTAAATTTCTGTTATACATTGCTTTGGCTTTTTGAGAATGCATCTCACTATGTAGCCTGGGCTGATATGGAACTTGCTATGTAGACCATGCTGGCCTTTTACTCTCAGAGATATACCTGCTTCTGCCTCCCAAGTGCTGGGATTAACGGCATAAGCCACTACACTTGGCTCCTTTGGCTTTTTGAGACAGGGTCTCACCAAGTCATCCAGGCTGGCTTTGAACTCATAGTCCAAATTGGCCTTGAACTCAAAGCAATCCTCCTGCCTAGCCTCTTGAGTGCTAGGATTATAAGCATGTACCTCCACATCTGACCCTTACCTTATAGTTTTGCACTTGTTTCCTCTCCTGGCATACTGTTACTCCTTCAGAGTTTAGCTTAAATCACCCAAGTGAGGTCTTTCTTGCCCATCTAATCCAGAGAAATTTCTGTTCCCATCCCAACATCTGATTCCAGCTGCATCAGTGTACAATAAACAGATCCAGGGCTTCAGATATAACTGAGTTGGTAGAGTACTTACCCAGCATGCACAAAACCCTGGGTTCATGTTGGGAAACCCTGCTGTTAGGGTTGTAGTTCTCCATGTCCGGATAGCCCTAAGGGGCTCGGCGCCAAATGGAAGGACTCCCCTTTTCAGCAGGGGGCCTCCTGCTCTCTTTGTGGCTTACCTGGAAAGTGCCACCAAGCAGGGGTGCCTGACCTTATTTGGAACATGACCTTTGGCATAGTTACCTGGAGTAAAAACTACCCCCAGGTTTTTTCTATATGATAATCAGGCATTGCCTGATAGTCTGGAAGATAGGAGCCCACTGCCACATGTAAATAAAGCATACTATGAGCACCTATCAGCTGAGGCTTTGGCTACTCTGAATAAACGGAGCTGTTTCACTGAATCTGGAGCTGTTTCACTGAGTCTGGAGCTGTATCACTGCATTTGTTTCACTGCCCCATGAAACCAGCCTCCCCGGAAGGGCTTTCTTCTGTCAGTGCTCACTGGCCGTCTTGACTCCGTTCACCGCTTCTGCTCCCCCTGCCCTCGTGGACCGGTGGCCAACGACCCGTGAAGAGAGAGAGAGACCCCCGCAGGTTCAATCCCCAGCACTGCATATATGGAGTGGGGCAGCACATAGAATCCTAATACTGAGGAAGTGGAGGCAGGAAGATCATAAGTTCAAGGTTGGGGCTGGAGAGATAAAGCTCAGTGGTTAAGAGTACTGGCTGCTCTTGCAGAGGTCCCAGGTTCTGTTCCCGGTGAAATGGCAAAACAAACTCCATTTTGTTCTGATTTTTGTTTTACCCTGTGTTTTTGCCCAGCCATTCCCACTGCCGACAGCTAGGCAGAACGTCTCATGCAGGTAGTTTCAGGGAGTACATTATTTTTACAATATTGGGAAACTTACAAGTAGCCTAGTACCATGTCCACATAGTATATCCTCCCACCCAGCCTAACTGAAACTTATTGTTAACTAAGAACCTCTTTGTTAACTGATCTGTGTGGTGTAACTATGGTAATCTGATGTAACTATGGTTATTGTCTTTGCCCCTGGCATAATGTAATTGTGGTTTTAAGCTTTATAAGCCCTGCCTTGCTTCTCCTCGGGGTTGAGTTCTTTTGGGCATAAGCCCTCTCTCTGACCTGGCTATTTATAAAGAACTAATTTGACTATCACCATGTGGTATTCCTCTGTGCATCTGAGCATAAACCAGCATCCACACAGTGGCTAACAACTGTCCATCTCCTGTTTGAGGGTATTCGACACCATCTTCTGGTCACTGTGGGCACTGCATGCACGTTGTGCAGGCAAAACACTCATGTACATAAAATAATTAAAAAACAAACCAAAACCAAAAACCAACCCCACCAGACTGTTTACTTGCCCATTGTCATTTATGCCCACCAGATGGCGCTCCAGCATGGCTATTTTATCCACTGCTAGCTCTCATGGTTGGCTGAGGCAGTACTCAATAAACAAGGTGAAATTGATAACTTTATTTACAAAACTGAGGATCAACCTTCGGACAATATATACTAACTTACGTATCTAGCCCTGGACTAGTCAGAGCTTAGCAGGAGGAAGTAGCCACAATATACTTCAGTCAGTCAGCTTCACTTCCAGCAGATGATGATGTTGGGGTCATTTTCTAGCCGCTCATCCAGCTCATGGTAGCTCATGCCTAGGTAGGGTGAGGGACTTGAGGTCAGTTGCCTTGGCTTGGCCAGTCAGCCCTCATCCCACCTAGACTGCCCTGTTTGCCTTCACCTGTCTTGCAGCAGATCTCATCATAGCTGTGGCAGCCTGTGTAAAGCCGGGCAGGATGGCTCCGCTCCTCCTGAGACACTCGCACTGGATACTTCTGTAGTCTTCGGATGAGGTTCTTCATAAGTCCAAACTGGATCAACTTCCTGGGTTGATTGTTGGGGAAAAGGTTTGATGCCTTTGTCGAGCCAATCCTTTCCTCAGTCTCCCCTTAAATTGTGTCTCGGGGCTAGTGTGGCCTCCAAGCTCACTACCTCGAGGACTGGACCTGCCTGGATTAGCAGTGCCACATTCTTCTGATCACTGGGAATCCCCTGGTTCCTCCCTGACTGAAGGCTCCTCCAGAGACCCAAGATAGTCCAACCCATCATGCCTGAGACTGCCCCTCTGACCTCTCATCAACATGCTGCAACTGCAGGGGGTGGCGGCCAATGAGGTCTCGCACAGTGGTGCCAGGGCTCAGGCTGCAGTACAGCTGAAATACATCTCGGAGACTGGCCCTTTTGTGCCCTGTGGATGCCAGGGGTCAGCTTGCCAGATGACCCTTTTCTCCCCAAGATGATCTCCCCCAAAGCTTGCCACTACCTTGCTTGGTGACGTAGGATAGACATGCCTCCTGCAGGGACTTGTCATCTACCAGGTCTTGGACTTTGGGTGTTGGGCAGTACACATTGGAGTACTAGAAAGTAGCAGGAAGTATAATAGCCTGAGTGATAGGCTTCGGAGCCTGGCTTGATCTGGCCCAGTTATATGGTTTATACTTTACAACTATATCCCAGATTCACCTACCTGGAGAATGGATACCAGTGTCACAACACCATAGTACCTAGGGAAAAGAACTGTACTTAGCTTCTGAACACTGTGCCTTCCCAGTCCTATACTTAAGGCCCTTGGGCTCTTCTCTGGCTGGTGACCCCATAATGGGAATGACGGTAGCTTCACTCACAGCAGGTTCTGGATGGCAATGCGCACCAGGTTGAGCTCCACGTCTGCTTCTGCAGAGATCTTCTGGACATGGCGGAATCCATCAATGTAGGGCAGGATCTGTGCAGAGCAAGTCAGGGTCAGCAAAGGTGAGATGAGACCAAGGCTGTGGGCAGCTCAAGGTGATAATACTCAGAGAGGGCTGGTACACCTGCTGTGTGGTGAGGTCCCACTGCGAGTTGATGAAATCTTCTTTGTCCTTGGTAAAGACAGGCACATCATACTCCTGGGCCACAGGAGGGTCTGGCCGTTGCTCAATCACTTTCAAGTGGATAGTGTTGGACTCATCTGCATGGAACCCCACTCATATCTTCAGTATCATCTTTCCCAAGGGGCCCTCAATTACCATCTAAAGCTCCCAGCATCAGTTGAGGAAGGCAGGGTTCTTGGGTCATTCTCCTTTTATGGAGTGAGAAACTGAAGTCCAAGGGAAAATAATATGCCCAAGAAGCAGAGCTGAAGAGTTCTCCTGCCTCCCAAACCCAGGTCCATTATGTACTGGGGGGCTTTAAGCATCATTGCTTCAACCCACAGCTATTTCCTGTATACCAATTTGTTCAAGACTCTTACCCTCCCCCAGTGGCTGTGCTTACTTCTGCCACTTTCCCATCCCTCCTCTACTCATCTGCTGTCCTGGCAGAGGCTGGCCATACCAATGGGAAGAGTGCACCGGCCAGAGGCATTTAGCTCCTCCAATAAAATGGTCATGATGGGCACCAACTTCTGCTTGCTCTCCTCTGTGGACACGAAGCTGCTTTCAAGCTGGATAGAACAGGATAACATGATGGGTACACATCAGAGTTCCTGGCTAGCTGGATCCTGAGCTAGCTTGTTGGGAGTGGGGAGGTTGGAGATATAGGAACACTTGCCCCAACTGTGCCTGCCCATACCCCCAAGCCCATCCTGTTGCAGACCTCCAGTGTGGTCAGATAGCCAGCCAGTTTTTTAACAATGGGTTCAAGGGCACAAGTCTTGGCCTGAGCATCACACACGAAGCCCAGGTTGAAGAGGAGGGCATTGCGACTATACTTCTTGTGTTCAATGCATACAGGGCAGCCGATCAGCTTCTTTTCCATGGCTGTCCTGGATGGGTAGAAGAGAGTCAGCCTGTCCCCCAAGTTGGTCCCCTCCTTCTGGGACCCCTTCTCTCCCACCCAACTAAGGCCTCACACAGTGATAAGCTTGTTCTGTAGTTCTGGCTTGGTGATGATGTATACTTGGACCGTGTCAAATAGCTCTCGGGAAATGAAATCCTCAGGGACCTGGGGAGGAGAGTGGCAAGAGTTCCCTCAATGGACACTGGGATTGGGTGGAGTATACTAGGTTATATACCGGACACACACACCTAGATTTAAGCACTCTAGTGTTTCCCTTTCCTTCATCCATCTAATCTACTACTCCACTGTGTTTCCAAACACATGCTGTTTTCACTGGCTTCCTGGCTTTGCAGTCACTATTCCCACTACCTGGAACACTCTACTCTCACCTCATTTTCTAGGCATCATTTATGTCTCAATTCAGTGATTCCCTTGGTCATCTATTCCACCTTCCATGAGACCCAGCACCTCCCCTGAACACTTACAGCCCAATTTTCCACAAAACTGGCTGTTGTGATACAGTATGTTTCCTACCCCACACCAGGAGCCAGAGACCTGGGTCTGTGTATCCTCGCTGTTTAAAGTTATATGCGAAAGGAGTGGCATGCCCTAACGCAGTACAGGGACCCACAGCCCTTCCAGGCTGCCAGCTGAGCTCTGGAGAGCGTCCCTTTCCCCGCCCACTCCCACCTGATAGGTGATCTTGGGTCCAAGCGTGGGGTGGAACTCGCTGAAGAATATGCATTCGATGCGGCAGCTGCTGCCCATGGCGCTGACCAGTCCCGATTCTGTAGTTTTTTTGTCTCGCGCGGTGATCTACCCCACCCTGAGAACACCTGTCAAAAAAAGCAAGGAGGCCTGGGCTACTAGGTCACGCAAAGAAGGGCGTTCAAGCCAACAAAGCCGTCAGTTTAACAGCGCCTGCGCAAGGTGATTTGGAGGCGTGGCTGTCACTGGGTGGGATTAGAGGGGGCTTGTCCCAGGAAGTCTGGGGTGGGTAGCCGTCACACCCGGAAGTGAAGCGCCTCTGTAACGGAGCGGCGGCGCGGCCGGCGGGGCTCAGAGTAGCCAGTTTATTTTGGAGGAAATCACTGCGTCGAGCCTGAGCAGCAGGTGAGGAAGGCAAATTGCTTCCGTGTAGGGACAGCGTGCTAACTGCACGTGGGGAGGCAGTGCGCAAAGAGATTCACCCTTAGCTAGGAACGCAGCTGGGAACTACCAGTCCCGTAGTGCTCCACGCCTTCCGATCTGGCGCTTCCGCCACGGACGACGTAATGCATTCTGGGATTTGTAGTCTCACGTGTCCTTACATCTCCTACCTGAAAGGTGGTCTAGGGATCAATATCACTTCAAATACAGGTAGACTCCGACAGGTAGACGCTGTTAGGTAACTAGTCTTCTCTAGGCAAGTTGAGACTATTCTTGGTGCTGGCCTCGGTTTGTTCCTGTCATAAATTTTCCGAAAAAGGTGCCATTCCTTTCGCCGGTGAGAGGCGCGGACTGTGGGCACTCTTGCCAACGCTACGATGCTTTCAGGATACAGCTATCGGCTGGGCTGACCATGGCCCTTTCTGTGGAGACCGAGTCACACATCTACCGAGCTCTACGCACTGCCTCTGGGGCTGCAGCCCACCTTATGGCCCTGGGCTTTACCATCTTTGTGACTGTGCTTGCCAGGCCTGGCTCCAGTAAGTAGGATTTATAGTCGACTTCTGGGAAGGGAAAGGCCACTTTTCTTGGGCAGAAGGGCAGTAGGAGGTCTTGGGTTTGACTCCAGAAACAGGATTGACTAGCTGAGGAACTGACTATGCTGAAGATATTATGTTATGGGTAGAACAGGTGAGTTAAGGGCTCTACCAGCATGACCAAGCTCTGGAGTACCTTGTTTCTCCTTCCTTGACTTGAAACTTCACTCCAGCCTCTTGGAGATGCTGGAGGAAGTCAGCTGCCAGAGGAGTGGCAGATCATGCTTTTTGATCCAGAATGGGGTGGGTAGGGTTTATTGCAAGAGGGGGCACACATTTTGACAACTCCTTAGGTGATGGGTTGCCCATATGTCTTAGCCTGTAGGGACTGGTATGCTGGTTTCTTTTTTCCTCAATCTCACAAGGCTTCCTCTTCTCATTCCAGGTCTCTTCTCCTGGCACCCTGTGCTTATGTCTCTGGCTGTAAGTAGTGGGTCTGGGCAGGTTTCAGGGATAGAGTATGGGCATAGGTAGGTAACCCTCACAGCCTCTGAATCCTTGCGGACGTTCAGTGTCTATTTAGAGGAGTTGTCCCAACTACTGCTTCTGTGATCAAGACCAACACCAAGGACAAATGGGTGAGGCTCATCCAGGCACAAAATGAGGCTTCTCCCACCTCAAGGCAAGAAGCTGAGAAATTACATTTGGAGGTTGCTTTGTCCCTTTCTACCTTAATTTATGGTGATGCATCTAATTTTCCCTGAAACAGTGCACCCATGTGGCCCGCTCTTGCCAAGAAATTGTATCCAGCCCCATGGGAGGGAAACAAAGCTTGTGAATCATTTATAACTGCCACATCTCGGACTTTGTTTGCGGGGTAATGTAGCAGAGATGACATTTTAGAATAGCACCTAGGAAAAAGTCTGGAGAGGCACCTCTCATTAGTTATTCAGGGCAGATGTTGTCCCAGATAGGGTTCTCCACTCTTGTCCCACTAAATGAAGTATTTTGTCCATGGGAAGAGAATGAAGAAGGGAAATGGGGCCAAGTACACTGATAACTTGGAGGGTTATGTAAAGTGATCTTCCCCTTTAGTGGGTGAAACATTCTCACTTGTTTCCCACCCTCTGTCTCCTCAGTTCTCTTTCCTGATGACCGAGGCACTACTGATGTTTTCTCCTGAGAGTTCCCTGCTGCGGTCCCTGTCTCGGAAGGTCCGAGCCCGCTGCCACTGGGTACTACAGCTGCTAGCTCTGCTGTGTGCTCTACTGGGCCTCAGCCTTGTCATCCTCCACAAAGAACAGCTTGGCAAAGCACACCTGGCCACGCGGCATGGGCAGACAGGGCTACTAGCCGTGCTGTGGGCAAGTCTGCAGTGCTCAGGGGGTGTGGGGCTGCTCTATCCTAAGCTGTTGCCCCGATGGCCCCTGGCAAAGCTCAAACTCTACCATGCCACTTCTGGGCTGGTGGGCTACCTGCTAGGAAGTGCCAGCCTCTTGTTGGGCATGTGCTCACTGTGGTTCACTGCTAATGTCACTGGTGGAACCTGGTACCTGGCTGTGCTATGCCCTGTCCTCACCAGTTTGGTCATCATGAACCAGGTGAGCAATGCATACCTATACCGCAAAAGGATCCAACCATGAGCTCTTCCCAGCCAAGGGGAATCCTGGATTTGCACTTCAGCATAGCAGTTGGAGCTGGGGACCTCCTGGACTCTTGCTGATTGTGTCAGGGGACACTTCAGGTACTAGGGCACTCAGGGATAGGAAATCTGTGTGACATTTTTGCTCCTTATGCTAGAGTGCCTCCCTTTTTCTTTTCACCATCATTCTAGAGGAGCATAGATTGTGTGTCTGGATGAAGCTGGGGTTGCAACACTGTCTCCCCAACTATACAGCTTATATTTGTACTGCTATGTCCAGAAATTATGGAGAGTAAAAAGTAAAATAAAAAAAAATTTACTAAAGACTGATGGAAACAGCGGCCCAGAGTTGAGGATGGTTTTTGCTAATGCCATTAACATGAGAAAATGGACAGCTGGGCAAGGTGGGGAGTCCCTTCTGAATGGTAGACCTCTCCAAGAACACAAATCCTTAGAATCTGGCTGCTAAGCTTCCTATGCCACCCAGGGCTTTAGTATGTTCAAAGTGGATAGTACAACCATGTGTTTCCAGCTACAGACTGTATTGGAGTCTGGAGACTGAGTTAGAGATGGGCTGTCTACACAGGTGTCAAATACAGAGCACATTTTCCATGAATACCTTCTTTTGAGAGAGGGTGTTGCTGTAGCCCCAGCTGGCCTGGACCTCACTATGAGGCACACTTTGAGGCTGGCCTCAAACTCAGAGATGTGCCTGCCTCTGCTGCCTGAGTACTGGGATTAAAGGCATGTGCTACCACACCAGGTTTGTTTTTGAGACAAGGTTTCATGACTCTCAGGATGGCTTTGAACTTACTATATAGTTGCAGGTGACCTTGAATTTATGATCCTCCTGCTTTTACCTCCTGAGTGCTGGGATTACAGGCATGTCCTACCATGTGCCTCTTTTATGCAGTGCTGGGAACCAAATCCAGGGCTTTGTGAATGTAAAGCAAGCATTCTACCAACTGAGCTATACCCTTAACCCGTTTTTTTGAGATAGGGTCTCACTATGTAGCTCAGGCTGGGATTACAGGCAGGCCTAAGAACAATTTATGATAGAGAGGCCCTCAACTGTCAGGTCCTCTGGCGCAGACCTTTTCTTACTAGGAACTGGAAAGGAGAGAAACAGGAGTAAGGGTCTGAGGTGATGGCTCTGGAAGGCTGCTTGGCAGACATGTGATAGTAGAGGGAACAGGGTGGAGGTGATGAGCTTCTAGCCAGCTGGAATTATGGAATTGAGCCCTTGGACCCAGTAAACACCATTTAAAATTTGCATTTGAAAATGATGAAGGAACTGTACAAGGTGGCCTTACAGAGCCCAGGAGCCACACCTCAAAGAACTGCTTTATTGATACTGTAAGGCTAGGCTTGGCTGCCCGCTCAAGTGGTCCTGTAGAAAATACCTGGGAGCTGTGGTTACTCTGGCCAGAAGCAGTCACTGCCACAGCAGAGGGAAACAAGAAATCCTGATGTGAACAGTCTTCTCAGGGTGGGCAGGGATGTGCAGCCCCACATTGGCTCTTGCACTGGCTGGGCCTCCCAGAACATTTTTGGCAAATACAAATCCTTGCCTTGGCTCAGGGCTCTTGGCAACGAGTTTCAGATGTGAAGACCAGCCCAGGAGCTGTGGCACCAGTGTCCCTGCAGCCACTTTCTTGATGAGGAATTGTACTTGCTGAGGTACAATCTTACCTCAAATGGGGGTCTGGACTGGCTGATGGCCTCAGAGGCCCCATGCCTGGCATAGTGGTTGTCTGGAGTTGGAACCAGGTCATAAGGGCCCTGGATAGTGTTGGCGAGAAACAGCGGAAGGCCATGGAAGTCTCCAGCAGGCCTTCATCCCTCTCTTCAGAGCAGTCAGTGCTCGGAAGTAGCTGAGAGGTATGGGAAAGGGGGTTGGGAGTGGAAATGCTACACTCAAGGAGGTCTGAAGTTACAGCTTTGGGGGAGCTGCCTCAAAGGTGATGAGACTGGATTCTGGAACAGTCCCCTTTCCTGGGGGTGTGGACACTTTTTCTGAGGGTAGAGGACTGTCCATTTTGGCCCCAGCCTCCTCTTCATCATCTTCCATGCTGGGCCAGACAGACTGATCCTCTACTCTCTTCAGCCGCTCATTGAGAGCCTTCAGGGCCAGTTGCCTGGGGCCAAAGGAGAAAAGATAGGTCACTGGGTTTGGTTGGCTTATACTCTGCACCCTTTCTCCACAGGCTAAATCCTCCCCACCAAAGAGACTCCTCTCCCAGAATCCCATGTTTTCCATTCCTCACACAGGGCCCAACAGACTGGATTAGGACCAACTCTGCTAATCAGAATTGAGGACTCAAAGGCTTCCTCATAGCTGAGGCACCTTCAGGTTCAGAAAGCCACCTAGATTAGTCCAGCTTCACTACCAGGCCACTCACCAGGAATCTCCTGAGTTTGGTGCCTAAGGATGGATGGATCAAGTGCTTCAGGGCAGATGGGTAGAATGGTTTCGTTCCTAGAGATGAGTTCCTGCCTAAGCACTGGTGTTATTGCCAAGGAGAGGGATACTTATTCTTGTAGTACTAGAGATTGACTCTAGGGCTTCATGTAAGCTAAGCAAGTATTCTACCACAGAGCTGTATTTCTAGCCCTTAGGAAAAAAAATTTTGAGGCAGGGTCTGGTTCAATGGGGCCCATGCTGGTTTTGAGCTAGTTCTGTAGCCTAGATAGGTCTTAACTCATGATCCTCCTGCTTCAGCCTCCTGAGCAGCTGGGAATACAGGCCTGCACCACCAGACTTAACTAAGGAAAGGGTTATCAATGAAGCAGGGTCAATTTGGGTCATTTCACCCTTCCCAACGCTGATACCTTTATTCCCAGGAGTCTCCCAAAGCCACTTAGACCTATGTTACACACACTTAGCAGAACCTTTATAGAAGGAAAAGAAATAGCCCATGTGGGTAGGGCACAGAGCTGAGCCTACTGTTTTCATGGGGTAGACTTTTGGAGCCATCATTTTGAGGAAAGGTGAGAAAATACACTACAAGCAAGTATGCATATGTTCTTAGTACTCTGGCCCACACAAGGTGGAATGGCCAGGCTGTGAGGCAACACTTCCAGCTGGCCACTGTGGACCATGATGGCTCAGCATCTTTACCACCAAAGGGCACACAGTCCCTATAGCCTTCCAGAGATCCAAAATGTCCACCATGCCAAGGAAAAAGACAGGAAAAGCAATAGAGAGATGGATATAAAAAACCTAGCACACTTCCAACCTGGTCTATGGCAAGTTGGCACTAAGAGGACTTCCCTGTTACTGCCCAGGCTACCATGCCCTTGCCAGTAGTCACCTTCTTACAAGGGTCAGAGACTGAGAAGAAATCCCATCTCCTACTAGTGGCCCTTTGGGTCAGAGAGTGACATGCAGTCAGATGGCAGATTGGTTGGAAGAGTAATGCTGACCCCATGGAAGCTAACAACCATCAGAGTAGGCAAGACCCCACCTCTTGCTCCCATCCCCACTCTTCTTCCTCTATTTTCCTGGTCCTGGACAGGGGTTTTCTCAATGTCTAGTCAATCATAGCAATTCAAGACCTCTCACTGGAGAGAGGGCCACTTATGGCCAGGTCCCACCTGAATATTCAGACTAAGAACAGCCCTGTTTCTGGCAGACCCAGTCCTACAAGCCCCATCTCTTCCACTAAATAAGGTCAAGATGGAACTGTCTTTGGGTCACCCCAAAAGACTTCAAGCTGTAGGGCCCAGAATTGGGCCTGTAGCATGCCTTGGATGCTTTTCCACATCTACCACCTTGAATACAAGCTGCAAACTCTTCTAAGGAAGATGTGTTCCACATTCAGCTACAACCTCTGTGAAGAATTAGCTCAAGGACAACTGTCCCATTGAGGTCAGGAACCCATTTCACAGGTGAGCAAAAGCAGGACCTTTGACAAATGGTAATAAACAAGGCTTGTGACAAATTGTTTCAAAAAACTAATAATGTTGGAAATGGAGCTGTGGATCTTTTGGAAGCTGAAAACACTGTAAAGAATCCACAGGTCTTTGAGAAAGTAAGAGGTGAATTTAAAAAGCTCTCTACTGCCTTGGCCAAAGTGTCCAGTGAATAATGCAGCTGGAACTACTGATGCTGCAGATGGCTTGGTTTATAGATAATGCAAAGGTCTCTGCTCAGGTGGTCAGTAGGTTCCTGTACTGGGTCATGTAGCCTGTCCTCTAGGTTTGGTGATACATGCCTATTGAAGGAGGGGTAAATTTAGTGATACCCCAGTCTTCCTTCATTTAAGAGAAGAAGCACAGTCCAGAAAGATGTAGTTCAGTATTTGGAAACTGGGGTGGCTCAGATGACTTCTTAATGACACAGGTGTCCTTCCTTGTCCCTCCTCACAGGAAAAAGGACCAAAAGATTGTTTCTGGCTCCCACAGGACCAGTGTCTAGTATTTGGAGAGCCTGAGACAAGATCAAAAGAGACTTGGCGTTCTTTAGATTGGTTAGTGGTGAGAAGCACACATAAAAGGAGCCCAGAAACCTACATACTGAATCCTTAAGGCCCCACACTGAATTTTCTCTTTCTGAAGCTGACCTCAACACCTTGCCTGTAGTTCTCTAGCCAATGTACAGCAAGCATCTCAAGAGATGGCATGTGACTCCACCGATATTTTTTCTATGCCAAGATTTTGGAAGCGTTCACAATACCTTCTCCGCTCTGCGTCTTGAGGGTCAGTGCCCGGGAGGCTGATAGTGATGGAGGATGGTGCTCCCACATCATAGCGCTTCACTGTCTTCTGGCATATCTTTACTTTCACTAGGAGGCCATGTACCAAGTTCGCCAGCAGCCCCACCACAGGCTGAAGGATCTCAGGGAAGAAGGTGGCAAAAGCAAAGTGGTCAGCCATGTCTCCTCGGCCCCGGCTATGGCGCTGATAGAAGCGAAGATATACCCAACTGGAAAGTAGCCCGAAGCCGTAGGAAGCCAGTGCCGGGCTCTGGAGCAGCGTGGCCAGCCGGAGCAGTAGCAACAGCGCCAGCAGTAACATGGGAACGACGCTGACGCGGACCTGGGGCACTCGCAGAACCACACAGTCTCCCATAGTTTGCTTGAGTGCCACCAGGACACCACCTAGGAAGCCCAGGGCGCCGTGGATACGAATAGTGAACAGGTAGACCAAGTTGAAGGAAGCCATGTAGGTGAGGAGGTAGGCAAAGGCCCCCAGAAGCCCTACGGACACATTCACCACTGAGAAGAAGATGAGTAGCTCCAAGGCTCCCCAGAGGGGCTCCAGTAAACGCCCAGCCACCACCACTGTGGCCAGGCTGATGGCCACGTCCCACACGTGCTGCTCCATCAGCCCATGGGTGGCCAGGGTCCAGATCCAGAAGTTGGGTGGAAAGAGGTAGCCTGGGGTGACCGCCAGGCAGCCTGTGTCCACGGCGAAGGAGAGCAGATAGAGGAATAGAACCGCGGCGCACAGCGCCTTCACCACCACGCTGGCACTGGCCAGAATGGCCCCCAAATGCTGGCGGGCACCGGGTAGGGCGCGTTGCATCTTCCCGGCGTATGTCGGCCTGAGCAAAGGCCAGAAAGGTGGTCTCGGGGCCTCCCCGGGGCCTCGTCCCAGTCCGGCCCCGACGGGAGGCCCGGGCCCTACTACTCACCGGCGTCTGTCACCTGTGGAGGCTGTGGTTCCGGTCCGGGCGGACTGTAGCCCCAAGGGGGACGAGCCAAGCCTCGCTGTCAGGCCGGAGCCTAAGCTTCTTGCCCGGGACCTGAGGTTAGGCCCTGGGTGGCTTCGGCACGCCTGCCTGCCGGTTTTGTAGGCCCGGCGGCCAGGCTGGCCCCGCTAGCGTTGATCTCAAGGCCAGGCCGCCTCCATTCACTCTGAGGTCCTTCGGTCCGCACCGGAACTGACTTGTTCCGGCCCGAGGCAAGTCAGTCTAGCTCCGGCTGGGTTAGGGTTTTGACTTCCACCGTACCTCTCTCCCTTCTCCAGGGCGGACAAACAGGGACGCTGCGCCTGCGCAGCCCCGGCGACGGCAGCGGCGGCGATGAGCCCTCTGAGCTCCTGCCTTTCGGCTCCTTGGCATGCTGGGATACGGAGTCCTTGGGAACGGGTTCTGCGTAGAACTACAAGTCCCAGAAGCCGTGCGCCTGACCGTTCTGGTAGATGATTAGAGGAGGCGGTGCTTGGAAGTTGTACTTCTCAGGGCGGTCTCCTGGGTTATTCCCTGCTGGGGAGTGGGACTAGGCATGGCTAATCTGGGTAAGTGAGGTGATGAGGGAAGGTTCTGGAGGCAGCACCATTTTAGGCTACACACTGGCTGAATTCTCTCGAGGAGAGTGGTTCTGTTTGTGATTAGGACGTGTACTGGAGAGTGTTCTTGTGGGCAGGTGTCCAGTAGTCCAGGATGTCCAGTAGTTCCGGTGTGTTGTAGCAATGTATGGGAACCATCGGAAACTACGTGGTCTGGTGAATGCAGCCTAACGGGGGTTAAGAATTCTCGTTCTTGAGGCTGGAGAGTTGGCTCAGTGGTTAAGAGCACTGACTGCTCTTGCAGAGGAGCGGGGTTCCATTACCACCATCCACATGGCAACTAACAACCGTCCATAACTCCAGTTCCAGCGGGAATCCGATGCCCTCTTCTAACCTGAGCGGGCACTGCACAACACGAGTGCACTTACACACATGCAGGCAATACATTCATGCACATAAAATAATAAAATATAAAAAAAAAACCTCGTTCTACCGTTTGGAGCCAATGTGATATTGACCAAATTCCTGAACATTTTGGAAGTGCAAATTTATAAACCTTAAAAATGGTGATGACGCCGGGAGTGGGTGTGGTGGCGCAGGTCTTTAATCCCAGCACTCCGGAGGCAGAGGCAGGCGGATCTCTGTGAATTCAAGGCCAGCCTTGTCTACATAGTGAGTTCCAAGACAGTTGGGGCTACAGGGAGACCCTGTCTCAAAACAAAACAAAACAAAATAAAAAAAGTGGTGATGATGCCAGACATGATGGCACATGCCTTTAACCCCAGCACTAGGGAGGCAGGGCCAGGCAGATCTCTGTGAGATTGAGGCCAACCTGGCCTACATAGCGAATTCCAGGCCAGCTGTTGCTACAAAGGGGCAGCAGTGTAAAATGTCGGGCATCTTATGTATTTACATTGCCCTTGTTCCAGTGAGCTGAACCTGCTATATGAACCTAGGGTTTTTTCCCCAAAATGGGTGAGGCTGGACTGCCTCAGAGACTCTTCTCCCTATTAGAAACCTGATTTCCACTGGAGTTATAAGAAATCTCCCTATAAGGACCAGCCAGGCTGGTTCAGGCTCAACTCCACACTGTAGTGGCTCCCAGCAGGTTGTTTCTTGAGATTTTGTTGTTTACTGAATCACTTTTTAAAAATGTGCATATAGACAGGCATGGTGGTGCACACCTTTAATCCCAGCACTCAGGAGGCAGAGACAGGCGGATCTTTGTGAGTTCAAGGCCAGCCTGGTCTACATAGTGAGTTCCAGGACAGCTGGGGCTACAGGGAGACCCTGTCTCAAAAAGACCAAAAAAAAAAGTGCATATAAGTTAATTATATGACAGGGGACTTCATTATTAAATGCACAACTTCCTTGATCTCAGTACAGCTGCCTGTGTGTGGGTCAGGGTTCCCACTGTATGCCACATACTAATGTTTGCTAAGTCTGACTTAGCAAATAAAAGTACTGGGTGCTCAGTCAAATTTGAAGTTTGGATAAACAATTTATCAGTATAGGGATGTTCCATGCTCTATTAGAAACACTAAAAAAATCACCATTAAAAAATTTTTAATCAGGGCTGGAGAGATGGCTCAGTGGGTAAGAACACTGACTGTTCTTGCAGAAGACTGGGTTCGAATCCCAGCACCCATATGGCAGCTAACAACTGTCTGTAACTCCAGTTCCAGGGGATCTGACAGCCTCTTTTGTCCTCCGCAGGCATTGCACTATATGAGTGCACTTACCTACATATAGGTAATACACACATACACATAAAATAAAAATAAAAAATAAAAATAATTTTTTAAAAAATCACAGCTAGTTGGTGCATGCCTGTAATCCTAGCACTTGGGAATCTGAGGCAGGAGGATCAGGAGTTCAAGGTCATCCTGAGCCTGGACTATGTGAACCTCTGTCTTAAAAGAAACAACAACAACATTATCTGATAATCAAAACAGATTGAGTTTTCTGTGTTTTATCTGGCTATCCTACCCGAGAACCATAGGTTTTGTTTCAGGGCTTGGGAACTGTCTTGGGGTATGAGAGTTAGTTGAGTATGAGTTCCTCTATGGTCAACTCTTGCAAAGGAATGAGGAAAGCCTTATCTTGGCTGAGGCATGGAATGTCCTCTATCATTTGTTTAGTATCCAAGGTTCCCTTCCAGCCAGTCACCTGAGACTTTGTGTGTTCATGCACTTATGTGTGCGTGTATATATGGCAGCCAGAGATTAACACTAGATGTCATCCTCAATCACTTTGCACCTTATTTTTTTGAGTCTGGGTCTGATAGACTGATGAGTTCTAGAATTTTGCCTGTCTCCACCCTCCACCATCCACTGCTTCTCTGCCCCCCAGTGCTAGGGATACAGGCTTCTGTACCTGGCTTTTGTGAGTACTGAGAATCTGAATTCAGTCATCATGCTTGTACAACAGTCACTTTTCTTACTGAGCCAGCTCCCCAGCCCTGCTACCTGAAACTTTTACTAATTTTTTTTTTTTTTAAAGACAGGGTCTCACTATATAGATCTGGCTGTCCTGGAATTCAATATATGGAGTAGGTTGGTTCTGAACTCACAGAGACCCACCTGCCTCTGCCTCCCCAGTGGTGGGATTAAAGGCATGTACCACCATACTTGGCTCTTTTTCTATTTTGAGACAGAGTCATGTAGCCCAGGATGGCCTGGAAATCCTTGTGTAGACAAGATGACCTTGAATTCCTGATCTTCCTGCCTCCATTTCCCAAGTGTGAAGCACAGGCATATACCACCACACCCAGCTTTTGTTGATTTTTTTTACCCTTCTCATCTTTCACCTCTCCTATCTGTGTTATGGGGATATGCTGGTAACCAGGAGTGCATGTATTTGTGTATGCTCACACAAAATAAACAAATGTAAAAAACAAGATGAACTGTGTATGGTATTGCATACTTGCAATCACACCACTCCAGAGGCACAGACAAGTAGGCAAGATGATTTGGAGTTTGAGGAACACACACACACACACACACACACACACACACACACACACAGAGATGAGGAAAGGTCTGCCAAAGGATATGTAAAAGCTGACTTGGCCTCTGATCTCTCCTGATGTCATCCTGAGCCAGGATGAAGTCCCCACTTGTTTGTGGGTGGGCCAGATCCTGGCATCCTCAAAGCAGCTGGACTGGGTATTTCAGCACTGGCTTCTGTTGTGTTGCTCTAGGCAGCACAGGTCCTGGTCTGATCACATGGATGGATATCAGCCTAACCAACATATCTCATTACTATCTTCCTCGCTTCAGAGTCCTTGCCTTGAGGCTGTAGGTGGTGGACCCACCAACCCCCCTTGACAGTTATTTTTCCTGGAGGCCTGTGACTTGGTAGGAGGAGGCAAAGTATATCAAGGGTAAAAGCTGGGAGCATCATGCCCTTTGGCCCCTGGGGACCTGGATTGCCTAGGCTTTCCTCCTAACAGAGCAGGGTGGGATTCTGAGGTCATGGCCACCAGTCTTAATACCCCAAGGCCCACACAGTGGATGGAAACTGTTTGAAGTGAAAATATGAACATTATTTAATAACTGATCTTCTGTAATAAACCATTTGAAAATATTTTACAAGGAATCACACACACGATATTTTACAAAGTTTCTTGACTTTTTTGTCGCTGTTGTTTTTCCGACTTGTCTGTACAAAATAGAATAACAACAACAAAAAAAAGGGCAGAGAAAAAGAAATGGTCCCCCAGCCCCCTAGCCCAAGGTGAGGGGGCAGCCAGGTCAGGTGGGTGATGAGAAGGATCAGACCCAGCTGGGGGTTGGACAGCTACCTGATGGGGATTGTTTTGTCTGTTTTTTGCTTTTTAAACTTAAAATATATATTTTTCTGTATGTGTTTGTTTCTTTTTTATGTTTATAATCTCCATTGAGCACCTGACTACACTACAGTTACACACGCGTCCCCACAGGACACAGCTGACATCCAGGCTGGGCACACATCATGGATACCCACCCTGGCACCAGCAGCGGGCATGGACCATACACACACTGAGAAATTGACAAGCAACATGACATTAATTAACGGAACCATTAATTAATGCATCACCCTCCCCCCTCCTCCCAGTCCATCTGAGCCTCATGGCTACATTCTCCTGCCCTCAGTCCCCTACTGGCCTCCAGGATAGGATACCTTTGGGGGAAATGACCAGAATGGATAGTGTGGAGAGATGTGCCCAGGCCCAGCTCTGTGTGTGCAGTGTATATATGTGTGTATGTGCAAGTGTGTGGTCAACAGGGAAGGGGCAATTTGGCCTCCTGGGGGCAAGGAGTGCATGAGAGTGCGTGCCTGCAAAAAGAGAGAGAGAGAGAGAGAGAGAGAGAGAGAGAGAGAGAGAGACAGGGAGTGAGCCTGAGGGTGTTAGAGCCAGATTGGGGGTGGGATGGCCCAATCAGGAGAGACCAAGTCACCCCTGCTAAGGCAAGGAGCAAGGTCTGGTGAGGGTTCCTCTGCTGAAGGGTTCAGGCAGTGATAAGTGGTCCTGCTGGGGGCCTGACACTAGTGAGAAATGGTTACAATGAGCACCTGGCAGGGTAAGGGGCACTTGGGGGACACTGGTGGTTAGGAGTGGAACAGAGGGGCCTTCCCCCTCTGCCCCAGCATTTGGCACTGTTTGACATTCAGCTTTAGAGATGGGAGGACCAGCAGGGCTGCATCTCAGAATAGAGGCGGAGGTGAGTAGGAGATGGAATGTACAGGTGCCAGCCTTCCCACCAAACTCTTGCCCTGTGTAAGGCTTTGTGAGCCCCCTGTGGTGTGTGTCTGTGTCTGTTTTTGTGTGCCTTCCGGTATGTCTAGTGTGAGTCCAGTTTCTGCCCTCAGGGGTCCAGGTGTGTGTCTAAACCGATGTCATTGTTTGAGACTGTCCCCACCTGCAAGGCTGGATGGAGTATGCACTGTGGCTGTTGGTCTGAAAGGAGCAGGAACCCATTGGGGGCTGCCCCAGAACCTCTCTCCCACCACTTCCATCTCACCTTCCTTCATTTTTTTTTTTCCCCTCAGGATAGCTAGGTTTCGGTTTGGATGGGGCCAAAGGGCCAGGTTGGAGGCATCCAGCAGAGGCAGGGTTGCCTATACAGAGGAAGCCTCCAGGCAGGTTGGGCAGCAGAGGCCTGGTTTGGCACCAGTACATGTGGCCTCTGGTCCCAGACCCCTGGATGAGCCCAAGATCTGCACTTGGGACAGTTCAGCGCTGAGATGAATCTTGAGTGTCAAACACCATGACACTCTCCTTTGGGGCTTCCCTACCCCCAAGGCACAGGCTCTCAGGGGGGCCCAGGTCCTTCACTGAGGGAGTGGCAGGGCGCTAGGGTGGGGAATGCGGGATGGGAAGGTGGGTGAGAGGGGAGGAGGCCGGGGTGGGGGTAGGGTGTGTTTGGGGGGGGGGTCGCTCAGAGGCGGCGGGAGGCAGCAAGGGAGTGCACTTGAGGCTGCGGCCGCGGCGGCAGGCCCAGAAGGAGCAGTAGCTGGAGGGAAACCACCACGCCCAGTGACGGAGGGAAGGAGGCTCCGCGGCCACAGTCTGAGGTATCCTCCTGAAGGGGAAAGACAAGAAACCGGTCGGCCCCGAGTGGGCGCAAGGTCACAGGAACTCAGGGCGCCGCTCCTCCGACTCACCGTCGCGTTGTAGTCGAAACAGATGTGCGGGCCTCTTCGGTACCGCGGTCTCTGCACCAGCTCACACTGCTCCAGGCCGTCCGCTGGGCATGGGTGGGGAGTCAAGGAGGCCGCGGCGGACACGGAGGGGAGCGTGGGGCAGGAGGGGGCGCGGCGGGGAGAGTGGGGGCAGGATACAGTGTGTCTCCTTCTGCAGCAGCCGGCTGACCTCGCACTGGCTGCACAGCGGCTTCTCCGCCACCACGAAGAGAAGATTGGTGTTGGTCAGTCTCTGCGCGTGGAACAGCCTGGAGGGAGCATTGGAAGGCGGGGCCTTGGAGGATTGCTCCACCCCGTCGTCCCCACCAGACCACGCCCACCAGGCAGGCCCCACCCCCTGCAAGCACCTGCTGCAGTTTCCGCAGTCGATGATGGCATTGTAGGAGGCGTTCGCCGAGCCAAAGTAGTACTGGGTCTGCTTCATGACGCAGCTGCTCTCGCGGGTCTCGGGGCTCCCCTCGGCTTCCGCCGGGTCTGGAGGGGCCCAGATGCCTCAGCCCCGCCCACGGACCCCGGCGCGGTGTGGACCTAAGCTTGGCTCAGTCCTAAACCCCGCCCTCCCTGTGGAGCGGCTCCCACCCAGAATGCATTCTTGGGACAGAATCTCCCAAAACCTACCTGCCTGGAACCAGCTGTGGTAGATGAGGCCATAAAGAAGCTGCTGGAATAAAGACCTGAAGAGCATGGGGCACCGAGTAGGAGTGGTCAGTGGAGGCCGGTGCCCGGCTACTCTTTTTTTATGCACCTATTCCGCCAGTACTCACCAGGCGGCAGCAGAGGTCCACCAGGCCAAGTTAAGGAAGTCTGCAATGGTGGGCTGCAGTGAAGAGAGGGGCAAGGGCTGCTGTTGCTGCCCCTGGCTCTAGGACACCCCCCAACTCTCAGATGTTAGAGGTGGGGGGCATCTGTGGGCAGGTATCCCAACCCACTATCTCCAGGCATCTCGGGGCTCACCACAAAGACACCCCTGGGTGCAGCACCCAGGTTGCCAGAAGGCTGGGGGGCACAGGCTGCCTGATAGTCATAGGACTCCTTGCGTGTGTAGAAGGAGTTATTGTAGAGTGCCAGCATGAGGTTGGCATCCACTTCACTGAAGAACCTGCCAACCTGGGGATGGAGGGAGGAAGCCGTGGTCACAGGGCTGGCATGCCATGTTCCTAGAAGGCTTTGACTTGCATCCATCCACTGTCTTCCTGGCACTCACCTGGTCCCACTGATGGTTCTGGTTTGACAGCACCAGAAATCCTCCATCATCAATGAGGACACAGAGTAGGTCCTAAGTGGTAGGCAAGGGGGATAAAAATGGTGAGGGGCCCTACCCAAACTTTCAGGCTCTGGTATTCCAGTGGCTCAGGGTGAGGGACACCACTCCTTTAGGTCTGGTAAGACTGTGGAATTGGGGTTGGGGTGTTGAGATCCAAAGGCTAAGGGACAAGCTAGGAGTTACAAGAAGTCTGAGGACAGGGAAGTTGGGGGTCCAGGGCAGGATCAGGGTACACGCACCTCATTATTAACCTCGCAGTCCATCTCACAGTGGCTGCTGGGGCCGCACTGCTGGGCAAAGAATGAGGACTGTAAGGTGCCCACCAGTTTTTTTCTGTCACCCTTTATATGTCTGGGTCCTCTGGTCATCTGTAGCAGCCCCTGCCTTCCCATAGGCACTGGAGCTACTCTGAGTGACAGGCTTGTTAGGGGGTCCTCTGGGACTCCAGAGAGGATACTGATTCACTTACTCCCCCCTCCCCTGCCCAAATACCTTCTGAGGCTGGTCCTGGTGGGTACGGTTGCTGGCGAGCACCTTGAACTTTTCAGCCCAAGCCTCTAGGTCCAGCTTGACGCCCACCACTGTGGGAGAGAGCAATGGACTATCTGAGCTATCTGCCTGGGCAGCTGCCTGTCCACTGCCTCTTGTCCCACTTCAGACTTGGCATTTACCTGCTGGCCTCAGTGTGCGCCGGCCTAGACTGAGTTCCACGGCTGTGCTGACAAGGACGCCCACTGTGTCATTCTCCAGCTCCAGCGGCCTTAACAGGGCTGGGGTGGGTGGGTAGAGCAGTCAGGAGTGTAGGCTGATTGCTTCAAGCTAAGCCCTACCAACCCAAGGTTGGGCACAGCCTAAGCATCCAGCACCCCACAGAGTGTTTGGCACAACCTCTCTCATCACATGTGTCCTGCTCTTAACTGAGGCCTCCCACCTGCTGCTGGACACCATGGGCAGACACTCACAGTCCTGGTGTGGGGGCTTGAAGACATAACCATGGTTATCCAGGCTTCGGCGGTAGAAGCTGGCATTGAAGGGCTCAGGGTTCTCTGTCCAGTCCTCAGCTGCCCTGAAGTGCCCAAGACAGGCAGAACTTGATAAAGGGTGGCTTGTGGTGCACAATGATCTCAGCAGTGCAGAGGCTTCTGGGTAAGGGCAAGGTAAGGGCAAGGTCTCAGGCATGGAAAATTGTTGGAGAGTAGGGTTGGTCACTTACTTGTTGGGGAAGACACGTGTGATACCACCATCAGTAGCAGCAAATACGGCTAACAGGCTATACCTGGGGGTAATAGTGAAGTGGGGTTTCAGCCTTACTCTTGCTGGGCAAGGCCAGGGCCCCTGAGCCCACCCCAGCCTCCTGCCATACACAGCCACAGACTGAAAGTTTGGTGCATACGTGTTGAGGTCCTGGTCCCGCCATACACGTTCCACCAACTGCTGCGTGATGCCTGTGTCCAAGATCAGGTTATGCAGAAGGAAGTTATTACCTGGAACATAGGGGCAAGGTGAAGGGAATGATGTCTTCCTGTAGCTCCTTGTTATCCCTTTCCAACATCTCCAGGTTCTGGTGAAAGCCCTGGTCCTGGCCCTGGCCCTGGCCCAGACCCTACCTGCCTGTCTCCACGCTTCTCTGGGTACACCTCCCCAACCCCTTGGCCCCCTCCCCCCATGTGACCTGGGCTCTGCCCAGATCCAGGAGTCCTGCCATACACTCACACTGCTTGGAGTCTGGAGTCACTTTCTCCATGAGCTCAATGAAGTTTTTCAGGAACTCGGTGTTGTTGTCTGAGGCATTCAGGTCCTTGCAGTACTCTCTGGGGTTGGGGAGGGGCAAGAAAAGTGGGCTTGGGGGGCTGCATAGGAGAGGGGTCAAGGCTTCCGGACAGGTTTGCCTGAACACTGGCTAAAAAGCCCAGGCCGTAGGGGAGGGACATGCATGTTCTCACAGGCTGCCATGGCTGAGTCAGGGCAGGCAGCATGAACGGAAGAATGAGGGTCTGCTTCCTCCACTCTTGTGGGTTCTTTCTCTGAAGAGCCTGACATCTCTCCTGTACACCCAGATGGTGTACCCAAGAGGCCTCAGGAAATGCAAATGTCATGTGGCTGACTCATCCACCTATATGCCCTACAGTGTTCCCACAGGCATGAGGTGGAGGTGAGTAACAGCACTTGCTATTCTGTTGGTTAGTCTAAAACCTCATCTTGCCTCTTCCTGCCTTTGTACTTTTGGGAAACTCATTCAGGCTTCCTGAGACTCACTTTTTTCATTCACACCACAGAGAGTGTTGGGAAGTCAGTAGGAATGTGTGGGTCCTTGGACTGGCTGTTTCTTCTGCTTGACATATTCTTCCCTCAGAGACAGGCAGGCCCTCACTGGGCTCAGGCTCTGGGCTCAGAAAACATGGGGGCTGTGGGTATGGCAGAGTCTGCTTGAGGCTCTGCTCTCCAGAAAGTCTTGGGGAACAATCTCTCTCCCCTTATGGATGGAGCTATCTCTTCTGCACAATCCCTTGTCATAAGGAACCTCCCCACTGGCCTATATGACAGGAACTCTGGGAAATTAAAAAATATGCCACTTCTCCAGGCTGTGCTAGGGCCCATAGTTTAGTATGGGTACCTGGAACTGGATTCAAAGCCCCTAGTGCCTTTGTGAGGTACATACCCTGTACCTCTGTGCCTGGAGGCCACACCTAACACACCCAGAGTAACAACCACATAGCTGTGCATAAGGTACACCACACATGATATACACGTTCACATTGGTAGGTTATTTCATTCTCTTGCTGTATACACACTTACTGAGCTTTCCTGAACCAGATACAAAGATGACAAAAAACAAATATGTTTCTCAGAGAGCTTCCTCAGGACTATTTAAGTATCACTGGCTTTTTCCCACATTTCCAGTCACTAATGCATACAGCCCACCCCACATTTACACTTGGCCTCTTGCACATGTACACAATGACTCACAAATACAAACATCCACAGAGTCAGAAATTTGTGAGTGCATGTACTCACGTGCATACACACAGAGGTTAGGAGTGTCCAGAGCCCCATGTGGTGGCTGAGAATGCCCAGGGGTCTCTGTGTGCTGCATCCATCTGCCCTCATCCAAAACTTAGGTCACGAGAGAGGGCTTCAGCACTGGGTGAGGGGGTGTGGCCTCCTCAGATGAAGTCTCAGGGTGTGGACACTAGGATGCTCATGTATATACTAAGTAGACAGCCTAGGGATAGCCTAGGCCTGGGCCTGCTCTGGGCCCCGACTTCTCACTTGCTAGAACAGTTCTTCAAAGCCCCCTGCCCTCCCTCCCACTTCTCCCCGCTCCTCAGTGAACCACCAAACCTAGACTTGGCCCTGGTGGCAATGCCCACAGGGGCTCTGGCTGGCTCAGCCCCCAAACCCACACAAACACTGACTGACACAGGACAACAATGGGGGGTGGGTGGGAGTATGGGCAGGATACCACAAACCAGAGCAGCAGCTGCCCAGTGAAGGGGTGTGCTGGGGACAGCCAGCCCAAGGTGGAAAGGCTCCTTCCTGGCTGCTTGGGAGGGCTTGGAAGGTCAGCAGAGAGTCCAAAGACTGCCTCCCCCAGGCCTGGTGGGCAGTGGGCTGTGGGCTACTGGCTACTGCTGCCTGGTGTGGCTACATGACCTGGGTATGTACACAGCTGCACATACCAGGCTATGTATAGGGATTGGGGATGGCACTGCACAGGACAAAGACACACAGAGCTCCAGGCAGCAGTGCAGGAGTTGGGGCCAGGGCGGTCAGGGTAGGGGAGGATGTCTCAGCAAGGCCACACGCAAGCTACCTGGGAGCAATGAAAACATGTCCTTCAGACTCAAAGCTGCTGGGGAGCAGGAACTCAAAATCTGCAACAGAAACGGGGGGTTATCCGGCGGAGGCTGGGGAGGCAGGAGGCCAGGGGGCTCAGAGCTGATAGGGCTGGAGGGACAGGTAGGGGGGACAAGGCAGCTTGAGGGAGGGGGAGACACCAGCAAAGAGGGAACCCGCCACCTCCACGTTCAGGTTTGAGCCAGAGAGAAGGGAGGGTCGGGGAGGGTGGAGGGCCTGTGGAGACTACAGCATCGCAGGAGGAGGGCAGTTATAGCCAATATGTTGCCCGGGCCTGGTCCTCTGTCGTCAGTGAGTCCCTTGGCGTGGCTGTATATGCTTCCATACGGCTGTATAGCACATATACACGGACACACACACACACATATATATATACACACACTGCTATATATATGCATGGTCTCGGGGAGGCTCCAGTCTTGCTCTTATCACATCCATAATGGAAAAAAAACCACATGCTGAGCTTCCTTTGCCTCCAAAGAGACTTTGAGGAAGGGAATTGGCTTTTGGCTGTGGATTTTTATCTCTCTTTGCCACAGCTGTTTGCATTTTAGTAGGCCTTGCTTTTGTTCTGTGTCAGGCATCAACATGGCCAAACCGAAAGGGTTTCTCACGGGCACAGACAGTCCAACCAGAGACAGGTGTGGGCAACTGGGGAAGGGTATTGCAGTGCATCATGGGGGGGGGGAGTCTTGGGAGGGGTTTTCTTCCTGGAACAGGATGCTGGGTAAAGGGAAACCCATAGGGCACAGGGGCTGCTTCACAGGGTATGAAGAGACAGGGATACAGCTGGATTCTGCAAGCCTGTTTCCTGGGCTTGTGGCACAAAGGTGGGTAGGGAAGAAGGACTAGGACTCCTCCCTTCCTAGGAGTTGCCAGGGAAGAATGCTGAGAGTGCCTGGGTTGGGGAGGTGTCTAACAGTTGGGCCTGTGCATCAAGCTTATAAACTGCACATGTATATGGCATGGATGCATGAGTGTGTGCACATAGGTGTCTTTGTATGGGCTTTTACTCACAGACCTGAGAATGTGGCTGCAGAAATCCACTGTGGCCTGTCTTTGCCCAGCTGGACTGGGTTATCCTGCTATGTGCATATTTTATTATCTTAAAAATTTATTATTTTTATTTTATGTGTATGAGTGTATTGCCTGCATGTATATAAGTGTACCTGTGTTGTGCAATGCCCACAGAGGTCAGAAGAGGGCATGAGATTCTCATGGAACTGGAGTTACAGATGGTTGTTAGCCACCGTGTAGATGCTGGGAATTGAACCCAGGTCCTCTGGAAGAGCAGACAGTGCTCTTAACCACTGAGCCATCTCTCCAGATCCTTGTTTTATTTTTTGAGACAGGTCTCATGTAGCTCAGGCTGGCCTAGAACACTCTTACGTAGCTGAGGATGACCTTGAACTTTCAGAGTGCTGGAATTATGGGCATGTGCCATCACATCTGGTTTATGCGGTGCTGGGATTGAACCCAGGACTTTGTGTATGCTAGGCAAGTGGTAAGCACTCTACCAGCCGAGCTATATCCCCAGCCCTGTTATGTACATCTGTGAGGGTCCTTTTATTCTTGGTTTGTATCATTCTGGCAGTCTACCTCCCTATCCTCCACACACACACACACACACACACACACACACACACACACACACACACACAGTTTTACTATGTTGCTTCAGCTGGCCTCCAACTCATGGCAACCCTCCTGCTTCAGCAGGAATTATGGGATTCCCCATGAATGATGGGATTATAGGCCTTTATCACCACATGGGCTTTCCTTTTTTTTGTCTTTTTTGAGATAGGGTCTCCCTGTAGTCCCAGCTGACCTGAACTTACTATGTAGAGCAGGCTGGCCTTGAACTCACACTGATCCACGTCTGCCTCTGCCTCCTGAGTGCTGGGACTAAAGGCGTGCGCCACCACAGCCGGCTGGGCTTTCCCTATCTTAACCTCACTCACATCCCAAACTCTCTTTTGCCCTAGAGCTTTAGTTATCCCAGAAGAGGGGTTTTCACTGTTCCCAAATACCCCCGTGATGCACTGCAAAGTTCTGGACATGGAAGACTTTGGGTGCTTAAAGGCGCTGGGCAGTCACTGGTTGGACTGTTCCTTTCTGATAGGACTGTGAGGCAGGGTTTGGAGGGTTTGGACACAAGCTGAAAGGGAAGGAGTAGGGGCAGGGAGAGGAGGAGGAGAAAGTAAAAGGAGGGAGAAGGGACAAGGAGACTATGCTATGGCTGTCATGGTTACCAGGGCCCTGTAGTTCTGGGGTCACTGGGTGGGATGTGGGATATGGGGAAAAAAGACAACTCAAGCCAGTGGGACAAGGGCATGCCCCCATCCTGACCCAGGCCAGTGGGGGCAACTTATTCCCTTTGTTGGACTAGGCTAGACAGCCCTTAGGGTGTCTTGGAAAGTCCTCTGCTTCTAGGTCAGGGGACATCCCCTTATGGCTCTCATGCCCCATCTGCCCAGGTGTTTGTTCCCTAGGAAGGCAGCTCTCTGCGTACCAGTGTCAGACATCTTCATTTGCTGTCCTCTCTAATTCCTATTGTTCTCTGATAGGGCCTGGTGGTTCTTGACATTCACTGTTCTGAAAGACTCTCTGACTTGTAGCTTGGTTTCTTCCATGCTGTTTGGCTGATCCTTGGGTTCTAGAAGATCCCATTCTGTCTGGTCAAGCCTATACTTCCTGTGTCTGCCTTTATTTCCCCAGGGGAACACCTTTCCCATACCCATAGACCCTTCCTAGAAACAGCAAATACTTCCAGCCAGGGCTAGTCCGAGACTCCATAGCAAAGGCTCATGAACAGTGGAGGCAGCAGGGTATAGGGACCTCAGTACTTAGGCCAGTGTCTAGGATGGTTGGTCAGCCTTGTTCCTCCTGTGGCCTGGCTACCTGTCCATTATGTATCCCCTGCTTAGGCTTCTATGCCTTGCTACCTCTCTTCTTGGAGGGCTGTGAGCTCTGGGCCACTGCCAGAATCCAGAGGCCCCAGAACCATTCAGAGGGTGCCCAATGGGGCTGGTATCTCCCATAGTCTCACATGAGCTGCTCTGAGGACTGATCTACACCTTCTGCTCTGCTGGGCGGATGGCAGTGGAGAAACACCCAGTCCTGTCCTCACTGTTGAGTTGTCTTGGAGGAGCAGAGAAGTAGGGTAGGCAGAGGCCTTCCCATGGGGTCTCATAGGGAGTAGGGAGCATAAGGAAGGGGTTTAGGCCCATAGGACACGCTGGAGAATACCCTGCAGATGGCCCAGGGAATGGGCTACTGGATCTTGGAGGGATGTGAGGATCAAAGGAAAGGCAAGAACTGAGGGGTCAAGGGATGCTGGGAGGGAACCCTGGAGAGCAGGGGTGTGGCTAGTCCTGGGCAGGGAGGGGGGCAAGCAGGGGTGTG